ATAAAGAGAGTAATTGTTCAGACAAACTGCTGTAGCAGTGTAAGAAATTAGGATTCGAATCCACTAGGCTGGTCGGGCTACCAGACTGGAATATTCACTAGCCCAAAAGACATTTCACTAGCATGATTCACTTGTTCAAAACAGTTGTTTATATTGCCTCTGAAAATACAGTAGCCTGGTCGGGCTTGTTACTGTGAAAACTTGGTAGCCTGAGGAGAAATTTAGTAGTCAGGGGCTATAGGACTACTGCTAATTTCTAACACTGCTGTAGATCAAAAACTGACATTTAACCTTTTGATCTTGACAGAGGTTGAGATTTGTGCAAAGATTTTGAATCCCATTGCCAAGACAAACGCAACTAGAATTAATTTTGACCTTTGACTCACAACCTTTACCTGAAAGCTACCATATTGGTTTTTATGTGAGAGTGTAAAACATACATTTTACTGTCTGAGGTTGATTATTGTAACAATGCATTTCAAGTATTTTTCAATCTAGTGTGTATATATGTAACTGGAGTTCTGACTTCCACAAAGTAAAGTGCTCTAATATTTATCCTTTAATATGACCTAGCCATTTAGGCTACCAATTTATTTCATATTATCATCTATCTGAGAATCACTCACTTTTTTGCAAAGTTGCAGGTCGGTCAAGGTGAACAAATAGCATCCAATTGGTACAAATTATGTACCATTGACCCAAAAGTATGATCTTATTCTTACACACTACTCCATCTATCCTTTTTATAAAGATAATATTTAAGGATCATCTGTGCTGTTAAGGCAAGACATGCTAAAGTACACATTTTCTGACATTATTTTGTCACAAAGTATAACAAGATATGTTTGTAAAACATGTATGCCCCCTATCAGCAGCCAATTAGTCATGTGATAAGGTTATTATGCATTACTTCTGACCCAGTGATCAAACAATTAATAAGGGTTATCAAGTATCTACTGGTCATGACCTTAACCTTTGACCCCTTGACCCAAAACTCAATAGGGGTCATATGCTGGTCACGACCAATCATCATACAAAGTTTGAAGGTCCTAGGCCTAAGCGTTTTTAGTTAATTGATCGGAAACATACATACAACCTCAATGTGACCTTGACCTTTGACCCCTTGACCCCAAAATCAATAGGTCATCTGCTGGTCATGACCAATCACCATACCATGTTTGAAGTTCCTAGGCCAAAGGGTTCTTAAGTCATTGATTTGAAAGCATTTTTACTTACAAGGTCAATGTGACCTTGCCCTTTGACCCCTTAACCCCAATATCAATAGGGGTCATCTACTGGTCATGACCAATCACCATACCAAATTTGAAGTTCCTAGGCCTAAGGGTTCTTTAGTTATTGATCGGAAACCGTTTTTACCTAAGAGGTCAATGTCACCTTGACCTTTGACCCCTTGACCCCAAAATCAATAGGGGTCATCTACTGATCATGACCAATCACCATACCAAGTTTGAAGTTCCTAAGCCTTAAATATCTTTAGTTATTGATCGGAACACGTTTTTGCTTACAAGGTCAATGTGACCTTGACCTTTGATCCCATGACCCCAAAATCAATAGGGGTCATCTACTGTTCATGACCAATCACCATACCAAGTTTGAAGTTCCTAGGCCTTAAGGTTCTTTAGTTATTGATTGGAAACCGTTTTTACCTAAGAGGTCAATGTGACCTTGACCTTTGACCCCTTGACCCCAAAATCAATAGGGGTCATCAACTGTTCATGACCAATCACCATATCAAGTTTGAAGTCCTTCTTTCGTTATTGACCTGAAACCGTTTCTACCTACAAAGTCAATGTGACCTTGACCTTTGACCCCTTGACCCCAAAATCAATAGGGGTCATCTACTGATCATGACCAATCACCATACCAAGTTTGAAGTTCCTAAGCCTTAAAGTTCTTTAGTTATTGATCGGAACACGGTTTTGCTTACAAGGTCAATGTGACCTTGACCTTTGACCCCTTGACCCCAAAATCAATAGGGGTCATCTACTGTTCATGACCAATCACCATACCAAGTTTGAAGTTCCTAGGCCTTAAGGTTCTTTAGTTATTGATCGGAAACCGTTTTTGCTTACAAGGTCAATGTGACCTTGACCTTTGACCCCTTGACCCCAAAATCAATAGGGGTCATCTACTGTTCATGACCAATCACCATACCAAGTTTGAAGTTCCTAGGCCTTAAGGTTCTTTAGTTATTGATCAGAAACCGTTTTTGCTTACAAGGTCAATGTGACCTTGACCTTTGACCCCTTGACCCCAAAATCAATAGGGGTCATCTACTGGTCATGACCAATCACCATACCAAGTTTGAAGTTCCTAGGCCTAAGGGTTCTTTAGTTATCACTCGGAAACCATTTGGTCTACGGACCGACAAGTGCAAAGCAATATACCCCCTTTTCTTCGAAATGGGGGCATAATCATGATCTTTTTACTATGATTCTTGCATACTCTGCTGATCCATCTTAGGACCAACTTTCCTGGATAACTAAACAAGTAACTGCCTACTTCTCCCTAAGTTACGGACTACTTAAATACACATAATTTCATACAAATTGGCCATTCCACTCAATGTCTGAGAAAAATTATTGGTCATTTAGAAATACAAAAATTGAGTTGCCAACAGTATAGAGCTTGTTCAGACTGCAGGTAAAAGCTGACTGGCTGTGACTTCGAGCAGGTCAACTCGGGTAAAAGTCTAGCATCACACTTCCAGGTGATTATTAGGACTGAAAAGATTTTGTTGGATTTCCACCATAATTATGGTAATGATTTAAAACAGTAAGAATCAGAAAAGTAAAGTTGAAAAGGAAAACATCAGTAAAAGAATGCATCAATCTAGTTTTAAGTGATATATGTTGCTAATGAAAATAGTGCTGGGAAGTTGTCCTTCACAGCCTACTCTAGTTGCTATCTTATATCCCAGATACATTTTACTGCTTCAAAATCGTAAAAACAATTTAAATAGGCGGAGAGGCTGTCCACATTTACAATTGTCAAACAAATCTTAGTATAATATCTAACCATAAACTATGTAACAGACCAAAATGCAACCCTGTAAAGTAACACATGTTAATAAAACAAACTGCAGTGTATATAACAACTTAACAACCAATGTAAGACAATGTTTCAACCCATGGACAATGTTATTTTGACAAAATGGCTACAAATTTTACTCTAAAATACATGTCTGCACCTTTTTTATCAATGGGTGCACATATATAAGTATGATCAATATTTACTACGAATATAAGCAATGATATATTATTAATGAAGAAAAGTTGGTGACAAAGAAAACAATTTTGTATTACATATACAACATATGCAAGTCTTATTTCACACATCACACATTTTTAAAAATAATTTCAATACTTAAAATTTTACAGGCCATTTTTTTCCCCATTACATTTCTCACCAGTGTTTTCTTTCTCACTAGACTGGGAAGAGGCTGTAGCTTCTTGATTTTGGGAAAGGAAAAATAATCGCTAAAATTGCAAATTTGGAAAGGAAAAAAGCTGGTTAACTTCAGAATTTTGGGACACACTGCATGATGTTAAAGAAGAATTCAATTGGGAAGAGGCACTTACTTCTTAAACAGTCTAATTTTTTCCAAGTCGGTGAACAGTGCCCTTTACCAAGTTATTCCATTTTCAAATTAACCAGTACATGTTTTAAATGTATTATGCCGGAAAGAATTATCTCTAAAAATTGCTGATTTGGAAAAGTAACTAGAAATGTGTCCATAGGACACGGATGCCCCCACACGCCACTGTTCTGTCAATCTTATGACTCTAGGTCAAATATTTTATAATATATATAAAATATATTATTTAAGCAAAATCTGCCATCCAGTTTAAGAGGAGTTGCGTTCACAAAATTTCTACATAGTATATAGTGAAAAAATCAACAAAGGGCCATAATTCTGTTAAATTTAGTCGCAGCAAAAATTCCTTCCTTTACTACCATCTACAAATTAAGGTTGTCCATCCCTGAATTTTAAGCAAAATCTGCCATCCGGTTTAAGAGGAGTTGCGTTCACAAAATTTCTACAAAGTATATAGTGAAAAAATCAACAAAGGGCCATAATTCTGTTAAATTTAGTTGCAGCAAAAATTCCTTCCTTTACTACCATCTACACATTAAGGTTGTTCATCCCTGGAAGTTTAAGCAAAATCTGCCATCCAGTTTAAGAGGAGTTGCGTTAACAAAATTTCTACATAGTATATAGTGAAAAAATCAACAAAGGGCCATAATTCTGTTAAATTTGGTCGCAGCAAAAATTCCTTCCTTTACTACCATCTACACATTAAGGTTGTCCATCCCTGAATTTTAAGCAAAATCTGCCATCCGGTTTAAGAGGAGTTGCGTTCACAAAATTTCTACAGAGTATATAGTGAAAAAATCAACAAAGGGCCATAATTCTGTTAAATTTGGTCGCAGCAAAAATTCCTTCCTTTACTACCATCTACACATTAAGGTTGTTCATCCCTGGAAGTTTAAGCAAAATCTGCCATCCCGTCTAAGAGGAGTTGCGTTCACAAGATTTTGGGACGTACGGACAGACGTACGGACGGACGGACAGATGGACGGACGGACACTCGGACGGACAAGTGCAACGCTATATGCTCCCACTCTGTGGGGGCATAAAAATCTAGTATAAGTTTGAATGTTTGGGAAAGTTGCATGATTTTCAATGAAATTTCTATTGGGAGGAAGCCTTTCATAAACCTCTGTTATACAAATAAGTAAAACCCCTGTTTTTAGAGAAGTACTACAACAGTTAATGTCTTTTTTTATGAATAAATGAAAATTCTGTAAATCATGCATTCTTAATTGAATTTGCAAATGCATTGCCAAATATTATGCTGGTGTTAATGGTATTACCCAATATGATAAGGGAAAAAAAAGCCTGAGTAAAATAAAACTACAAAAACATTAACAGATCGTTTACAACTTAACTATTTGCAACATAACTATATACTTACTTGTTTGCCTCAAAGTTCCCTATTTCTAGTACAGATGATAGTGTGTCAGGCTTGCCTTTTAAAACCTAAAAATACAAAGAGAAAAAATAACTCCTACAATATAATTAATAAGATGTTATACTGCTTATATCTGTAAAATCAGAGGACCAAGAGAATTAACAATCCGACAAGAGCAACACAAACTGCTGACAGAATCAGTATTTAACTTTTCCCTTATTCAAGTTTAGAGATGGTTTTGTCACATTTAGAAATGCCTATGAACTGTAAGATGATTTTTATAACTATAAGATAATATATTATCCATCGGTCAATCATTTCATTAGAAAGCAGGCCAACTAGGCCCTGTCTTTGGTTAATCTTATCAGTAAATGCATGCATAGTAGAAATTAAAAATTTCATTCATTTGACTTCTTTACAGTAACATAAATCTGCTAAACAGAAAGTGATGAACCCTGCCACAGGTATAAAGCTAAGCTAATCTGCATATCAATGCAGTTGATTGTTTTATGTTGTATTTTTTTATTGGCACCAACACATTATAGGTCATATGGCGACTTTCTAGCTTTATCGGTGGAGGAAGACCTTGGGTGCTCTTCGGTCTTCCATGCATTATTTCAGGTATGAATGGGCACCTGAGCAGAACCTCAGAGGTTCCGAAATGCGGTTGGTAGCTCAGTTTTTATATTACAAACCTTTCAAATTTTGAATGAACTGTTCAAAATTCATGGCAACCTTGTTATACAAAATATGCATGTAAAGAGATAAATGCTAAATATGATCCAGATTTTCCTGGAATTTATTAATAATTCTGATAAATTACATGTAGTCTCTGTTATTTAACACACATGAATATTGTATGCAAACAGAATAAAATGTTCCGGAGAAATATATTACGCTCTATTTATATAGAGTAATACCAATTCAGTGATCATTTTGTGCATGTGCCATTTACTTTTAAGGAAATATACTATATTTTGGAAGTGTTCTTTCATAAAATTAATTTTAGAAATTATGACTTAATTTCAGGTATTTCAGAATCATCCCGATCCCTTGTACACAGAGACACCTGAATTGTTTTATTTTTTAAAATTAAGCCCAGAATTATGCCAAATGTATAAAACATGATGGCACTGCAAATCTGTTATAGAGTTTGTAAGCGAACAGCATGGATCCTGATCAGACTGTGCAGATGCGCAGGCTGGTCTGGATCCATGCCGGTCGCAAACCAATTATGTTGGTTTTGTTGTGACACGGCTCATTTATTTTTTTATACAGAGAGAAATAAAGTATTTCCTGGAAATATTCTGAGAATCCATTTACCTTTTTATCAAATAATTTTTTAAGATGTGGTTTCCACCAGTGTTCTTTTATCACTTTGGCCTCTATCTCCAGACCTTCGTGTTTATCACATAAATGCTTCATTATACAAGGGGGCTCAGATGGGGGCTTCCAGTCCCTTGCATGGAACCCTTCTGGTAACCCTGGAAACAAATAAAGTAACATACTTGTAGAACATTATTCTAAATAATGTAGGTATCATTCCTTAACTGGTAACACAACTTTTGATGATCAAATGGGTAATACATATATGCCATATCACCTTATGTTTGATTACAAATACAATAAAACCAAAACATATATGTATAACATGTGAAAAACAACTGACAATGATGAAGAAACTACACTCTGCTCTAAGTGTAAACAATATCTATAGTCATTTGTAAAAAACTTTGGTTCTTATGTGCTGTGTAAAAAACAGCAGGCATAATGTTTTTGCAAGACATCAGATACACCCTTTTTTATTTGTGATTAATTTCACACTATTATCATGTTTCTACTGGCTAGTCAATTTCTAAAGATATGCTATTTACCTGAGAAATTTGGATTCAAGAGATCTTTTCTTCCTCCAAGGAGGGCATTTGTATAAAACCAGTCTATATTGCACAATAATAAATGGTACGAGTTTACCAAATCGTCGCTGATTGCAGGAAAGTTACCTATAATCAGAAAAATTAAAACATTATTTTTACAATTTCATTTAGTTGGTAAACAATGAACATATAGCTTTCTAACTTAAACCTGAAACTTGCTGAATTTCTTGAATTAGCTTGACAACTTTCCATTTTGAAATGGAAATTCGAAATTGATAGAGCCTTGCCATACTGCACTATGTTACAAGCAGCCTGCTGGCTGAACTGGCTCTATACTGGTAGCTAAGACTAACTTCTTTCGGGTACTCGAGTACAACCAAAGACCTACCATATAAGCTGACTGGCTTGACTCTTAAAGACAGAATTTGTAGTTCCTGGCTGAATCAGAATCTTATGTTATGATTACAAAGTAATTCTCAGTAATAATCAAAACGTAATTAAATTTCTACATAAAGTTGAAAATACATTAATAAAGATACTAAATATTAAATCTTATGGCACAACAGCACTAAATTATAATATCCAACTGATTTATTTTTAGGCAGTCTTTCAATCAATACTTAAATGACTAGTTATATCAGTTTCTTACCTTTCACTTGTACAAACATTGTCCAGCAAAAATTAAACACCTCAACTAATGAACATGGTAATTTCCTACAAGTAAAAGTAATAAAGTAAATATAGTGAAAGCATTGCTATATAATGAAACATGATACAAATTTAATTGATTATATGTTTTAACAGCTCTGTGCTATAACAAAAGGTATTTCAATATTAAAATTTTTACAAGTTAGTGAAAATGTAAATATAAATTTTTTTTGTCTAAAATGACACGAAAATAATCTGTTGTTTATAGCAAAGATGTTGATCTATCACCAATTTTTTTATGTTGATCAATAATCTATTCAAATTTGATAAAATCAACAACTTTTCCTTGTGAATAGAACATATATATGCATGTATATAGGTCAAATGACGACTATATACAAGTTAAAAATAAATTTCGAAGACAAGTCATATATGGCGACTACATATAAGCCATAAATAAATTTCTAACACAAGATTTCTTTAAGTGACAATATTTCTACAAACCTCTGTTTCCTACTCCTTGGTTGCCGCGGCGCCTCATCAGCAGGACTTTTGAAAATGTCTAGAAAAATCGGCTCAAACTTCTTAAATATCACAGTTGAAACGGCAAAGTTTCGTTCCAGTCTTTCTACTTTGTCTCTAAACTCTTGGGACAGACTTGCCATATCTGACCACTTTTTCATTTTGTTGAAAAACTGTATCAAACTGAAAACACAGCACACAAGACTTTTTTAAATAAATATACAACAGGTAAGTTTTTTAAGTTTAAAACAGAAGTTATGCATCAAAATATAGAAACTCCAACAACAAAGTCTAGTAAAGGAAGGAATGTTTGGTTTGTGTAAAGCTTCACTCTTAATCATTATGTCGACACTGGATTCTTACATTTCATACAGTAACATGCATGAAAAAAATGACAGATCTATATTTGTAAACAAAAACCTAGGAAACGATGTTTTTTAAAATGAACACTTGCTGAACATAGTACCAAGAACTTTTCAGAGCTAAGGAATATACCTAAATTTTGAGGATCTAAGTAATCTTGTCAAGGAGACGCAGTTGCCTTCAACAGTTCCCCTCCCTACAGTTGGTACGACAGTTCTTCTGCACGACTCGTAAAGTGCACATGATAACCAATGAATCTGGTCCCCCTGTAAATATATACATTATCCATCATTAGCGATAAATTAAATTGATCAAACGCACAAATGCAAGGGCGATCCACATATTTTAAGGAACTCATAACACAAAATAAATACACAAATTTGGGAAAAAATGGCCGATTTGCGGAAGTCGTTTACCTCTAATGTGTAGTTTTTCTTGATTTTTTCGTAATTTTTCCATGCCTCTTCCTTTGTTTTCCGGTCCATGTTAAGATCAAGACATAACTCGTCATACTTTTCCTCTAGTTTGTCCTCTCCGTCTTCTGAAAGAACCATATTTGATGATTATTTTGACTGTACCCCACCTTCCGTCAAAACCGAACAATGGCCGACATTGGTGCAATTACTCGCACGCGAGTTGTGGCGGGAAATTTGCGCCGATTTACTGCAATCCAATGAGCAAGAATCGAACGCGTAAAAAAGTAGTTACAATATTTTTTTATTTAATCATTTCAAAAAGTAACAATTTTTCTAAAAGTTAAACGTCAAAACTGTTGAATTAGTAAATATTATATAATTCACAAGAATTTATAATATTTTAGTTATGGTTAACAAATATGTTCGCATATTTGTTTGTTTTTATACGCATCATTGAATTTACTATTATTTCAGCGACCTTGAACTACATGTATATATTAATACTTTTCAGCCGCACAACATCAACATAATTATGCTTATAATGATAAAATAACGATAGTGCGAATATTTTTTTTTATCTACTTGACGATTCTTTAGCTCAATACCATGATCTATGCATTGTATGATTTTTTTTTTTAAAGAAAGAAGATAAAAACCTATTAAATTAGCTCTAAAAAATACATAACATTATTTAAATGAACAATAGAAATTAAGGGGTCCAATTATCTTCATGATCGTGTCCTTTGAAGACTCGAAAATAAAGTTTAAGGTATTCAAATAGTCCAGAGATCTCACAACCACGGATTTATATTTGTAATATAAGTCCGTGCCACAACATATAGAACTATTATTTCGCACACTTCTAATCTTGCGTATTTATAAACATGAGCGTAAGTTGGGATAAACATGAGGAAATAGGGAGTGTGCACTGACTGTCTGGTGAGTCGATTAATTAATATTATCTTAAACTAGCTTTGGTAATATTCATAATCTTTGTATTTTTCATCCCATATGTTTTATCTACCTTAAAAGTTTTTTTTTCTAAAGAGGGACTCTGATTAGTATATAATAACTGAGACTTAAAAAGAATGGTAAGTCCCAGGTTATAGGCCTATTTTATTGTAGTCTATAAAATAACAAACTTGTATACATGTAAAGAAGCTTTTTTTTTTTTTTGTTTTTATGTACTTTTCTTTCTGGTTTACTGATACACATACATCAAACGAAGATTAAATAAATATCACTTGACTTGAGTCGACAGACCTGTTATTTTTTTAATTGATCCAACAATCATGACTAAGCACACTTTGAAATAAACAATTTTATTAAAACTCAACAAGCAAATATATCTTCAACTAGCTTAATAAACGTCACATTTCCATCTACATGTACCTATATTTTTTTAAAAATGTAACTCCAAAAAAAAGAGAAGGTAATTTAGTCGTACAAATGGAAGCAACTGCGGTCACATTTTTTACAAACTCCCGCAGAAATTACTTCCCCTACCTAGTTACCCACATTCAATGTTTCTTGATCATGGTGATTCTGATTGATAGATTAACAAAATAAACATCAAACTTCAACTTACAAGTTAGTCACCCTGCATAGCTCAATCGGTTAGAGCGCGAGACTTGTAATCTCGACATTGTGGGTTCGATTCCCGGGCTGGCCAACTTAATTTACTAATCAGTCTTTCGAGACTTTAAGTATGAGTGCTTTAACATTTGGCACGCTAAAGAGCCAGGAGAAGTTTCTGGATTTGGGGCATCTTTCTATATCTGTATCTTGCACTATCCTCCGAAATATAAAATGACTAATACTCTTCTGTGGCGAGTATAACTCAAATACACACACAACTTACAGGTTATCGCTAACGTAATTAGACGTAAATTTTACGTTTTAATAAAAACCATACCGAGCTGGAACCGTTACTAGTATAGAACCATGACAGCCTGCACATCCGTGTAGTCTGTAGAATGGCAGTCTGACCAGATTCTTTTCTTTTGTAAGCTAAATTTTAGTATTTGTAATTGAAATTCCAGAGCAGGACAAAATCACATTCAATTCAGGACAAATTCAATCAAAACAAATTTGCTGTTGTATATTCTTAAAATGGGTTACATTCTCTAAATAAAGATATTAGTATCACTATAGTTATTAAAAAAAACTGTGAAGTTTAATCCGTACTGTATTCAATACATACAAAACTAAAGATTTATAATCTGGAAGTTGAAAGAAACTGGTTTATGCATAAACAGTACATGTAAATGTTTTTACACATTTCACGATTTCTGTTAAGTAAGTTGAGAGATAAAAATTATGCTTTAAAGATATAGTTTAATTTTAGCTAATTTGTGATGAAAATTTATTGATTCAACCACTCACTAGTCTGCCCTGCTAGGACTCAAACCAACGATCCCTGGGTTGAGAAACAATCACCTTGACCAGTATGCATATTTTTCTGGACCATACGGCTTCCCTGTAAACATAAAGTCATTTGACCAACCACGGAGAATCGTCAAAGAATATCCGATGATGGGCCAACCAAACTAGCATTGTTTAGTATTGAAAATACATCTGTTGGACCATTACCAAACCAACTACGGCTTTTCGCCAGCGATTTATCTGCATTTTGCTTACTGTAATAATGCAGTATTTAAACTTGTCGTTGGACCAACGTTGGAACAACCATAAATTAGAATTATAATGTACAATAGAACTACAGTGGTCTTTTGTTTATTCATTTTTTTCATTTTTACAGGATTAATTTATAGGCCTATGTACATTATTAAAATCAGAAACTGCATCGAAACATGAATACGTTTAAGTTATGTCAAGTGCTGATGAATATATACTTAGTAAAGTATATTCACGTTTTATCCATCACAATTCTTCACAGTATATGTAGAAAAGTAAAACAAAATTTTTCCCTAACCATTAAAAATGAAGCATATCACTGGATATGAAATGGTTATCTTTTCCATCTAGATGTGGACGGTAGTTTGCACTTGACAGTACCGTCCATGAACAGGCTCAATCAAACCGAGCCTGCAACATTTTCAATTTTGCCGTGCTCAGACGCAAATTTTACAGAACTGTGAACTTTTTTATCTAGCCTGAACACTTGAAAAATGTAAGTATATCTTTTTTTTTTATAAGTTTTGTATATTTTGTTATGACAAAATTATCTAACTTCATTGCTATTGCTTCACAAATGATTATTTAAGTTGTAATAACATACACAAATGCAAGTACAAACAATTTATAAGTAAAATTTAAAGTTATGACATTATTAATTGCTGTACGAGGAAATACATTTAGGGGACGCATCAAATAGTGAATTGAAAAGGAAGCGATATTCTAAAAATAAAGAAAAACAGAATCCCTAAAGAAAGCCCAACACGGCAAAATTGTAAAATGTTGCAGACTCGGTTTGATTGAGCCTGTTCATGGACAGTACTGGAAAGTGCAAGTTACCGTCCACGCCCCCTAGCACCGGCTTAAGCAGAATTCAACATTTAAACACAAAAATGGTGAATTTTGAATTTAGAAACATCCGCAGATGTGTTCACACGGCGGTTATCATGGAATCTTTAATGTGACACAGTAGTGTCATTCCATGAAAAGCGGATGTGACAATGAAATAAACCATGAAGGTGTGAGCAGGAAAAGAATGATGTCAAAACACAAGATGGAGAAAATTGAGAAAACTAACTTTTATACATACTCATTCATCTAATAATTTAAAAAGAAATAGTAACGAGACTAACCTTTGCCATATAGTTACCAGCAGATTTGTGTCTATTTGATGTTTAGCACAATTACTCGGTTATTTTATTCAATTATGATGTAATTAAATTCATTACTTTCTTTTGAGATTTTGACATTTATGATAGTGTAATTATCATTGCTTATTTCTGTCTGTTTACGTTTTTATAGCTCTGTACAGTTGGTTTGGTTCAGTTGCTGACCCAATGCAGGGCAAATGATTATGATTAAAATTGTGTAGTCGGTCCAATACGTTTGAGCAGCGCTTATGATTAAATTTGTATGGTTGACACAACAAAGGGCCATTGAATATGGTTGGTCCAACAGAGGGCCAGTCAGCGATGACTATTAATTTTGTTCGGCTGGTCAAACAAAGTGCCATTGAATGTGATTTAAATTGAGACGTTGGCCCAATACGTTGGGCCAGCGATGGATATTACCTTTGCGTGGTTGGCCCAACGAAGTGCCATTGAATATGATTAAAATTGATTCGTTGGCCCGACAGAGGACCAGCGATGACTATACACTTTGTGTGTTGGCCCAACAAAAGGCTATTGATTATGATTAAAATTGTATGGTTGGTCCAACAGGAAAAACGATTTTTGAGGCTCAGTCTATCAAATCAAGACACTCAATGACTTGACCACACCGATTCATGCTGATGATGAACTCGATGCTATTCTATTAGTATTAGACTTAAATAAGTCTTTGATAAGTCCGTCATCACAGGCTTCTTTAAAAGCTTGTATACCAACAGCTTTCTATCTGGAAGAAGTCAACATGTCTTGGTTTAGGGACATTTTTATTCTTTATCAGTTGCTGGGTACTCTGAGACTTTAAAGCCATTTTTTGCTAATTTTATACATAAACGACATGTCAAATTTAACAATACGAGGGGTTATCCAAAAATTCGTGGACTTTTTAAATATCTCTTGAACGTCAACGTGTATTGTAATGAAAATTTATCAGCATACATTGTAAAATATTATCAATACATTTTAAAAGGAACAGTTAATTGTGTCTATAAATAATGATTTTATATTGCTTTTAGATAAGACCATACACGGCACCCGGCGCACGGTAGAAAAGCGTAGTAAGTCAACGTATGTTTCTTGCTAAAAAAACTAAAACATTAACGTAGAAAACCCGTTTAACATCGCATGTTTCTTCTATGATGTCATTTAAGTAATTCTTTAAAATAATGGATGTCATTTCCATTTATTTTTGTTTATATCGCTAGAAACGCCAGACGCCTTTATTGTTTACAACGGGAAAATGACGGACACGCAGTAATAAGAAAATCGCACGATCATAAACGATCATCAATTTTGTTGTAATTTGGAAATGACACCTACAAAAACATTTGATAAAAATCAGCAGACGAACAGAGAAAAGGAAATTTCACGATCATTAGTGTTAAAGTGGTATAAAAATATTCATTTGAGAAGCAGTAACCGTCATTGACTGCGTAACGTTGAAGCACAAGTTGTACGTTAATATTATGACGTTGACGTCAATAACTTTTTGGAGTGCGCCGCTGTCGCCGACATGTGTTTATGTAAAATGAAATATTGTTGTAATGTAAGAAGCTACTCACATGAATTTTTCTGTGTTTATTTGTTATTAATTCTTCTAAACAGTGTAAGAATTTTAAATTAATATCTCAAATATATTTTACGCAACAAAGAAAGTCCACGAATTTTTGGATATGAACACAAAGATCAACAATTTACCTCTTTGCTGATAATTTACTTCTCTTTAGGAAGATAAAATCTAGAGATGTCTAAAATCAGGAAAAAGGTGATCCCGCGGAAGCATTAATCACAACGAAATAACATGAAAATTGCAGACTAGTTTTGATTGAGTCAGTACATGAGGTCTAGATTGATTGATCTGTACATACGCCATCCTACAGGGGGGCCGGACTGAACAAACTTCAGCAGTGGAAACATGACTGACTGATTAGTTATATATACCGTCCAACTGTGAAGAACTAGCTAAAAGCCCATTCCTGTTGCTTACTACTCAGTATCTTGATATCACCCTCTCAGAGGACCACCCCAGAAGGCTTCAAGTAGATGCAATCACCAAGAACAACAGCCTTATGATTAACTCACAAGGTAACCTGTTTCTCCTGTCTCAGGAAAACGGAAGAAATGGCATATAATTCGCTGGTTGGCAGAACCCTAGAGTACTTCTCTACCGTCTGGGGTCAGCATAGCCAAGTCTGTAAACTTGAAGCTGTACAACGCCATGCGACTCGTTTTGCTGTTGGAGAAACCACACTACAAGTGATTCTAAGCAGTATGTACAAGAAGGCTCCGTGGAAATTGTAGTTAACTCTTGAATGAATTTCGTTCAATAACGTTTACCATTGAGATTGGCAGATCTTCGTCCAAGTGTTATCAAATATATACATTGATTTTAGACTTCATGCAGCAAACCATTTCGAAGAATTATTGAAGGTCCAAGGGTTTAGTCAATGAGTTTCAATATTTGTTTGCTTTCCATAGGAATAGATGTGCACATTTTGTTACAAGGAATGGCAGGTTTAAAAGGAACATTTACTATTCCAAAGTTATCATTTCAGTCTATGTACATGTATACACATTGGCCTAAAGGACCACATAGTTGGTCACTAAGTCAATTAAGATGGTCACTGAAACCATTTACATTGCTATTTAGACCACTAAGATGACCACTCAATCCCACTACTAGTAAAGTTGCCACTTAGACCACTTAGGTGGCCACTCTGACCATATAGGTGGCATTTGAGACATTTAGGTAGCCACGAAGACCGTACAGTTGACACTGACTGTAAAAGTGCCCACTTAGAGATTTTTTAGGTGGTCACTGAGACCATTTAGGTGTAAGAATATTGCCACAAAATAAGAACATAACATTGAATAGCTTTACGATTTATTTTGCCCATAGTTTACATTGGTTAAAATATCATTTTTAGTTGTTTTAAACATTACAAACGAGCTGTGAAACTATTGTATCTATAAAATAAAACTTATGAGAAATGTCATGTTACCGTCATATCAAATAATATGATATGCTTTATAAAGAATTTAGCTATTGTCATTTGAAAAAGAGGAACAACTGTGACACATGTTAACTGCCGTGCTGTAATATTTATTACATGTACATGTATTTCTATAAAAGGCAGTTTAAAACAATTTGAAAATATCATTCGCTTACCATTGTTAAAAAAATATAGATACACAATCATTCTGAAACAGTTGCAATTTGAAGAAGATATTAATCATCCAATCAAATTTGATAATAGAACAGGAGTTAATTTCAATCTTAACAAAATACTTAGACAAGAGACTTAACGCACTAATAACATTATCGGAAAATATACATCATATGGGCGAAATAATTCGGTTAACACACAATAAAGAATAAAAATATGCTCCATACAAAATTAGTTTCCGGTGTAAAGTGAGTGAACAGTTCATTTTGCCATTATTAAGTTCAGTTTTATGGTCGACTTTACATAAATGGTCAATAACTCACTATTTAACAAGGACATATCTAAAATATCCATCGGAATATATCTTTGAAATTCAATTAAAAAAAAAGAGTTGGCAGTTTTTGTTTATATTTTAGACAGTTTTTTTCTATTTTATCCTAAACATTTTCAAATATCAACTATACCATTATATAAAAGTCAATCCGTTGAAATATATAGTTAATTCAGCTTAATTTGATGATGTTAAAATATAATGTAATTCCTCTTTACCATGAAAGTAGAAATTTTCTTTGCTGTTGTCATGAAATAAGACCGCCTATTTGTTTTCTGATCATTTTATAGATATATAATGTTCTTTACTTAAGTATTTAAATATCTGTATCAGTATCACATGTTTAAGATAACATGACTTTGAAAAGCAAATATTTCATGTATCTATACTCATTTTTTAATGGATACTTTTACATAGGAATACTAAATTATTAATAGTCACTGGTAAATGTCCCGTGCAATTAGTTTATGTTGGTGGAGCATATTTTCATTGCTAAAAGAGTATATATAAAATAGGACGGAATTTCAAAAGTCAGAGGTACTTATTACAATTACTAGTTTAATGAAACATGCGAATATAAGTGCGACTTCGATCACCAACCGTGGTATCTTCTTTAAATAAAAATCCCAAAAGAATGGCAAAACCGGCAAAAATGATTGTTACAATCTCGGTTTGACTGAGCATGTTTATGGACTTTACTGGAAAATTCAAGCTACTGTCTACGCTCTCGACTTAAACAAAATTCAAAATTAGTCCGAGTTACCATTTCATTTAACAAAAGTGACGTCATTTGGTAACTGTGGACTGACCAGTCTAAACGACCCTTCTTCTGGTTCTAAGATGACGACGAAATGTAACATGTGCGCCGCATTATTATAAACATAATTTGATCACCGCCATGATGCAAGCCAACACATAAACCAAAGTGCGATCAACTTGACCAGACATACGCAATTATTTCAGATTTCGTAAAAATACTACAGTTGGTGATCGAAGTCGTACTACATGACACAAATGTATTAGTGAACACAGTCACATTAGTCACATCGGTCTGTTGGAACGTTTGTGTTTACTGTTTTAAAATCACTTATTTCTTCTTTTTTATATGCAAATGTATTTTACTTTCTGTTTATCTGAAGTACCTAAACTATCATAAAGTGCAAACTTTATGATAAAAATAGTTCTAACCCTTCTCAAGACTAGGGTCAATTATTTTTTTCAAGATATCATATTTGAAAAGTTTTTTTATATAACTATTTATAGTCGTCAGTGTACTTATGTAATTAGAAATATGTATTCAGAAAATGAAAATTGGAAACACTAGCTGGAAATTATATTCAAGTGACAATAAAATGGCGATGATGAAGATGATGATTTTAAAAGCATTTCAGAAATTATCTAAAAGTAGAAAGTTAGAAACAATATTAAAAGAAATTAAACTGTCACTTCAAAACTACAATTTTGTGAAAAACTCCAAACATTATCTGAGGAATTATTTGGGAAGTTAAATTTATCACATTATAATTAATCTGCTATTTAAAAAATATGGGTTACCGAGTACCTTAATCCTAAGCACACAATAATTTATAGATATTTTTTGTGTTCATAGCAGTTCTTTATATAAATCTCAATAATACATAAAATCAGTTTTGAAGCGACTAGTAACAATTTGCAAGTCCGTTTGTACATTTCGTTAAAAAGCCATTATCCTCGGTGCCATTTGTATACCAATTTTTATTTTACAATTTACCTAAAACAATTTATTGTAGGTTCTGTAGCCTACATTTTTAAAAATACTTTTGTACAATGTACCATTTTCATAATGTTTCTTTTTTTATATAATTATCTCTTTGTTTGAAAGATAAACATATTTTTGTTTTTGCACCGGATGTTACACATCTGTTAGTAATGTACTTGCTGCTCCTACTCGCCGACCGGAGTAGGTCCACATTCACGTCCTTTCTTCTTTAACTTCAGCTCATATGAGGATCCACCTGCAATACACAAATTATATGTCGATATTTTCAACATAATATGAAACAAGTGAATAGCTTCTTATTTGTGATAAGGTTTTATGCAGAAACAAAACGATCGAACTAAATAATTTATTTTCACGTTTTTCGCATAATAATCAATGCCCCGTTGTACCAACAATTTTGATCAACGATTGTCGTACACTCATACGACCGTTTTATATATTAACTTGATCATATGTTAAACCTCAAATAGTACTATTTCTTGACTTGCGGCCGTTGAAAAGACTAAATGTGCCAATCCTGGGAAGTAATGCATTAACAGGCACCTGAATAAAACCAAAATCTCTACCTATAAAAGAAAATCTTGCTATCTGGAACCAAATTCACACCGGAGAATATTTTGCAACTTCTTGTACTGTATCTTGGCCGAAAAAAATGTAATATAATTATATACTACCCCTTACTGCCAAACATTTGTAGAGGCTTTGTGAATAAAATATATAATTCTAGTATCAAATAAATGAGTAAAATATTTGTAATTTGATTCAAGAACCTAAAGTAATTTTATCCTATGAACCCAAAAGTGCATATGCATTTTCAAAGTTCGGAATATTTCAACTTTACAAATACGCAAGAAAAGATCTTTACTTCCACCACTCCCGGAACTTGGTGGTCGCTGGTTATCAAGCGGCAGTTTTGTCTCATTCAGTTCATCTTCGATCCATTTGTTCACTTTTGGTGGATCCTCGTACAGATATGGTGGTGGTGGCTGTGTCACAGAGTACGTTGGTGGAGGTGTGGCATATCCTTCATACAAAAAAGCATCAAATATATTCATAAATTATATGTTCGATATTGTTCACGATATAAATAATGCATGACACTCTTACACTTTACACTACTTATTGTGCATTGTTTTACTTGAAAAGAAAAGGTTAACATGTTAATGCTTTATAAAAGGCTATTATAGCAGGTATGTGAAGGAAAACAAATATATAAGTTTGCATTAAATAGCAACATAAATACATATGTTACAACACGCATTCAAAGAAATAGTACAATGCCAGTTTAATTTGTGTTTAGATCTTAGCTCTTTATAACATGAATACATGTATATATGACGTATAAACTATAGACCTTTTTACGATACGATATTTCCATAGTAACGTATGTTGCATTTCGCGCATGTGCATTCTGCGAAGGGCAGAAAGTAATAAAGAAAGATTGTATTATATCAGTACTCCACAATTTCATAACAATTGTAATCTGAAAGATTAATCATTAGTTTTAGAAAGTTTGTTTTGATAAAAAAAAAACGCTATGGTGTACGAAAGTTTCCTAGTGGCATTATTAAAGCACCGACGTCCTAAATCAGAGGTCGTAATAAAAACTTAAATAAACGCGATTTCAAGTGACGTCACAAGGAAAACAGTAATTTTGGGATGAATTAAAGCGGTAAGTACGTAAAACGTGAACTGATATTTATATTGAATGTTAAAAAAATACGGGGGGGGGGGGGCAAATAATTCAATGACACAATTCCTCTTTTAATCATTAGACGACTTTTTCATAAATAATTTGAATTGAAACAGCAGGGTGTTAAGTATAAATTTTATTACCCCTGTATTACATAATATTACACAATTGGTTCTGGTTATGTACGTGAATTGGCAAGGTTGTTTATTGACCAAATCATTCAACCGGGACGTTTTAATGCCATGACATAGTTAATTATGTAAAATTATGATAATCGTAATTAAAACCAATCGATCTCATCAATGTTCGGAATTAATTTTGTTAAGTGACCAAAAGTGCGACGTGCCTTACATGTGTTACTTTAAACCGGATAAAATGTGTGTTACTTCACTACCCACTAGGAAATGTTCTAAACTTACCAAGATTTTGTAAAATTATTTGACATAGATTTTCTGTTTGGCATCGCAGTCAACTTGGATAAAGGATCAAATCAGGTAAAGTGAAAACTTAACACATGTTCATGAACACGAGTTATCACCTGTTTCTGTTTCACCTTTTTCACCTTTTCAGAATGATAATTAACCTCTATTTCATATGTTATATGAATCTCTTGGCATTTTATATGATCTATTTTAACCAAAGTTAAGTTAACCTCTTTTCTTGATAATAAATACGTTTCCACATTTCCACGCCCTACGCAGATTGCGCACGCGCGAGAAAATACTACATCCGGTCGATTTTTCGCGTCGTAAAAAGGTCTATAAAAGATGAGGTAAAGGTATGCAATGCTCAGTAACTTATTAAAATTCGATAACATTCGTGTTATTCTGTTTATAGTTTTAACTTAACAGGCGTTTGATTGTCGTGATGCTTTTTGTTTTCTTCATGTCATATTGACGTTCATTTGAAGTTTGTAAGACGATGCATGGCAGATAAATTATTTATATGAAATAAAAAGTGTAAAAAGTTATATCTAATAAAATATTTATATTAAATTTAAAAACAGTAAAATTATGTTGTTTACATAAGCGTATGGTCATTTCTTTAAAGTTTTGTAACATAGAATGTCTATATGATTTAACGTACATGTATATTGTATACAAAAAGAAAAAAAGTTCTAGAACAAAATATACCTCTGCCATTTTAAGTAGATATGGAAAAAAATCATGCACACCCTCTCCCTGTTAATAAAGCATACTGACATTCTATTCATTCTAAGTAGTTTGTACTCATTTCTTATCCCACTATAAACAATAATTACTTTATACACTTAAGATTTGTACATACGAAATAATAAAATATCAACAGATATGAAAATATCTTACTCGGCGTCGGACCATCAGAAACGCTGCGAGTTGGATGTGTTCTCTTCTTTTTGCTCTTCAAAACGAGCAGTATAACAATAATTGTGACGCAGACGATAACCAGTCCACCGAGAGCTGCTCCAATTATGATTGGCAGATTTCCTGGAATAGCAAATTATTCGTGTTTTTTTTTAATGTTTTGCAATAAAACAAAATTGGCAATAATTTACTAGTAAACAAAGCCTTAACTGAAAAACAGCTCATCTATGGCCTGCAAATATAATGCGCATGACCCATCTAAAACACCGAAGTCGTAAAGTTATGCATTTATTAATATATACATGTAACAAAGTCATTGAAAATTAAATTCATAGACAGAAAAAAAACAGGAGAGAAAAAATAACACCATAGCAAGAGCTCACATTTGAGCTACAGGAACATTCAATAAAACATTGAAAGAAAAAAAAAAACAATCAAATTGAAACCAATGAATTTCTAAATAGTTAAGTACATATTTGTCATTGGAGAAATCTAGAAAATTAAAGATAAATCATTTATTAAACATTTTTCAAAAAAATATTGCTTGTAAAACATGAACAAAGTTTTCTGAAAAACAATTCAAAAATAATGTGAAGAAGTATATATATCACTAAAAAGGCGATGTATGTGAGTTAACCACTATATCTGTGAATATACTCGTATAATTGTGCTTTGTTGTCAGAAGATGTATTCAATAATTGCAATTGTCAAAAGTAATAGTTTATGGGAATCAAGGATTGGTTCGGGGTTGTCCCATAAGGACAGAGTATATGTTGATCCTGTAGTTTACCTTGCTCTGGATAATAGTATTTTTAAATGATTGACATCACCGCTTTATAGCATCAGTAATTTGCATGAAAATAATTGAAATAGGAGTATTGTTTATATGGGTTAATGAAATATAACTATACTTATACGAATTACCTATAGTTTATTATTGTTCTGTCTCGTTATTTTTAAACACTATACGTTTGTGCATGTGAATTTTATATACATGTATATAAATAGAGTTTTGTGGACAAATATCATTTTAGATACTTATATCAAAGTATTATAAACCCGACACCAGACAAAAATAAAAATAAAAAACTTACATTCTTGTTAATTCATCATGAAAATGATTACCCAACTTTTAGCTTGTTTTATAACGTACTAAAATACTTCCGAAATTTCCGAATACAAAATTTGTAACAGAAATCATGAAGACAAACTGAAATTCTATATTGTGCTTGTTTATTCATTTATTTTCTTATTTATTCAAGGAAATCCAACGAATACAAGACCATTGTAGATATGCATATTTCCTTTTAAAGTGTCAGATGAGGCGTAAAGGAATTATGTTCCAAAACACTGTCATCATTCACCTCATCAATTAATATTTAAAAGGTCTAATTGAGCAGATATGAAATTAAGAAAGTTAAGAAACAGACAAGGAGGGTCAAATTCGAAAGAAAAATGTCCACTGCCGATGCTGAAAAAAAATAAAGAAATAAAGATTTCAAAAATGCAGATGGGCTTGCGTTCCAATGCTCGGAGTATAACATGTTTTTCTAATCAATATGTCACAATATTTTACAATTTCGATAAATTATATGAAATCTTTTACAAAACAAGTATCAAAGAAAATCTTACAGATCAATAATAATATACTTTTTCCATCAACTTCATCGTACCTATGTCATAATGTTACAAGTGTTAAAAAGCAGTATATCTGTTAAATTATTTATGAATTAAAATTGATATTTATTATTTAAAAAGGGTGTCTGTCAAATCAATCAAATGATGTAAATAATTTACAGTGTAAAGACTGAGTCTTTTTTATTGTTCAGAAGGCCACAAATGAAATATAGATATGTCATTTGTTTTGTAATATCAAGGCTAATAAAGGCTTATATCATCATTTTTATGTTATTACAAAGTCTCACAGATAGTCAGACCCACAACAGGTTGTTTTTTTACTGACCATTGTAACTGCTGTAAAATTGTTCTTGGATGTTAAAGGGCGAGCCCTCAAACCGAAGGTCAATAACATTTTCTTTGACTTTCATCACCAGAACATGTAAATGAATTAACATTTGCAAGATAATGGCCAAAAGGTAAATCTGCACATACCATTACACATATGGTTATCTTAGAAAGTTTTCTGGATGAAATAGGCACAATTTACTTACCTGACTCATTCCCGTCGCCATCTTCTTTGTCGTCATCATCATCCTCAACTTCATCATATCCGAAACTTCCGGCTTTGATGGAAAGAGACCCTCCGCTAGGTGTCGTGAAAGTTATAGCGTCTGTTTTTATAGCATTTTCCACCTTGTAAACGATCTGCCCGAGGGTAAGACTGGATCCAGCTTGTTGCAGCTCAAACGATATAACAATGGAACCTTTCCAGAAAAAAGGTATTTTAATAAAATAATATAAAATAAAAATGACGTCAACTTAATTAGAATTTCAATGGCCAGTCGCGACGATTATATACCAATCGTTATAGTAAGTTGCAAATGGCTAAATTTATGAAATATATATAAAATGAAATCTTATTAAAATTGTTTGTGCAATTATATTAAACTATGAAAGGCATTGGAAGGTTATTTTGTCTGGAATAAACGATTTCATTGGGCCATATCAATCAATTAATAATAAAAGGAGTCTGCCAAGCAGCTTGCTACCTGAAAATATGTACATTTCAAGCGTGATAGACAAACACTTAACTACGAAGTGCAATATTACCTTTTTCTGATTTGAAATTCTTGATGCAGTTGCTGTTGATTCCTGTACCAGTAACGATGTCTTCTTTGACCTTGTTATTGAAGGCTGACACTGAATTACCAACAGCTGTATCGTAATCATCTACAAATGTGAACTCGACTTTCACCGATGTCGTGCTGTCTTTCATTTGTTTTGACGGTGGTGGGGTGTTTGTGCTTGATACTGTATTGGTATCCTTTGAGGAACTGACAACGGTGGTAGTGATAGTAGTCGTGGATTGTGTTGTGGCTGAAATTAAGTCAAAGTTACAAAATTTGTGCGTCAAGAATCTACATTTTTATACGAAAGAAATATGAGCATATTTTACAGACTATAGATGTACTTACCGTGATAGTTTTAGAATTTATAGTTTTTGTGAATCTTATAAATCTTCGATACGCTTTGTAATTATTTCAAATTAAGTTAATACCATAATTATATGGAAGAATGTTTTGTATACACGTAGTGCTTCGCTTGTTTTATCATGTAATGTTATATATACGCCTTTTCTTGATACAACACTGAACCATTAAACAGTGAAATTCTCGTTTACGTCGTTTTATGACTGACTGAAATAATCTAACATGCGTTGCCATTTCATGTACACTTATATTAAAAGAACTCCACGGAGATTTTTTTAATGAAGAGATGGGTATTATTTTTTTCGAGACTTGTGTACCATTTGATGTGGGCCTTGGTTATAAACATGTTTGCAAAATCTCTGATAATTCCCTCATCCCGTTTTCCCAGAATGATTATTTTTATTGCGCAAAATGACCGAAAACTGGAAAAAAAAACGTTGCAGATCAGGCTAAAATTGTACAAAAATTGATTTTCAACTTAAGTCTTGAGTATTTTTCTCTGCTACATTTTGCATTTTCATCTCATATTGCATATTTTTAGGCTGTTTGACCTTTAAACTCGTCCTAGAAATGTAAGCAAGCTTGCTGCTGACATTCCTTAAATCGTATAATCTAAGTCTGATAATCTTACATCTGCTACCGGTACAGACAGGAATATCTAACTCGATGGTAAAGTTCTGTGTAACTGCAATTCCGAGACAGCCGAATTTCCCCTTAGCTGTGTCTACAGTCAGTGTTTGATTCTTGATCCAGCATATTTGTTTTATAGATTATATTTTGAAAAAAAAATAAGAAAGCTTATATTTATATTTCGCGCCTTTTCTTTTAGAAGCGTATTAATACACACCATCAGAATGTTATATAACATTTCCAGTACCGGTGGACATAAAGTGGGAACATCCAGTCTAATACGCAGGCATGTATGAATTGATAATTCAAATACCATTAATAATAGGACAAAGAGTAAATAGAATAATACAACACCTACTTGTTACAACCTGCTCTTGTTTCACCTCTTGGAAAATACTGAAAATAAATTAAAAACATATATATGTATACTGTGCATATAGACATATGATTAAAAACGTTTTGTAAAAATAACAACTACATGATAATTGAAAATTGTGGATTTATTTTAACGGAACTTGTTCAAGATCTTGCAATATTTTTTGAAGGAAAAAAACAACTACATGTACAATTAAATATTGCTAAAGATAAAAACAACACATTTCTTATTTGAAAATTTGAAAAAATGTAATAAATTACCTGATTATACCAAGAGCGTTACAGGTACAAACGGCGGTGTGTTGTGACGCAGTTAGGTCAATAGATGGGATTGTGATATTGCACTGTTGATCAGACCAATTGTCAGACACCCACATTAGACACTGCAAAAATATTGAAAATGCTTATTATAATGTGTTGAATTAGGAAAATTAAAAATAGGCCGTAAGAGATGCTTTCTGTTAAGCAGTCGGGAGTTTGCCGCAGACTTACAAATGTAACAATTTGTCTACCTTACTGTTTCACAAGTTCTGCGCGATGCTGGACACACATTAAAATAACAGTTCAGTTTTGTCTTATTAAGGAGTACAGATTCGTTCTCTAAATTTTTGTCTCAGTTAATGAAACGTAATGTTACCATGAAGAAGAATCGAGAACAAAGATCAGCAAGGCAAAGGTAACATTCACAGGACACAGCCCCGACACACTTAACAATGAAAACCTTAATAAGCTAGAAATTGCCAAATGCCTGACTGCACTTTCCTGGCTAATCCGTAAAAGCAACAGATTGACTTTTTTTATTGTAACGGGTAGTGCACGGTAAAAATTGTTTGTACCTACGGATTAGATTGGAAAAAACACACATTTGTCGAGACCCGTTTATCATCAATTATCACTAAATTATATATTTAACTGGTTGGCTTAGCTTTCGTGTTAACATGTTAAATAACAGATATATATTTGATAAACTAGATTTATTTTCTGTTTAAATAACCACTTCATATTCCAGATGTCAGTGGGAAAATGATTAATGCTTTTGGGCACTTTTAAATGTTTTTAAATATAACAACATCATTTACTATTCATCTATTTAACATAGAATATCAGTCAATTAACGTGTTAATACAAAATTTACCCATTGAAAGTGTCAATTAATTGTAAAAACTGTTGGCAGAACTATTCAATCTTAAATCAAAGGCATACCTTATAGTCGTATTTGTCCATATCCATGGTACCATTTATAGTTAAGGTAGCTTCGATAGGCGTAGAAAGACTAGTCAGTTCTTCAACAGCATAATTTTCTGGACTTATCATTTTCAGGATAATAATGTCGCTTCTCCTAGTTGGTGCAACAACTTCCGTTTTAGCTGTGAAGGACACATAGTCTATATTTATCTGTGCTGTAGCAACGCACACATCTATGCATTTGTCGTAAAAAGTACACTGCCACGAATCATTGAAATATGATTCTAAATAGCTTCCGTAATTTACCTGAAAATGTTTTTAAAAATTATTTGAGAAATAATATATTGGAGGACGAAATCCACTGAAAGCGATGACAACAAAAGAAAATATTTGAAAATTTCTTCTTCTTCTACTAACTAGATATAATGGAAATGCATTAATGCATTAACATCATTAATGCCCCCTAGCACGGTCTCAATGAGTAAGTTCCCAACATTACAAGTAACCAAAAGTTAACAGCTGCTTTTGAGATCTTTCTTTTAACTATGTCTATGAAATCAAGCTGTTATGTGTAATAACTCAAGAAGATAAAATGCAATAACTAATTTTAAGTGTTTGTGTCAGTGTTATTCCCACTTTATAACAATTATAGTGAAGAAAATTCATTTACAACTACAAAATGATACAAAATCACAAAAGAACAATCCAAAAATAGAAAATCTTAGCTCCGAAGGGTCTAACATAACTTAAGCGTATTATTGTTAAAGTGCAATAATTCTTAATTCCGTTTAGCGATTTTATTTGCTGAAAATCCAGGAATGTTTTAAGGACTTTTTCATTTTCATTTAACATTTCTATGGTTTGTTTAACATATTTTGTTGATCTAATTCAATTTTACCTCCAATCAGTTCTCTCCATGAAAGCCAAGGACAGTTTTGGATCGAGATACAATACAATGTAATGTCAAATTTATTCGTTTTTACACTTAATTACCAATTCAGTTATCAACGTCAATACGGTATCATTAATAATATCTCAGATCGTATGTGATACGTGATGTTAGTACAGCCCAATATTTACATGTATGTTATTAGTTATCAAAAAATTTTCTCTAAAAATGATGCTTGCTGTATTATAAATTCGTTATAACTGCTCGGGTTATATTTACAAATAACCGTTTATATAGGCCCGTATAACCTGTCAACGATCTTTATAACTAATAAAATAAAGTTATAAACGTCACGATTATCTAATGAAAAGCGACGTTACAAAACGTGGAGTATCATACAATTAAATACAAATGTATAGTATTACAGCGCTTGTAAATGTTTCTACCTTAGCTGGATAATCAACTTCAGGGCACGTGGAACAGCTGACGTCGGATTGAATTGACGCATATCCGTCTAGATTAGTTTTATGTAACCTGACATACGAGAGCTCAGCCGGAGCCAACCAGGGTTCGGAACCAGTAAAATTGATACACATTGCCACCATGACTTCATCAACTACGGTCTTGAAAAAGTTAGCGTCTTCTTGTGTAATAGTCTCTTTACTTATAAGCGAATCTAATGCTTTCAATCCAATGCTAGCCTGAAAAATAGACACACATCGTCATAACGTCGGCAAGGGTAGCAAAATTGTAAAAAATTGTGTAATGTTTTCCTGTGTCCTCAATTCTTTAACAAAATACATATTTCATTAAAATTATCATTCAGCAAAAATATCGTTTTGGAATTTAAATAATTCAATTAGAAATTATTCAAATGCACTGTAAATATGAAGCGTATTTAAAAATCTGGTTTACATACTGCAGATGCTGTAAGTCCCTTGGGTTTAGAAGTTTCAGTCGTTGATCGCTTTTTTCTTCTTTTATCTGTGAATATTATAAATGAAATATGAGGTTCTGCTCTTCCTTGTTAATATTTACATTCATATCTTAGAATAGATAATTTGCATGTAAAAGAAAATTTCATTATGTTCGAAGATATTATATGGGTAAAACTTCTAAAAGTGATACAAAATATAGAACCAAGATACAGACTGATAAAACATGTCATATATATTTCAATATTGAAACAGACAAGAATAAATAATGGAAACGCTAATTTTGTCGCAAAACCCGGCGAAATATGTGAGGTTCCACAAGTTCGATAATTAATAAGCTTAGTTTAAGCGTAATTTGAATTGAAACTTTAATTTCAGTGGGTTTTGCTGGAGCAATCAAGTACAGGGGCAGTATCATCCGCCCTATTAAAAAGTCAAAAATCGCAAATTTTCGTTGGCGGCATAGACGAGTGGTAAACGCAAGGATCACTATAGTCGCGGGCATTTAAACCTCGTAAGGGGCAAGGCGTGGTTTCCTTGTGCAAAGAACTTTACACATATTGCTCAGTACTGGTTGGTTCCATGAACGGATTCGGGAGCCTATAAGTTATTAGTTTCCTACACAAATAAAAGACTTGTTCATTAAATGATTAATTCAATTAAATATTAAATCATTAGCAATCAAAGTAAAGTAATTATTATTAGCAAAAGTTAGTTTTATACTCATTTCGAATTCTGCACAACTACGAAATAGAATTACCTGTCATAAATATTTCTTTTTCTTTTCTTTTCAAGAAATATAATAAGTATATATTTGCAAATTTTATACAGTTTCATAATAAATGAAATCCCCGTCAATGACTCCAATCCCGATTAAATAGAAAAGAAAATAATAGAAACGTAATTTTGTTTACCAGTTCCAACTGCTTCTTCAAGAATGGCCTTAACATTCTGTTTTACATCCTCTTTAGCACCTTCATCTAAATCCGCAGGTGAATCTACAACATCAACAGTCTGCTGGAGTGCCGATAGTTTCGAGGTAATGTCTCTGAAATTAAGACGAACCATATTAATACTCCTGGCCTAATTTAATTTCCTGTAATATTTTCTGTACTACGACAATATTTTCTCATTGCTATGAAAAGCTTAAATAGTTGTATGAAAGGACTGTTTTTCTTGATAGTTGCTTTGAAACCTGAACAGATTAAATCCTGCCTGGCTTGCTATTACCACTGTTGTTCATGAACAGGCTCAATTTATCCAAGGCTACGGTAAATTTGCCGCCTTTGCGCGATCTCGAAGGTTTATTGCTAAAATCTGCTATGAATAGATGGAACTGATCAAGTTAAATGCATGAATAGAGAAAAATGAGAAATTATTGCAAAATGTTTTACTAATTACTGAAAATTAGAATTAAGTATTTACTGAACTTGAGAAAGAAGATAAAAATCTCAACAAAATAACTATGAAAATACATGTACATAAGTAAAAAAGATAAATACAAAATCCCTAAAGAAAGCCCAACACGGCAAAATTGAAAATGTTGCAGGCTCGGTTTGATTGAGCCTGTTCATGGACGGTAATGGTAAGTGCAAGTTACCGTCCACGCCCCCTAGCACCGGCTTAAGCAGAATTCAACATTTAACATGAACTGGTACAATTTAGAATTTTGAAACATCCGCAGATGTGTTCATATGGCGGTTATCATGGAACCTTCAATGTGACACGTTTGTGCCATTCCATGAAAAGCGGCATATGGTCCCCAAGTAAACAAATGCGTGTGTCCTAAACGAGAAAACAATGGGCGGAACTAAATAAAATGGAATTTTGAAAGGGGATCTGAGGTTATGAAGCCTGCGTATCACAGATAAGACGTCAAAAGACAAATTTAAAAAGCAGGCAACATATCCTAAGGGTGATTCAACATTATTCAAGTAGGAATATTGGAACCACCCAACTAGAAAATGCCAAAAAGTTGAAACTAAAAATACCACAAGCACAACAATAATGTCGTGATGAAAGATCTTCAAAGACATGTGTATACATTGTAATAATTTGATAAATTCTATAAATGATCTTTTTTTTTAAATGAAAACGCTTTTTTCATATTGAATTATAACTTTTTATAGTTATAGACTTTTATTTTGCTTTTACTGTATGGTAATTTAAGATTTGTTCATGGAAAACTAAAAATTAAGTGTTAGAATATGTTACCATAGTTTAGTCTTTGATAAAATCATTGATACAAAGCACATTAGAGCACTTTACTAGTTTATCATATAACTGGTTCTTAATTTCGTACAATTCTAAATAATATTTAAATAAAAGACTTGAAAAATATGGTACAACAAATACCTAGCAGTTTCAAACGCTCGTTTGATGGCTTTCTGCATAGCTTGTTTAAGACTCTTTTCAGCGTTTTCTTTCTTGACGACATCGACAACCTTCTTTTTCATTGATTTCTTTAATTCCGCAACAAAGGATAAAACCCCTTCAGTATCTATATTTACAAGTAGATGACATAGGAATATTAACCATTTATTAGTCTATTTAAGATTTAAGAAACAGGCTTTTGCGTCTTTGAACGATCATTTCATGCAACTAAATGACATATCTGTTCAAGGAATAATATTCCAAAATACGTCTTTTACTTTGTTTCTTTTTAATTTGCCAAATAAAATCCGCCGCTTATTTGGAATTGTTTTAAACTCACAAATTTATAAATTAATCTGTCATTAAGCAATATACTTATCCAATGACTTTTTCAGAAATATGCATACTCTTACCTAAACTCAATAATTGAGGCAATGTGGTACTAATCACATTCAAAACTTCTTCCTGGTCAATGGGGTCTGCTGTAATAATTTCGTCAGCTTCTTTTCGCGAACATTTATTGAAGATATTGCAACATTCCACCTCAATTTTATTTCTACCTGAAATTTGAATATGAAAGGTATAAACTGATTGAAAACATTAAGATGCATGCTATGAATATAAAAGGTAAAAACTGTATTGTTTGAACAGCTTAGGTAAGAATTTAAATGCACGGTATTGTTTTAACAATGCAATTTGTAAGATTTATGCTTGAAGTGCCTACAAGAATTCTAGATACAAAGCAAAGACGACCCGGTATGTGATAATTCATGTGAAAGAGTGTGCAAAAAAATGCGATAAATAGTACAGACGACCCAGAATTTGACAAATTTGGCTCATTTATTAAAGCAGCACGCCTCCAGATTCATGCTAATTTTCATGAAAATTTTGAAAATGTATTTGAAAGTGTAATATTGTGAAGTAAACAAAAGAAAGCAAATTACACATTATTAATGACACTAACAAACCAGGTTAATTACCAAAAAGTGGTCAAAATATGCATAAATAAGCTTTACTGCGTTAGTAACGCAGTAGAAATAGAGATGTATATACTGAAAAATCAGTCATTAATCGCACATAATATGTAAAATATTACTTGAAGGTTGAAACTTTTTACTTTTCCTAACATCTAAGTACATTTTTCCAAAGTTTGATTTATATCATCTGGAGGCATGTAGATTTAAGATGCATTGGTCAATTAAATATCTCAGTGGAATTATTACGTGAAAGACGCATTACCCTCGGAGAGCGTAGTTTCTTTCTGCTCATCAATGTTTATTGGTACTGTATTCATTCTCCTGATCTGTTTCACTTGGCTGTCCAGATTCGTGTAATAAAAATTACATTGAAGTGCAGCATCATTCAGGTCATCTTGCCAGCCAGATAAAAGAATTCTCACTTTTGTTTTCAGAGCAATAATGGTATCATCATCTGCTTCAATCTGAAAACAAAAATCCCTACCGGAACATGTGATCCACATACCTAAACTATGATATTATCTATGTATGTGAAAACCGCTTGTACCCTTGCTGAGCTTCTGAAATAAAACTGCTTTGTAGGTTTACGCTTTAAATCAGAAAAAAATATTTAAATATTTATTTGGATGAAGCTATTAGCAACGAAAGATACAATTCTAAGAAATAAACACAAAGCACTACATTGTGCAAGTTGATATTCAAGTTATAATTGTCAAAATAAACACAATTAAAATCAAATGAATGAAAACACAATTTATCAATGGAGAGGATGCACGGAGCAGTGAAGCTTCCTGAGAAGCTTTACAGTCGCCAATTACCGATAGAAAAATATAAAAATCTAATGAAAATGAAGCAAAAATAATGACGTTAATTATTGGATTCACAGAAAGAAATACGCAAGAAACAGTTTTGATTTGAAAATCAACAAATCATTCATACCTTGATTATTCCAGGTTTGGGATGCGGCACAACCATTACTTTGAATTCTCGAGAATTCAGTACTAAGAATTTACTATCTTTATTGTAAGCAAATAGTTTCAAAACATAACGTTGTGCTGGAATCAGGTTGGCATCGTGTAAATTTAGCTTTATGTGGCACATCTCATATGACGTCTCACTGTATTTGATATTTTCTTTTCCCAAACGGCCACTGATTCGAAAATTTGTAGGATCAAGTAGAATGTTTTCTGATGCTTCTGAGCGATCTGTAAAAGCGTTTCTATGATTAAATACAGAAATATCTATAAATCTAAGGAATACATGATTTTTGAAGTTTTATACTGTTTAATCAAATCTGGGACATACGAGTTATCGTATGTCCCAGATCAAATGACGCAATTTATCATACTCTTTCAAAAATACTACTCAAACTAGCTCCTCATTTTAAATAAATAATATCTATTCAATATTTAAAAAATCTGATTTGAGACTAAAATCATTTGAACTTTAGTAAGCATCCTTAAATTCAAATATGTAAAATTGCTAGATTTGTTTATTTTTCTTATTCACCAAGTTATGAAAGTCTTGCGAGGTAAGACTGATAATTTACCGTCCATATCATTGGTCCACCATTTGCAACCTGTGCCTTTTCTAACCTTTGCATGTATCTTAACAACAAAACTGTCATCCTCTGATAGATATATCATCTCTGGTGTTTTACTGTCAATTTCTGGGACCTGAAGCTGGATCAATTCTTCTGAAAACTCAAGCTTCTGACTAGAGCGGTATATTAAGTCCATTTCCGATTTTCGCCTCATTTCACAAGTCCATATTTGTCTGAAATTTTAATAAGCCACAACTACATGACATGTAAATTATTACATAATCGAGCATTACTTAATTACTCAATGTTTATACAATATGAAAAACACAAGATCAACAAGGAAGAGCAACATTTCATTTATGCTTATTAAAATATCTTATGTTATGTGGTGCAATCTATGTTTAAATCTTTTTATTGGCTATTTAAAATGATTAATAAAAATAAAAAGATATCATAAGTACATAAACACGTTGGTCTATATAAGAACAAACATTAACAATAAAACCCCTTAACTTTCAATAATATTATTTACAAATAAACATTTACACTTTAGTAACATATTTTTAACAACAAACTCATAAAAAAGCTTTGGATATTTTTATTTCATTAAAATCTCTGATATTTATCACGTTTTCAATATTAATACAAATTGTTGCATAAAAAGGCTTGTAATGAAATATTCAAAATTTACATGAGGTTAAGTCCATTTCTAGGCTGCATCCTGTCAGATTTTCCCAACGAAATTGTATGTCCAGATCTTTCAATTGGAATATACTTCTTGTCAGCGTCGGAGTATTCAAAGCATGGTCTAAAATCATTTTCATCTTCTGTACCTGTGATAACGTTATCCTGAAATTTAATAAGCATGTGATGAGTAAAAAAAATGTTTGCATCCTGCTATCCATATCAGTAAATACAATTATTTTTATTGTTTTTCCACTAAGTCTAGGCGTGACAGATTTTGAACTTTTACACCATCTCTCAAAAATAGATTCAATGAAACCGTGTCTGGAATTTCCATATATCTTTGTAATTTTCATTGCCTCCGAGGAGTGACTCCTTTTCCTTTTTCAAAAAAATTTTGCCTTTTACCTCTTGAAGCATATAGAGATATTCAAAAACTGACGTAATTAGTCTAGGAATATTCATACAGACTCACAAAATGAATGAATATTTATAGAACTTACGTTGCAAGTCTATACATATTCATATCAACTCACTCTGAATATCAATAAATATTAAGAGCTTATATAACGAGTTATTGAATATTCAGTAGGAGCATTGCTATTCATAAAGATATTCATAAAGAGCACATGTATATTACTTATTCATAGCAACTCACATTACAGCTCCATGAATATTCATAATCACTTTTATCAGCTGCCGTATCAAATATGTCGGAACATGTCAACGTGACTGTGTCGTCATAAGTAGGGCGCCCAGTGATTGTCTCAATCAGTGGTTTAATTGGAAGGGGTCTGGTTTTGAATGCAACAAATCTATTAATTTCACTGGCACCATCTCTTGTCACTGTAACATAAATCATAGAAAAACGATGTTTATGTTTAATTGTACAATGGAAATGTATTGTCTTATTCCTTTAGATATAAACAGGTTGCATATCAAATGAATGTTACATAAAGATAAACACAGATTATTAGTAAAAAAATGTAAAAAAGTATAAATTGTTGTTTTCATTTTTTTTTTCACTTATAAAGCAATTTTCCTTTTTTTTTGCTTTTTAAGTTTTGAAAAAAGAAGAAAAAAACTCCATATGTATAAGATGAATTATATTTTTGATTTATTGCTGGCCAGAAGTTAAAGCAGTTATATTTAATTTGTTACCTTTGCAAGTGAGGTTATATTGCGTGCGTGGTTTAAGCTGTCCCTTTGGTATAAATGTCTTAAATTTCGGCTCTAAACTATAGTCAGGAGGAGTTAGCGACCAGGTTATGGCTGGGATGGATTTCTACAACAAGAAAGTCTAGTCAAACATTTTTTCAAATTGTATAAGCTTTTTATTGTGCAATTAAAAATATCAATTATCTCTGGATATATTAAATATAAATTCAGATTTTGTTCTTTATCATATTAATTGATGACTTGCATTATAAACCCCAATTTATAAACTTTATTAAATAGTTTTCTCATCCAGTATCTCTCGAAACCAAACCTGCAAACCGTCAATTTATACGGAAGCTGAGAGGCCGGTGAAAAGTACATAAAGTAAATATAGAAATATCTAAATATCAATGTAAATTTAAAGCGTAAAAAACAAGTATAATCACATGTTTAATTGTAAATTTTATTTCGATTTACCTGTGAAGAGGTACTTACTTATTCCATTAAAATACATTTTTTGTCATTCCACATTCACCTTAATTAGGAAAATGCATATTTCGTAATTCCCCTCCTTAAGCATTGACATTGCATTAATCTTTATTTCACCATTAATTCAAAGAAACAAGATACAACTTTCTTAATTTTCCACCTTAATTAATGGAAATAATATATAATCAGTGAAAGGCTTAATCTGTATTTGAAAAGACCCATTATCATTGTTTTATGCTGAAAGAAGTATATTCACCGATAGAAATATTGAAGAAAAAACAAAAAACAAAACATGAACTGCACAGACAAATAGAAGACCGCTGACGTGTTTATTAAATAAATGAATTAAATTAAGGAATTTATCTTTTTGTAGGTATTAATCAAAATTATAATCACAATTGTTATAAATCCTATTGATTATGCTATATAAAGTGTCTATTTTTAATAATGCCCTTTCAAAATTGTAAAAATATACTTACATCACCGTCACAAAGACTAAGCTTAGCTTTGATAACTAAAGCTTCATTTATATCAGTATCATCTTCCATAATTCCACGTATTTTTACAGCTGCCGTCGAATCCGAGTCTTTTATGATTGTAGTCGAATCTTCTCCACTGTACTTTCCTGCCGTCCACTTAGCGGTAAAAATATAGGGTACACCCTCTTGCAGCTAAAACGAGTCATAATAATTTAAAAGAAAACGTACAAAATGATTGATTTTGCTAATTTATTGAATTTGCCGTATGTCATAGTTAAGTGAGAAAAACTATTAAATAAGCATGCAGCGTGTAAGAATTGAATCGAAGTCCACTTGCAAAGCGAAATGAAGAATCATTAAAATTATACATCTTCATTGTGCTATGATTTAATTCGAAACATACAACATATAGTTAATCCTTCTTTTGAATACATGTCATACATTTTTTATATCAGATTGTGCGATATACATGTATACTAATTATTTCTAAATATTGTATATTTCTAAAACAATAAGCGATACATTTTTATTGAATTTATTTATCATAAAATATCGTATATGTATATATGTATATATATGTTATTTATACGTGTATTTGTTATGAGAAGATTCAAATATTAAAATATGATTATTTAATTTTACGTAAAACATACGTCGCTTCCCGTGATTGTGAAACTTGTTGATGTACCTAACTTCTCTTGTAAAGAAGTGACATGTGCTGCATCTAAAAATAAATAACACAACTACTTTCCGAACAAATATACAACTGATAGATAAAAGATACTTAAGTGGCATATTCAGGAACATTTTTTTGCAATCTCTTTACTGGCTTTCTTCGTCTTTCATTATCAAGACATTCGCTTTTGTAATTAGAATGTACATAAATGTTTAATTCAAGACATATTGTACATTATTGTGAGACAAAGTTTTGTTCCATAGATATAAAAAAGAACATCAGTTATAAGTAATCCATAGGATACTGTCACGTAACTGTTTTACTGGTAAATAGGCCATAACTGTTCCTGATATTTAATGGCTGATATTCTATTATAGTTTAAGCCGTTGCTAAGGAGCATTGGCAATAGCTTCCACCTCCAGAACCATTGCAGTATATCAACGAAGAAGTTAAAGAGTAAATAAAACAAAGTGTGATATTTAGGTTTCCCAATTTACAGTTTGTTTAAAGCCAATTTTGTTATTTCAATGCATGCATGTAACTTTTGACGTCCCTAACAACCAGTTTTGTGGTATTCATTTGCAATAGTAAAGTCAATGAACTCTAATATTCCATAGCGTCTTGCACCATTTAATGTAAAATGCTCACCCGCGCCAGTCGCTGACACTATCCAATTGACAACAATATCCCAGCATCCAAGATTTCTAATTTTTAGCTTCACTGTTACAGGAGAGCAGCCAACTTTCTTCATTGTCTGAGAGTCAATCTTTACAATGGGCTTCCCCTTTGTTAAAAATAATATTGTATAAGAATGATAAAAAAAGTAATAAAACTAATACTAAAGTTGGATTATAGCCATTTTGATTGAAAAATACTTAATCTATAAAACCAATTTTTGTCATGTAAATGTAAAAATTGGTAATATATTGAGTTTATTTAGTTAAACATTTCTGCCTGAACTAATGATAAGAAAGGTTCAAGTTTGATCTCTGAAATTTTACATGAATATTCATTGTATTGTTATTATATTTCTAGTATAAAGTCAATCCGAGTGTGTCGGGGGCCGCGTCCTGTGAACGTTGCCTTTGCCTTGCTGATCTTTATTCTTGTTTTTTTTTCTGATTGCTCTGGAGAAGTACCCCCAGTTTAAACAACAATATATATCACATTTGGTAAGCCAATGGATAAAATTGTATTGCACCGAAATAAAAAAAACCAATTCATTTCGCAATTAATTTGACGAAAAAAGTTAATCTTTGGGGTGTGCATGAGAAAATAAAAGAAGAAATATTATTAACATAGAAAACCAAGGATGAGGGACGTTTAGTGTAAACTATCGCTTAAGGTTGGACAAAAATGCATTCGTTTTGTAGATTGCACGTTGACAAAACAAAGTCTTTACACGTCAAATACGTTTATGTAAACGATTTTGTACTGTAAGTAATGTTGATTTTGAGAGGCTTGATTTTCTAGAAGTCTTATGAGAAAATTAGTTCCATAAAGGATTTGAATGTGTTTGATTCTTTGAAACTTTTCAAGTAAATTACCGGGTATATTTCTAATATGACTTTATAACAGGAAGCAAGCGACAGATATATATCGTGACAATATAAGGACCGGAATGGGTCTCTATAAATCACCGCCACAAAACACCGATAAAAATAAATAAATGAATGAAATGTTCCAGTCTTTTTTGTTTGGCAGAAAGTCCGTGTATATTTGAGCTAGAAAAAATTCATGTCTTTAAATAAGCGGGTAATTTGTCATATAGTCGTTAAAGAACTGGTGTGTTTACAATAACAATTTAAAACAAAGAAAGATAAAAAAAAACACAAAATAAAAAAACAACAAAACAATATCATAACACTTATTCCACCTTTTCTTCTGTATCATCATTTGTCACTGTGACAGAGCCTGTCAGTTTTTCAACAAGTTGATCGTCCGTGTGATGTTCAGCTGCACTTGAAATTACTCCTGGCTTAAAGATGAGATCCCCTCCTGCTTCTATAGGTGTCTTAAATTCTATAAGCATTCTGTTACTTCCTTTTAGTAGAAGGCACTTGTCCTCGTCATCTGCAATATTATGATCAATTATTATGAGAATTGGCCTTGATTGACATAATTTAATACAACATTTTGCTACCACTTAATCAATGTAGTAATAATTTTGATTAATTAACATCAAGAATAAAATAACTGCTTATTTAATTATTACTTAGTAAAAGATTCGCTTTATTGTCAACAATGTGTAAATATTCTTTTATAACTACTTTTAAAGTAGACTGATTTTTTATATCCTGTCATAATATATCATAATTGGCAGAATATTATACTATTAATAGCCAAAGAGAAGATTAATGTCAGTTACTGAAAATTGTAAAAAATGAACTAATTATAAAATATGTTTTCCTCTTGATATATTTAAGAACTTCTCACCAATAAGTGTTGGTGCCGTAAAGTAGTCCCCACATGAATCGCCAGATGTACCGATTACTTTTGTACTGAATGTTACTATAAGCTTTGGACATCCATATTTATCTAAGACTGCTGATACCGCACTTGGTGCCGGTAAAACCACAGAAAACTGCACACCAGGCGTTTTAAATAAGCTTGAATGTAAACAATATGATATTTTCAACTTTTATGATATAGGGCCTATTTTTGATGCACATACTTTATAGCTTTTCTGTTAGAACGGCATAAGGTTAGCATCATATTATGGAATATTAACCCTGCATCAGCAAGGGCAAAGTTTTTAAATACTCGTATGTGCACTTGCCCATTTTGTCGACTGCATTATGTACAAGAATGACTAAAAAGCAACCAAATAAATGAAAGTACATTGCATTTCCCTCCCACCCCAATGATACAAATAATTTGGCAAATGAAGATAAATGCTCACCGGACGTGTCAAATTATCCTTAAGTTTTAGAAAGACAAAAACAAAATTACACCGATACGTTTTAATTGTGATATTACAGACTGTTGTTTTAAACCATTAATATAAATGGCAACGTAAGGTAAGAAGTTCTAAACGTCTCTAAAATGTCTAAAGTTAAATCTTCATGCAACTACATGCGACATGAATGTTAAATGCAAGCTTATGAAGTCAAACAATGCTAGTATCAACACGTCACAGCAATTCTACTATCAAAATAGGTAAAGAAAGCAGTACATAGCTAAGGGAAATCAGTTTTTTAAATTTTTAATTGTCCTTTATTTGTATAGTAATGTTTTGTTTTCGTTTTTTATGTTTTGATGTACGTCTTTATTTATTGTTGTTTCTTTTTTTAATTTGAAAGTCAATCTAATAAAAAAGTGACTTATTTTAATCATATAGATAGATAAATGTATATTTCTTTCCATTAATTTATAGTATCTGTACTATGTAGTTAGTTAAAATTTATTATTGGATGTAATTTTATAATTAGTATGATATTTTATGGTGTTATTATAATGTTTTACTAGTCTCTTATAATTCAATGATTGAATGGTCATGTACTATTTTGTGTTTTATGTTTGCTTTTGAATTTTGCTTGTGTATGTACATGAATGAGACTTAGATAAATATAAATTGGTAGCTACCTTTCAATATCAACAGTTTGTAGCTTTTGCAAAACAACATAAATATTGTAAGTTTGTCCTCGTTTTCTTGTGAGAAGTCTTTTTGCTGGACAAATCACTTGTGCATCATTGATACGCTTTCCTTTGGCATCTTTATAAGAACAAGCTTCATCTGATAAACACGGTCTAACACAGATAACCAGTCCTGTATCCAAGAAACCACTTCCTGTTATGGTTATCTGCAAAAAAAACAACTTGAAAAATGTTAATTTGAATAAGACTTAAGTTATGGAGCTACTAATGTTCAGCAATTATTATCAATGATATGTTTGTTCTAGTCTTATCTAAAACAATAAAACACAGGATAATTATTTACTCAAATGCTTTACTTAGAAAAAGATTCTCAAAGAATGCAGCTGACGTATTTCTGTTCCAATACCCTACAGAATTTTAAACAATATCTTATTTTGTAGTAGGATACACTCAAACTGAATAACCAAACAATAGAATAATATATTGTTGTACTAATTCTTACATCCCCTATATCAGATATTAGACTTTTGACCGGATCTACAGATGTAAGTACTGGATTATTGTGTAAGTGTAGATACTGGTCATTATCCTTTGTAGAGGCAGTTTGTCCGTTTATCGTACAAGATATACCAAATAATCCTGTAAATGGTTTTGCTTGAATCGTCAGGATAATTTAGGGCTTATTTGCTATATACGTAATCTTTGTTACGACAGGTGCTCCGGCGTTTTCCTGAAAAGATAATTGTAAAAGGAACATAAAAACATGTTATTTTATGTTTAAGAAAGCCTTGTGTTACTGTTACATCTTAAGATCAAGTACTAACTAGTAACAACTGTTTTGTTTAGTTTCTAAGCCATACGTTTACTTCGTTTAATACGCCTATGATATATCAAGAAATCTTTCATTCAACAAGTCTTAATTTCTGTAATCAGTATCCAACAAATGATTGATGTGTTTAACAAGAGTTAGCTTAATCAGAATTGCGTTGCGCTTTCAAATGTATTGGTTTCTTTCAAATGAAAAATACCTATTACAGCAACTGCTTTGTTCATATATCTCGTCGGAACTAACGCAAGCAGTTTTATATAAATTTTGAGAGAAACGTTAAATATTTTCTTAGCCTAACAGGTTTTTTATTTTCACAGTATGACTGTGTATTGATGTTAAATTTGATGCATTTGAAAAATTGTAAATTGATGAATAATACCGGTATATTATGAATTTCAAATTGTGGTTTCCTGAAAATTACTGCATTGCTGAATATAACACTAAGTCTTAAAGTACATGTGATGTACATATACAAAGTGATGTAGTGAATTTAAATGTTACGTACTTCACTTTCTTCTTTGGGTTCTAAAAGGCACTCGGAAATATCAGGACTGTCATTTTCCGGCAGTCCACTGACATTGACAGTTATATTCATAACGGCCCAAGGTATTGACGTAGGAGGATGAATGTTTCCTATCTTTATCGCATCATTGCCACAATTTTCATTGAGTTGTGCGATCGGTTTGCAATCACCACATGTGTTTTCAGCGTACAAACCCTTTTCTCCAGCACAATCTAGACAATCGTCATTACCACAGGGTACTCCACATTGATCTTCCTTAATAACTGTTCCTTTTGCTATGCAAAAACCACAACTGTAAATTAAAAACATAAAGAAGTCTTGAAATTTTATTGCAATAACTGTGTACTTTGTACAAACAAAATTTAATTTAATTATTCAGTTATTTCAGTATTGGATTATATTTTTTTTACAAAACAAAAATGCATAACCACTCACTTATTATAGAATATATTCCTAATTCGTCATTCACATGACCTTTTATGCCCCTTAGAGGCAAACTATGTTTTTTATAAATGAAATCATGAACATAAAAAATCTTCTATGTTTTCCTTTCCAACCCTATAGTAAATGAATAAATGGAATAATATGTAATTTTGCTATACGACGACAGAGTTCCGTTGATATTAAGTTCGAATCATTTATCAAAGGTGACTGAAAATGGGTCGAATATTAATGCAAGTATAAAAATGTGGAGTGGTATTCACACACATGACAGGGCTAGTTATACAACCGGAATGTTAACAAGAAGGGCAGCAAATGTATAAACGAAAAATAAACATGATAACCAACAACCATACTGTCTGTTTATTGGTTGTCTTAAAAGCAGAAGATTGCCAATTAAAAACAATCAAAGCGTGGTATTTGTACAAGAAAATAAGTCAGAAAAATACTTGAGCGGCTTACGTGTCTATATGCTCAGAGTTAAGAGTTTCACCTTCCAAACAGATTTCAGACATACTATCACTAAATTCTTCTTGTCTGCAAAATAAAACATATTTCTATATATTTCAGCTTAAACTATTTAAAAACATACATGAAATAAATCAAATTGTTTTAGAGTTTGACATATCTGTTGATTTCCAATAATCAATGTACAAATCAAATTCTATTTTGTTTGCATAACTATGCATCTGTTTTATCTAAACACATAAGAAAGAGCGTTGCATGATATGAATTATTGCTTATTCTATCAAAATAATAGAACATTTATATTTTGAAAGGCTTATTCCCTTTTTGATAAACATATGCATGTATCTTTATGTATTTCAACAGTGAAAGCTTCATACTACTTAGTAAACAGGTTTCATAAATTCATTATACATATAAAAGAATAAAGTAAAGCTAATATAATTCTGTGATTTATACTAGGGAAAGGCCCAACCTTTCGCAATAGCCTTTTCTTATTTGTTTGCATTCTTCGACATCACAATTGACTTCATTATTCGTACCACCGCATATACCACATTCATCCAGCTGGGCATCTATAGTTTAAAAACAAAATATTAATATAGGTATTGTAATACTATAATATTATATCATATCATATCAAAATCATATTACATCATATCAATATCGTATCATATCATATATGTTTAATACGCTGGTTTTGTCATGTCGTGGCTCAATTCAACTTACCTCCATTTGGTTCACCAAAGCAATCCAAACAAGACCGATCATCACCGCAGCCACATTGCATCATTTCTTTGCCAGAATTTGGTTCACCATCACAACCAGCACGTGGAAGAGAAAATTGTACCATGTCTTTTGAATAAGTAGATTTTGTCCCAGCATAGCAGTATTTCTGGATCTGAAAGGGCGTTATGTCCTTTGTGTTAATATTTGCTTTCATGTTTACAAAAATGAATTAATTTGAAAGTAGAGCCAATTTCAAGCAGCTTAAAGTATGGTTATTTTGTGTTTTATATTTTGCGAAATGGCATTAAAACACAAAATACTTGTTAAATAGGCGTATATTAGTCATGAATAATATATAAATCTTTCTATCCATCTCATGGTTACAAAGCTTCGACATTTGGATATAAATTTCGCTACATGTACTGCTCTAGGTTATTATTTCCTATCCGTAAAAAGGAAATACCAGGGCAGCCATGGAAAGGAAACAATGTTTGACAATTACACCTGCTTGGTCAAGTGTGTTCATGAGTTTTTAATGAATTCAACACTGCAACTATGTAAAATCTCAATCTAAAATCAACAGTACGAAATTCAAATCAACATTCAACCATTTAGATATAAGATTGGACCCAATCAAAACGCACTTACTCCAGTTTCGAATGTGTCACATATTTCTAGGCTAACAGTGTCATCTGTCATAGTACTGTCATCCTTGAAGCCATCCCAAGCAAGAACAGCTATCTTTGGTGCACTGTCTAACAGCCAGGTTTCTTTTTTGTGACTGAAATTCATGCAGAATTTATAGCAGGAGTGTAATTCCTCTGAAAATACTTTGATTAAAAAGAACAACAAAAAACCCAACAAAGTTGAAGAAATAAAAAAATGAAATAAAAAAGTTGATACAAAGACAAAAACAAATAACATGCAAATACAAAATCAAACAGAAAATGATGAGTAAAATAGAAACGATATATATTGTTCTTGCAAAATTGTTAGTATGTTTGTCATTGAAAGTTAAAACTGTTCATTTGATGTGTTTTATAACTAAGCAGGATAATTATTGTCCATTGGTATAACTGCCATGTGCCCATATGCAATATTTTTCTACTCAAACCTGAGGAACCTATTCTCATTCACAAAGGTTTAAAGTGGTTGATACTTTTAGGAAACCCAATTATGAACGAGTTATAGTTCCTTATAGATGACGAGAACTTTTTCAGGTATTCTAAGCTATATATTGTAGATGCTGCACAGAGAACTGATTTGATTAAGATAGTTTAAAGTGTATCAATGGTAAAATTCGAACATGAAAATAATATGAAACAGTACCTCTCTGAAACGGTAAATCTAAGATAATCTGTCGGATGGAGAAGTTTCACGTTATGATTAATCTGTTCAGATTCTGGAACTGTATCCATCGGAACCAAAGTCTCCCACGTACTACCCTCATCCCTTGAATACTCCCATGTTCCATCTGAAAATGCAAATGTGTATGTTATATCGAAACGGGTTTTTTTGCAAGACGTTAAACAAATTAAGAGCATTACAGCGAATAATAATGTATAACATAAAACTAAGTTACGTTTTAAATAGCTGGTTACAACCATAGAAATGCAGTATATTTTTCATTTTAACAAAATTGTCACTACTACGGTAATGGAATGTTTTAATATTACAGGTTGGTAGAATTGAATAATTTTGATAAAATTATCTTGAAAGAAGAATACACTTAATCGTATATCAAGGGCCAATTATGTTCCATAAATGCTTTTTATCTTATTTTTGGCATCCTATTACTTCAAAAAAGATACTAATTTGCAAGTAACCGGACCATATATATAGCTTCTGATACTATAATGGTACAGAGTACAGTGGTAGTGATTTTGTTTTTGTATTAAAGTCATACTACTTTATTAAAATTTTGGTATTTTTGCAAACATGTTCACATACAGACAGTGTTACTTTTTTTCAAGCGATAAGCATACACACTCTAATGCAATTATTCAAACGTTATATCTTTCATGCTTGCCATTTCCTAACAAGGATTTATACATTTGATTTTGAGGCAAAATGTGAAATTAGGGTATGAAATCATGATTTATAAAGTTGAGATTGCCATAAGGTATGTATATTGTACCGATTTTGTTACTTGTAACGCCAACAACAGCCATTCCAAGATCGTCACCATCTGTGTCAACAGCAAGCAGTTCCATTAACTCTTTCACATTAAATTTAGGAACATTGATGATATCATCACCTGTTGGCACCATTGGGTATGTAAAACCTGTTGGCAGATCTGATTTTCTAGTAAACTCAGGTGCATCATTTTGGCCATTTACCTGTTGAATGGACAATGTCTGTGTAAAAATGCTTTAAGTTTTCTTTTGTTTAAGATTATTTTAAACTCTGGTCATTTAGTGTAAAAGTTTTATTTAAAGTCCCATTGCTCCGAGAAATGATCTCAGGAGCTTTTTATTTTTGGTGTATTTTATAATTTCCAAATACAGTTTTGTAGTTAATCTTTTGCCAATAACTTGAAGATATTTTTTCTTCTGTTGCTTTTTGGCAAAATGTTCAGTCATAGTGATGTAATGGTATTTTGTATGGAAGTCAAAATACCACTTTGTTTACATTTTGCTACATTTATATGAAGACAATCATGTATTTCTTTCCCCGAATAATTTGACTAAGGTGCTCAAAGATGATAACTATTTATTTGATTATACGTCAGAATGATATCATATCATGCGAGTTCTATAAATACTACTCTCTAAGGATTCCAATTATTTAAGACAGTTGTCAATCCGCGTCGAAAAGATCAGCAGATGGGAAATTAAAATCCACTGAAATAATTTAGCATAACATAGAACACAGCTAATGCAAATGTGATGTAAAGCTGTCACGATTTGATCACATTATGCGTTTCGAGCAATTTATTTTATTTATATACTTACCACGACTGGAATTTCAATTTTTCTACCTGGTGTACCTAATAACCCAACATTTTCTGTAATGTCTAGGTTAAACACACCGCTGTAATCTGGTCTAACGCATATTTCCAGTGCTTTAAGGCTATCTTCCGAAGACAGTAAATTCGTAACATCCGTTTCTCGAAGGGGATCGCCTTAAAAACAGAAAAAAGAATGGTGAAATTCAGTTAACGAATGAAATATAATTAGTGATTTGGAAAATGAAAGAAAGTATAAGATAAACTGAACAAATGTTTAATATAATAAGAAAAAGTAATAATTTTCGTAAATGAACTTTTATAACTATCAAATTTGAATTCGTAGTCAAACTCACTGAAAATACAATCTTTGGATAATATAAAAACAGTTTTATATACCTAGCCGTTTGACTAATGCTTTGCTCAAATGACATTTATAAAACTTTTACCTTTATACAACAATTTAGCTGGTCGTGAGCCAGTGCTATCTGTTGCTATTGAAACAGTAACACGGATGTTTCTTAACACTGTTTCACGGGTTATAACATATCTTATAAACTGTTCCTGCAGAGCCGTACTGACAGGTCCTATCCACATCTCATTGTTTCCTGTCATTTTTGCCGGATAATCATATAATAGCTCGAACAGTTTATCGCCTGTTAAAATAAAAAATGTACGTCATAAAAGCCCTTCTGCATAAATTTCATAGTATTTAATGAGTGTTTGTTATTAAGTGTGATATGTTGATTTTAGACTTTTGATCAGGAAAAAATCAAGAAAAATCAGCAATTAATCGAGATATTTAATGGACAAAAGGGATAAAAATGTTAGAAATCCAAATTAATTTAGATAGATGACAAACATCCCCTTTAGATATATGGTGGGGGGAAAGGGGCGCAAAAATAGCTTTGAAAACAATGCAATTAAGAACAAGATTATAGACCACATTTCAATATGCCTTATCAAGGATTGTAAAAGTGTATGCAATATCATAGTATCAGGTTTCTGTAGACTGTATGTATTGATATCTGTGATATCACTAACCACTAATCCCCTTACCGCTGTTGGTTCGAATCCCCCAGGGACTTTGCGTTTATTTCAAGTGAGGAAACTATTCAACTAACTAACGGGACATCGGATATTCTACTCCACTGAAATAATGCAGGAAGGGGAACCGGAGGTCGTCCTCGACCATTAAAACTGGAATGTCGCTATATGAACCTTGAACGCTGCCTTTCCGTGTTGATCTTGTTTATCATATTTTCAACATGAAACCCCACCAAAATACTATTTTCTGCATTAGTTCTTGATAATATTGTCCTTTTCTGTTGAGCTGCGTTGAACAAAAACACTTCAGAGGTGCAAATAATTGAAACAATATCTAACAATATCTAACCTTCGTGTTCTATTCTAAACAGGTTGTCTGGTAGACCTATACAGTCATTATCTTCATCAGTCTGTATTTGTTCTTGAAGTAACTCTATGTCAGTCACAGTGCCAAGTTTACCAATGTCCTTTGGAAGAGCAATAAATCCAATATACACTGCCACCCCATCTGTTAAATGTAGAGATAAAAAGTTAAGATGTGAACTGTATTAATATTTATAAAGTTCATACAGCCTCAAGGTTGAAATTATGATGAAAAAGGAAATTCTCTCTTTAACAAAGGGTTAAATATGAAAAATAGCAGATATTGTCACAAAGCAAACGTTTTGTCAAAGATCTAATGTTAAAACAGAGCTTTGTAAATTTCTGACTTACCAGGTATGCTCTTTAATTGACTGGATAAAAGTTCACATTTCACAAGTTGCATTTCGGTAAGTTTATGACGAATAGCAAATTCTTGGTCACTGCTTATATCATTTATCGGAGACGCCGTATTGCCTGTAAATATATAGCTAAATGTATAGCTAAATACACAATTTTAACAAACGTGACTCTTGACACATGTCAAAATGAAATTGCGATTATATAAATGATATAATATCGTTCCATCATAAGATAATATGACGATTAACCTAAATAAACTAAGCTATATCCTTACAAGTTGTTTGCATGCAATACCATATTGACCCATTTGTCTGATGTATTACATGTCAATAAATAAAGTTAACATTTTGTCAAAGCATTGCACTTTTAACAGGTAGTCCTTTTTATTCCTGCTACTACAAAATAATCTACATGCATTTCAAAACGAGAGCGTTTTACATTTTGAAGTTTTAAGTAGTAAATAATTAGTAAATATTATATGATATGAATACACCGATACATTAAGTCATAAGATATTCTCTTTACCTAGATCACCTTTACACAATACATAACAAATCTATGTTCATGTATACATTGTAAATTTTTTTATTACATGTATTACATGTATTATTTTCCCTTTTTGCATGCGTTCGGTACAATTTTGTGGTTATAGTATGTAAACAAATATTTAAATGTAAAGGAACATAAGGTTTTGTACAATATACTGTTATAGTTGTCCTTGAGCTCGGCTGTGAAGAAAAGTGAAGAAAACCAATATTGTAATGATAATACTTTGAAAAACAAGCGTTGATTCGACGAAAGAGCTACATATGTGGAAAAAAAATCTTTTTTTGTGTTACTTGGAATATTAATACATTGCAAAATTTGCTTTTTTCTGTTGAGTCGGCATTTTAGTTTACACATAATCTATAATAGTTCGATGGTGTATGATGAAACTATAATCTTATAAACACACTCTTGAGCCGATATTTGTATGTATGATGTTTGGCCTGGATTCTTTTCATCTTTCCACCAAGGTCACCATTTCATATATAAAATTTGTTTAACCTATAGGGAGTCCTGAATAATTTTAATATAACTTAGTTAAATGATATAAAAGAACATTAGTCTATACCTGCAACGACGTCCACGCCTTCTGCTTCACTGCAATCTAGAGTTGCCTTTACAGGAACAGAAGTGAACATTGTTTCTAGTACGACTTTAAGCAGACCCAACATTGTGTCCGTGCCAGCCACCAATGGTTTTCGTACTATGAATATCTGATCACTTTGTTGACCTTTAATTTGAAGTCAATTCGTTAAAGAATATACTGATTTCAAAGAAATAAAATCATTGTTGTTGCAAACAAAAATATAATTGAAATAATAATACAGGTAAAAACAAGTAATATTGTTGTGAAAAAATAAAGTTCAGATTTTACCTAATAAAGGTTACATGATTGTTATTTATTATATGTACATCGTTTTTATATTTTCTTGTATTTGGATGCATATATTTATACTCAACAGTCACAGAGCGAAATCAAACTTTCGAGTTGTAGAGCATGTATTTGGTAATCATCGTTCACAAAATTCTTATGTATGATTGTTCCACATAATCCATGACCCACAAATGAATTGTAGAAATATAGTTTCTTTTTCTTAAATATCATAAAAAATAAAAAAAATAAATAAACAAAGTACAAACCTAAAACAGCTGTAACAGAAGGATGATTTCCTTGTTCAAGGGTAAATTCCTCGGTACCCAATGATGACGATAAAAGCATTACCACTTTTTCCATTATGTCACTAGCTGTCAATGTTTTGCAAAGTACATCTGCATAGACGGAAAATGTCCTCGTATCTGTTCAAAATATCATTATATAACAATAAACAATTGATACTTTCTTGTTTCATTTTAATAACAATGAGATCCTATCTCCTTTAACTAAGTAAATGTTAGAATTTTTATCATTTAAAAATATCACTGACATCGACTTAATAGAATGTGAAATTGCTTGACAAGTAAAATTATTATATAGAAATAAAACATATTTTCATAGAGATATATCTTAAAAAAGAAAATATTGTTTATATTTCGTTTGAGTGAAATATGGACTATATTTTCACAAAACATGATTAAATTCCATATATTTTAACGAGCGGGAACAGCGAGTGAAATACATGTATATAGACTTTTGTCATATTAAGCATGTTAAGAGAAAATATGTTCCAAATTTCACGATAAACGAATAAAATAACATTTTCATTTTTTTGTTTAAGAATACATGTAAACCTTATTGCTAAACAGTTCCACTTGTACAGCTCGCACTATTGCATTTTTTATATGTGCATGACTCAACATACAAATTATCACAGACATCATGGCCAGTCTTGTGGAGAAATCATAACCAGATAATTTCTGATAATAAATTGCCACAGAAAAACATCTGAGAAAGGAGTCCGAAAAATACATACGAGTCTTGAATCCCCCACTTTCAAATTTATTATATAAATTTGTTTTCTAACAAATATAATATATATGACTAATATAGCACCATATGAATTAGGTAAAATTAAATAAAATTCAAATATTAATGTGCCCATGATTTGTATTCCTGAAAAGACATAAATATAAAATAAGTTTCTACAATCAGCCAGTACTAAGAAAATAGTGTAATGTTTCTTGCTTACGAAACAACAAAAAACGGCTTGTGGAACCTACGCGACAAGAAATCCTTAAAATACTAGTGCAAATAACGCGGCAATGCCGCCAATTTTTTTTAAAGTAATCATATTAATTTATCACCGATTTTCTCCGGATATACTGCAACCCTTTCTATCGTCACATCAGTATCTGCTGTCTGTAAAGTTTTAAGAAGCTTTCCTTTCATCAAATTAGCAAATTTCTCCACTTCTTGTTGTAATGTAGCTGTGGCATCTTTTGGTGCAAATGCTTTGATGAACTTTAATCCTTTCGTCACAAGAGGTATACGAACAATGTATCTATCTATAAAAGCAATGAATAGATATTACAGAATAAGGTTTTAACATTTTCTTAATATGCTTCTTGCTAAATGTTTACATTTCAAATGTGAAACATATACAAATCAATCAATAGATTAGTTTTACCGTGATATATTATTAAATATCTCATTACTTTGTTAAAAAATATTACTGCTTCATACTTAACAGTGTCAATGCATACAAATGACACATGTAGACAATTTTTCATTTTTTAGTATCATCTTAACAATAAAATCAAAGGAATTTTCTTGTAACAATTGTTTTTGAGGTACGTCATGTGTTCTGCTAATTTTAAATGTTTCATACTGATTCATGTGTGTAAGCACAAAACAAAAATGTGTAGAATGTATTTAGATAATTAAATCTTTATTTTCACAAGTGTAAAATTCGTGTAAAAAAATTACTATTAAAATCGTCAGCTGCAGATAACTTATTTTCAAATGAGTAGATGTAAATAAAAGAAATATAGTAATTCTATATATGAATTCCTACATTAACGGCAAGACTAGCTGTTATTTTTTTTCAAGTGCGAAATAATCTCTTTTTTAAAATGTTCATTGTGGTCACGAGGTATCTCAACTCAACTCATTTATTCGTGATATAGGCCACTTGCCCTTGACACAGAAATGTACAATACAAAATATTTGGTGTGTACACAATGAATACGTTTAAGATAAGTAAGGTAACATACTACATGTAAATTGCTGTTCCGAAAACATATCAGTATACATCTTATCTTATTGTATTTAAATGTACGAAGTATATTTTTATAGGAATATCATTACTACTGCTTAACAATATGCATGATTATATGAAAGATAAGATAATAATCATGAATAATCAAATGTAAATGAAATTTAATTGTGTAAGATGTTATACAAAATACTGTTGACATATTATAACAATGATATCATTTACACAAAATTGCACAATTTTATTCATATGACAGACATGCAAATCTTTGAAAATTAAACTCTTTCTGTCATTTTGACAGAGGACAAAGTCATAAAACTAAGTAGTCAATAACACGGGACTAAGGTCAGGATGCGACTTTGGTAAGGATGCGCTTTTCTTGCTCTGTATAAATAAAATATGACGGATTTCTTGCCACTCTGTTTTCAACTAGTACAATTACCTGATTTTGTGACATCATCAACATTTTGTTGTAAGCCTTGTTTGGAACAATCATCATCAGTTGTTTCACAGGAAAATGTAGCAGAGCACCATTCCTTGAATAAATATTTTTTTAAAGATTGTTTTCTGTAGAACAACTTAAGAGTCATGAATAAAATATGTGTAAAAACATAAGCTTGTTTTGTGTTGATTTCCTTGGTTTATTTTCTTAAGTCAGAAGTAACAACAGCAAATTTCTTACACACATGGTATAATTCACGGCATCATTTAAACATGACATTTGAAAACTAAATCTAACAGGGTACTCGCGTTTAACTTTTCTAAAAATAAGTTAAATGAAATTATCTTAGTTTGCATGTAAAATGACAATAAATAGCAAATGAGTATACTTTTCCCGTTTCACATTTGGTGTCCGCCTCTGTGAGACACATCCCTGAATCCTCGTCCACTGGGCATACTGGAAAAGGAACGCAAAACAATATATTTACATGATCTTTTGGAGTTTGCATAAGCAAGTTGCTGGGTAACTGTCAAATTAAATAAACTACAATTTACAAGTTACTTATTTTAGCTGTTGTTGTTTTTGGTCATTGCTCTCGGGACATCTCTCCTGTTCAGAATTGTTGCTTTTTTGCATTGGCACAAATATTTGTTTTGTTCTGATTCTAAACGTTTAACGTATGCATATCTTAAATTTCGAAATATGACAAAGTGTACCGTAACGTGTGACAGGCTCAACGTAAACACCGCTGCTCTCCCCACCACATGCGTTAGGACAACACAGTTTTCCATCTGACCGTTTCTTGTCTTGTCTTGGATCACATTCGATTGGACACGTTGAAAAAACATCTTTTACTGGTAGTTGACACGCAGCTGAAGTTATTTACAAGGCAAAAACAATATAATTTTAATGCAATGGAAAATGTATCATATTCTTAGCGTTCTCGGTAGTTTTTACTATTGTTGCAATATGGATATCTGTATCCATGAAGATATTATTAACTTTGTAAGCAGTTTGTCAGTTTAACTATAACTTTGCTATTTAAAAACATGACAATTTGCTTTAACGAAATGAAGCAGATCTGAGTGTCATTATATTTAGATATGATGCGCTTTAAACATTGGCGCTGTAAAATTAGTTTTATATTTCATGAATTATCTTTTTTCAGTCATGTATTATGCTGTTGATAACTAACTGTGGTGTAGAAATTCCACAATTGACACAATTCCACAGTTAAATGTATATCATTGTTATTCTGACTAATGATTGTAACGGAATTTAACACGAAAAATGGACTTTCGTGTGACAAAAAAAAAGTGCATGTTCATGCAGAGATTTCGTTTCATTCACATTGTTAAAACTTGGGAAAGAAAAGCAAACGCATTCAGAATATGATCAACAAAGGAGATTGAAGAAAACGACGTGATTCTTATAATACATGTACTTACATTCGACACGGCATATTTGACTTGGAACACAAATTACTGATTTCGTTCCATCTTTATTAGTGCACGATGCCTACAAAGGGTAACATAATTCTCTTTTAAAACGGAGACGTAATATAAACCATCATTGAATCGTGAAATTCATTTTATTTTATTTAATTTTCTGACTCATTCAAGTATCAAATAAACATCAAAGCCACTCAGCTGTAAATAAATGGATATCGACGAAGTAACCTCCAATGATGAAGTAAATGATGATAAAAAGATCGATTTAATAGATATTTATCTATAAAACAGGGAAAAACAGAATCTGTTAACAACGTCAAAAACAACAAAATTGAAAATGTTAAATTCTTACCTCGCCGTCGCCACATTCGGGACAGTTTTCTGTCGTTTTACAATCAGTATCCTCAAACACCACTGAATATATATAAAAATAGATCTCATGTTGTCAGATTAAAGCGTTAGGCTCTTTGACAAACACGATAAACAGATAAAAATTAAAAAGATACCAAATATTTTTAGAAATAGAGACAACACGTAAGCTTGAATGTCAACGCATTCTGATGAAATTTAATAAAATACCAGAACAGTAATTCAGTTTTACTTCGGAACTAAATACACACTATCATATTTAAAACCATCTGAAAGCAAAATGTGTACAGATTTCTTAATTTGGAATATGTTGTGTTTCATTTACATTTTAACGCACTTCTGCATAACTGTTTTTTAAATACATTTATACACTTTTAAAGTAGATTAAACGTAATTACCTAAGTCTACTCCTACTTTGAATGAATCGGGATTGATGTCGTATTTGCTGCCAAGAATCATAAATGACAATTTCGACTGCTGAACCAAGATCTCAAGCTGTGCTAAAGTTGACTCGGCTTCCATAGGGTCGGTGATTGATAATGTTACCAGAATTCCGAGCGATCCTGTTAAACAAGTAAAAAATATTTTTTTGAATTTTGAATTCAAGTTGTTTCCCCTTTATTGACGTGTGGTGGATGTAAATTGTCTCCACAACACAGCCAATCAATATTGTTAATTTTTACCTAAGGAGATAATTTGGCCATCATTATTTATTGCCCTCTTGATTGTGCAATTGTACATTTTCGCGACTCTATATTTCGTGAACATGGCTCTCCGCACTTAAACTATGTTTCTATACTTTATGCAAGTATACACTTCTATATAAAGGTTTCTGTAAAGTCAAAATGTTGCTTGTACCTTGTCAGGAGGCCTATTTCTTTTATAGTACAGTAGCTAACAAAATCTGTAATACACCACATCATCAGCACAATCATTTTTATAATTAGTAGTATTTTAATATTATACTATATTTTGCAATGTTTTTTTATTGCTTTTTTGTTCAAGAAAATGAATAGCTGAGAAATACAATTACGAATTGGCATCTAAATATCGTTGAAAAGACAGATGAAAATGCCTAACCTTGAAACAGTTCAACACTTTTAAATGCATTCGGGTTAATCTTTAATGCGTCGATCAGTTGTGGAGTTAATTCAGCGATAACTTCTGTTTCCTTTGCAATCATTGTGTAAAAATCTGCATCTGTTGCCATCTTGACTGTAATGTGAAATAACTAATTTGTTTTACCTTTTTCAAATCAGAACACTTTTTTTAGACCATTGATTTACTGATTATAAAAATGGCAACAAATTATATAAAATTGATAACAATGTGTAACGTATACGATAATAATTAAAAATTCCTGCCTTGCGATCTTATAAATTAAAACCAATTAATTAATACTGGACAGTTTTAATATACATTGTAACTATGTAGACTTAAAATATCATTGCTAATGAAAAAAAGGTTTGTGTGACAAATGACAATAACCTACTTTTGATGCTTCTTATTGTACAAGTGTCGGCAGGGACACATGTTCCAAATCCTTGTGCATCGAGGCAATAACTCTGTAAGACAATGCGCTTTATTTAAAGTAATAACTAGTCTAATAACGTGTAAGAGCAGTTTGGATAATAATTATGAAATGACAACAACCACACAATTATAAATTATTAATTCTAAAACGATTCGCGCAGGAATATTACCACGAAGGTCAATAAATCAAATGAAGTCAGGAAAAATACTTCTACGCTCATTGTAGTTCCCCATATTTTCATGTAACAGATTCTCTTTTTATATGCATGTTAGAATGGTAATATACTTTTTTTCTTGTATATTAACGCACGGTTTATCGTATTTATGCTTTGTAATTAATCACTCGGGCTTATTGACCTTCGTGGTAATATTACTGCGCATTTGAACTCTAACTATGCATCATTCTACAACAATTCACTCAAACTGGATATCTATTTCTTTTATCAAACCCCGTAATTATTAATCAAGACAAATTTAATTTCTAATATGTTTTCTATTGTCTCGAAAATATTAAATAGAAAATGGCCGTCTAAAATTCATCCAAAGGGTTTATACATCGATATACATCGTTATAGGCTTAATTCCTTATCCCTGCATCTATAGGTCATGGAATATCGTCATTTTAAATGATTACATTTAACTGCATTTAATGATAAAAATACACAAACCTGTTTTTCATTGCACTCAGTAACCTCTGGCTGGCATGATGCAAAATCATAATCATCTTCAACGCACTTGTCCAATGCAGGACAAAATATCTGCATGTGTGATAGCATAGTATTAGCTTTTTTACATTTAATATAGTATGCCAAGATGAACTATTAATAGAACAATAAAATATCATTTTTTAAATCTAATGTTTCCTTATCATATTTCAGAAACGCCTCTTTTCTTTATCATGCACCATGACATATATTTTTAATATTCATTTGAAGGTCTAGATTAACTGATAATAGGTTAATCTAATCAAGCTTTCAGCATACGTAAAAGTTTCTTAATCTTCCTTTTTTGTTTAGAAAATTTTCCAATCTACTAAGTCTTACTTTTTAGCTTTAAAAAGCTAAACATTGATATTCATAATTGTACAATTATGACATTTAGAGGTTTAGATTACATTGTATTCAATGAAATCGTTCCATTTCCTTTCTCTTTTTTTAGATACATCTAATTAATGCCTTCGGTCCTGATTAATCACATAATTTCATGACGCTAAATTATACTCACCGATAATAACAATTACAACATAATTACAATCACAAAGTAGGTAAGTGTTAATTCTATTCGGTCTCTCCCTATAGACAAATGTTATTTCATTCATGCCTACTAACAAATAATAATTGATGAAATAAGTGACTAAGTAAAATTTTAAGATAAATGTATCCAAGTACTCGTAATTCTCATGTTATACATGTATAATGCACAAAGAATATAAGGTTCAACAACGAAGCAGTAAAGCTCAAATAACCTTGAAATAAATCTAAAATATAAATCTATATTATAAATTTAAAATCATACACGATTAGGCTAAACGTGACATTATTTATCAAAAGTGGTACATATACTAACCATTCCCGTGTCACATTTAGTGCCTGGTTGAATTTGGCAAAGTCCTGTTTCTTCGTCTCTCGGACATACTGGAAATTTACGATAAAATTGAATCAAGTTATTTTTTCATGATATTATTAAATCATTTACATGAAATTAGTAAATAAAGTTTCATTTCATATTGCTACAATTAATTATATAGAGCTACACTTAAATCGAAAAAGCTCCGATCCTGTTCGTTCATCTATCTTAAAATAAAAAAAATATCATTATTCTGCAAAGTGTCGAGTGGATATCATACATATAAATATTTGAGACAGTGCAATCTCTGCGGAAATACAATAACCTTTATTTACAACAATAGCAGGAAAGATTTCACAATAAATTGCTTTTCTCTTGCAACACCTCTCGGCAATAACCAAATAATTGGTCGTTCCTAGATATTTCTCAACAGAGTTTGTACTGTACTTTTGCCTCAATTAAAATAAACGTTTACTTATCTGAAGGCATAGAGCATTTAATACATAAATATGTTATCAAACTTTACCATAATAACTGAGCGGATCCATATATACTCCCCCATTTTCACCACCGCAAGAGTTAGGACAACAGATTTGACCATCTGAATTTTCCGCGTCTTCCTTCGGATTACAGGTCACCTGACAGGTTGACACTAATTCCTGCTGTGGTATTGGACAAAACGCTGAAAACATTCAATAAATTGACCATAGATAATCTCCGTGTCAGGTATTTTCCCAAAATAAGTCTTCATTTTCCAAACATAATTAGTTCAGAATTATTCTGAAAAAAAGATATACGATTTTATATAACACGACACATTTATACGTGTACGTAAATATTGAAAATATTTCTTACATTTCACGTGGCATGTTTGCTTTGGTACACATTTAGCTGTCTCTGCATTGCCAAGATCATAACAGCGTGCCTGTAAAAAGATAACAAAATTATCTATTTCCACGTTTCCTATCTTGTTATTTTGAACTTAAAATAAATCAGCCTAAATAAAATGTTTCAGCTAAACTGTAAAATAATGTTTCGCCTTTCCTTGTTGATCTTGTTTATCATATTTTAACGCCTTTTTCATCCCCCTTTTTGATGCCTTAAATGGTGAAAAAATGCCTTATTTAGGCCCCCAATACTTGTTATTGTTCGAGAAATGTTGTTTAACCAGTTTATCGGCGCCGCCCCCTATCCAAAAGATACATTATAGAGGTGGCTAGAAGGGGGATGTGCCCAATTCTGTTTAGGGGTTTGAAGGGGTCGGCAGCCCTTAATCGTCACGAAAATTTTGGACTTTTGAGAGGCTAAAAATGATTCCAGTTCGATCATAATGTAACGTGTAACTAACGACTCTATCTCAATCCATTGAGAAGTTGCAGCACTTTGAAATCAGTTTTGATGGACAAAAAATCAACGCAGAAAAGTGATTTTTGGCAATTTTGAGAATCCCCTTGTTTTCACGGTAACATGAAATTGACTGAGCATGTTGTTACAAAGGCAATGGTCTAGTCAATATTTGTGCCAAGTTTAATAAGTATAGAAGCAGTTTTTATAGTTTTATAGCAATTTGAACTTGAAATGGGAGACTTTTCAATGAAAACAGCCATTTCCCACAAAATGCTCATGAAGTAATGGGTTAAATAAGTAACGCGCAGAATTTCCATGTAAATTCTTAAACTTATCAACAAATAATATGTAACCAAGTACTTTTAATTGATATCATATAAATTATGGTCCAATTGCGGGCATTTTTAGATCATTCCTTGTATAATATATTTATGAAAAGCTATTACAGCTTAATCAAAATATATAATGAAAATTAACGGTCAATAAAAATGTATTTTAGTAGTTTTTCAACAAAGTTATGAAAATCAAATAAAAACGGAAACTTTTAATTCACTTACATGTGTCTCATTACATTCATTACTGTTAGGCATGCACAATGATAAATCACCAGTCTTAGGTACACAAAGGTCTTTACCAGGACAAAATATCTGGAAAACAAATCACAGAGAGATTATTGTTTTGCCTAAATTAATCTGGTGTTCAACTACTTTGGATAAGATTGTATGCATTATTTCATGTATAAACAGGCAACCAAATTTAACTGCTTCGATAAAAAGGTTTAAAAGTAAATTTCTTCCATTTCGACGCTAAAATGAAATTTAAAAAATAACAATTATATAAAAGAAACAGAAAAACCACATATGAGCAATGTACTAGTATAACGAATAGGTTGTTCTCAAAGTGTATTATTGAAAAACACAGTTCAACTAAGCTAATACATAATGACATAGGTAAAAAAAGGTAAAAACATTTAGGCCCATGCCTATGTAACAATGTGTAATAACAATTGTTATTCATACAAATCACACACATGTTTAGGAATAAGAATACCTCATCTACTTCGGAACAGAGAAGCGGCTTAGGTTTCTCAGAACATTCGTTTTCACTCACACATGTACGTGTCTCAAAGCAGAACAACTAGAAATATACAGAATTCTTGTACCAAAAAATAATAAAAGCATTGAAGTTGATAATCATTAAGAAAATAGTAATGCAGCCAGCTAGCACCGCGTTAAATTTTGTTTCTATTTGTATTAAAAATATATTAATATCTTTTCATCGTTCCGCTAAAATTCAGAGGCGTATATTACCGCGAACACATACAACTGTATACAACTGAATGCGCATTATACAGACTGCCGAACGTGTTCTCAATATATTTTACATTTTAATCCTGCTCTTTTATGCTCATTTATAAGCAGCGTAATTACCCGCAGAAATCTTCCCATTTTGTTATAAAGCAAAGTGCGGTATACTTTTCATAAATATTATTCACATAATCACATAGCTGATTGTAATATAAACAATGGTTTTCATCATATGATATTCATATTTAAATCAATTCAAATGTCATAGATGGAACTTAACGAGACAAACTTTCTTTTGTGATATTGATAAATATTTAAAATCATTACATCAATTATAAAGTATCATAGAAAAACATTAATTCTGAATCATTTTAACCATATGCCATAAAATATCCAACAAGGCAGCTATTTGAGAACACAGCTCTTACGTCATCGTATTGCGTACCGTGTCCTTTTATATCTTAATAATGGTATAAATAATTTTGGCAATAAAGCATTCTCCGACAAGCACATGTTTATTTCATAAATTAGAATTAATGAAGGTTTAAAAGTTTCTTGTTATCTAGTGTCTAAAATCAATTGATTTACCTGGTTAGCTTCACAAGTGATTGATCTTTCATCATCGTCATCTTTATCAGAATGGCCTCCGTTTCCACCGTTCGTTTCATCTGAAAACAAAACTCAAACTGGAAAGCTTGTGGATGTGTACATACAAGTGAAACATAAACACAATCACAGCAACCCTTCAAATTAATTATGGTACAGAAACCAATTGTCTACGGATAGACAGACGAATAGACAACAGAAAGGGATGGGTCTTATTACTTTTGTTATTATATTTTATTGTTTAATGCCCTCTTATTCCATTGTTATGGAATTAACTCTATTGGTCTCTTTTATTCTGTTTACAGTTAGGTTAGATGGCTCCAATCTCTTATCACTAGAGAGAGCGGACAGACAGACAGCGCTATACCAAAGGTCTTCAGGCGTAAAAAATGATGAAATTTTATCTTACATACCGTGATCTTTTAGGATCTCAAATGATTCCACCGCAAGGACATGTCCTGATAATTCAACAGATTCCTTGTTATTAACTAACAATTCCAATTTTCTTATTACTTCTTTAATCTCCTCAATTGCAGCATGGATTTCCATGATTACCACAATCGATCCTATTTCAAAAGAAAATCAAATACTTCACAAGACAACACACTTGTTAGTGAATGATAGATTCCATGATTAATAATTAGCACCACTGGATTTTGGCAAGTTCCATACCCTTATCAAATCTTTCTTTTCTCTTAAATATATTTCCTGTATGAGACGTAAAAATGTGAATAGCTGAAGCGTCGCCTAACAACAAATTAAAGAAATCTTGTTAGTTCACTGACATTTGAGCCTATTAATAAATAGGAGTAATAAATTAAGCTAATGTCTAATAATTTAAGTCTAAACTATTTCTTAACTGGATATAATGGTCATAACTAAGTTACGATTAATCTGACAAGAAATCAGTATTTCTTTAAACTTTCAATTTCACAACGTAAATACATTTACGAGAGAAATTTGTTCAAATAAACAACAATTTTAAACAGTGATTAAATTTATCTACAACAACCAAAACAGCAAATATATTATACCGCTCATTACGTCCATAACTGTCAGCACACCAGGTGCTGTACCAAATTTCGCTGGTAAGAAAATTTGCAGTTCTTTTATTGCATTTTCTTTATTTTGCCCTATTACTTCATCAAAGTTGCCTTGCAGTGTTAATGAAACTGAAATGAATGAAAATAAACACAAATTATCTTCATATTAGGCATGCTTGAATTTGAGTTTTGGAAAATATAACTTTGGCTATGCATTTACATTTGTGTGTTTTTGTTCTTGAAGTTCTTATGAATGTACTTTGCTTTTCCATTATTTTTATCTATAAAAGTTTCAACTAAACCACATGAATAATTATATCATGTTCTATCATAGCAAAAAAACATCACAATAAATTAAGTGTGAACACAAGAATCTACACCATGCATGTTTAATGTATAACTAGAGTCTTCAAAATATAGAAGTCATCAATTCATGTGCGACAAATGTTAGACTAACGAAATGACATTCACCTTCAGTTGTTGCAGTAGTGAAAGTGTTATCTTCACATTCCGTGTATGGTTTACAAGTAAATCCCCCAAATCCATCATTACAGGGCACCTTACAAGGTAATAAATAACAATAATTAGATTCTAGCATTAGACAACTCTAGATTGGCAACATTCAATTCAATGCAAAACTGTTAACTAAAATAATTTAGTATTTAATCAAAGAAAGTTTAACTAAAATAATTTAGTATTTAATCAAAGAAAGTTTATAAAAATTCCTCCATGACATTTTCAAATCATATTGTCAAAATTTTCATATAAAACCAATGTCTGTTGCGTCTAACAACATATGGAATATGACTACATTATATTTAATCATTCTTAAATGGTCTTATATCAATAACATAATTTATTAACATACCTCCACTGGGTTTTCACATTGATTATCATCAACACATTCGCCGTCCGGAGATACACATTCCCCAGTCTCGATGCAAAATACCTAATAAGTATAAATCATTTCCCAATTGTATAAAAAATACATAATTCATTTAAGATAGAGAAAAAAACAAGACATACAATGCGGAACTTTGAAAGAATTAATCAATATACACACTATGACTAATAAATTTTGAAATAGGGAGATGCCATTGAGTTATTACAATAGATGTCTTCACTTTAGATAAATGCTTCAAACGGTTTTTAATTTTATTTTCGACATGTTACACAGTTTCATTGCTTCGAAATAAGAAAGTGTTTCAATGGTGATGGATGAAATTAATTCAAAGATGAAATGCAACTTTACTATTAAGTTTTTGAAAAACATCCCCAGTGTTTGACGTGTTGTTCCCCACTGTTACTTCATACATCTTTTTCAAAGTTAATATAACGACAAGCCTCAAGGAAAGTCAACAATCTAATTTGTCAGTTCTAACTTTAGACATTATTAACAATGACACCAATTTGAATGGGTTAAAAGTTGAAGTATCCCTGAGTTAAATGACACGATATTGAGTCTAAATAAAAAAAAATTATGTCAATGACAACAATATGGTTTTAAATATGAAGATTTCCAATAGCAAACAAAAAATTTAAATTTTGTCTCATAATCTCTTAAATTCCATTTTTGAAACATATTTAAAGGTGTCTGATTTCAACATATTTTGACATAGCAGTAAGTAAGCTTCTATGCTGTTATTGTTGCAGATCGTGTGTTTAAATGATTAGCAATATTTACATGTTTCTTGTTTGCTTTTTAAGCATTCCAATACTAACATCTGAATAAAATTATGACTTCAGAATTTATATCTAGGAACATTTGATACAACTCTCTTTACTTTCTTAGAGGGATATAGCGTTTTGGTAAGAATAATATTTTACCAGGCCATTCGTACACGAGACTCCACTATAGCCATCACCTCCGTGACCATTATCATCTCCTTCTTTGTCATGGATACCTTAAAGTAAAAAGACATTAATATTTTAATTGCGTTCAAAAAATGTCGGCCTTCATTGTTAATTTTTGTTCTCATATTTCAGCAAACCAAAAGCATTAAATAATCTTCTTAAGAATAATAATAAGAATAACACTAATAAGGAAAAAGACAAACACACAAAATTTACTTTAATATACTTAAAATTTGCTGTATCCTCAATACCTCAAAACATGTAGAATTATTTTCATCTAAAGTATGCAAATATTTTTGTTATTTCTATTTAAACACTTTTTTTTTCTACTTTGTAACTAACATACCGTGTTCATTTAGGATCTCGAATGTTTCCACTGGTAGATCATGTCCTAATAACTCGACAGTTTCCTTGTTATTAACAAACAATTCCAATTTTCTAATAAAGTCTTTAATCTCCTCAACTGAAGCATATATTTCAATGCTTACCACAATCGACCCTGTATCAAAAATAAAATCATATGCTAAACAGGTCAGAAAAATTGTAAGGGTATGTTATATGGTTTTGAAAATAAAACAAACGTATAACATTCAAACACATTATAAACTAATTAACGCTTTATTAAAACTTGATTCTTTGGTCTTAAGATATTTACTATTGCATTAACAAAACTTGAGTTAATTAATACCCGACCCTTGCAAGTTATTGTATCAAACTATTTAGTGAGTTCATATGACAAAAAGGTAAATTGAAGTTGCTAGATAAAGTACAAATCATTTTTATGTGAATATACGAGGGGTTCTCCAAAAATTCGTGGACTTTTTAAAATCTCTTGAACGTCAACGTGTATTGTAATGAAAATTTATCAGCATACATTGAAGAATATTATCAACACATTTTGAAAGGAACAGTTCATTGTGTCAATAAATAATGATTTTATATTGCTTTTAAATAAGCACATACACTGCACCCGGCGCATGCTTCTTCTATGATGTCATTTAAGTAATTTTTTAAAAGAATGGACAATATTTCCGTTTATTTTGTTGATATTCCTAGAAACGCCAGACGCCTTTATTGCTTACAACGGGAAAATGACGGACACGCGGTAATTAGAAAATTGCACGGTCATAAACAATCATATTTTTTGTTGTAATTTGGAAATGACACCTACAAAAACATTTAATAAAATTCAGCAGACGAACAGAGAAAGAACATTTCACGATCATTAGTGTTAAAGTGGCATAAAAAATTTAGTGATGGACATTACTTTGAGAAGCAGTAACCGTCATTCACTGCGTAACGTTGGAGTGCGCCGCTGTCGCCGACATGTGTCTATGTAAAATTAAATATTGTTGTAATGTTAGAAGCTACTCACATGAATTTTTCCGTGTTTATTTGTTTCTTCTGAGCAGTGTAAGAATTTCAATTAATATCTCAAATATATTTTACGCAACAAAGAACGTCCACGAATTTTTGGATAACCCCTCGTATCTAACATAACTGTCAAAAGAGGTGTTTTCCCATACTTATTAGTCAAAATAGCCAGTGTAATATATTTCAAGGGTTCGAAAACAACAAATATTTTACCATTCTTTACGTCCATGACTGTCAGCACACCAGGTGGTGTACCAAATTTTGCTTGTAAGGTAATTTGTAGCTCTTGTATTGCCTTTCCTTTGTTCAAACCTATTACTTCATCAAAGTTGCCGTGCAGTGTTAAGGAAACTGAAATGAATAAAAACAAACACAGCAATAAAATTTAGTTTTGGCTTGCTTAAATTTTTCTTTTCATAAGTCACATAGAAAATGCATTAAAACTGTACTCATATTTTCAATAAAAATCTAATACAGCATGTATTATTTTCAATTATGAATTCATTAAATTATCTTTGAACATTCATTATTGCTTTCATTCTAATTATCATAATTATCATTATTGCATATTCTATAACAGCAATTCATGCAAAAGAGTAAAATTATAGTTATTGTCTTAAAAAAACATAATACTTCTTACAAATTCTTAAACTTAATTTCATGCAGAGGGAGGTCATATACGGTTGGCAATCCTTAACATATAGTATATATACGTAATAAGAAAATGCAAAACGAAATGAGACTCACATTCGGCTGTTTGAATAGTGTTAACATTATCTTCACATTCCGTGAATGGCTTACATGTAAATCCACCATACCCATCATTGCAGGGTACCTTGTAGGGTAACAAAATAAATAAAGAAAATAAATATGTAACCCTTTTTAAAAAATTTTAAACCCAAATTTTTTAACGTTTTTCAATGAAAAGAAAATTTCAAAGCTGTAAAACAAAATTTCCATTTGCAAACCCGCACATAAAGATTTTCCATGTATGAAAGGGGAAATAAAGCAAATAAAACATAAAAATTAAAGTGTTTTTTTTAATTTTTTCATTTGCCATTTTTTGTTATCTTTTTTAATACCCCGGCGTTTTTTCCTTCAGGGCGAAATTTTTAAAATTACGGCATCAAAAAAACATTTTTTCATTTTTGAAGACCAAAACGATTTATTTAAAATTTATTTACAATAATAAAATCTCACGTCTTTGCAGTTATGATGTAATTTCATCTATGTTTAATGTAACATATGTCCTTGTATCAAATAATTTTTGTCTGCTAAGAAACTGTATTTGACAATCAAAGTTATATGAATTTAGAATATACTGTCCAACTTTTGACTCAATTGATAAACATGTATATGCATTTTCTAAAACTTTATAATTACACATCAATTACAACCACAGAGTATAGAGATATTTAATGTACAAATACCTCGCCATCATAAGGGCATTCTTGCGGTTCATCAATGCAACTACCATCTGTTTTAACACATTCACCCGATTCTATGCAAAACACCTGAAAAATAAAACAGTTTAATTGAACGATTTGAACTAGTCGACTTAATATAAGTTTTGTAGAACTCATTGTAAATAAGATAAAAAATAGCAATAAAACGGTGCACCTTTTGAAGGAATATTCATTCAGTTAAAAATCTTTAACAACAAAATTCGTAAGGTAATCATTTACATCGATATATTAGATTTGTACAGATATGTAACATGTTTGTTGAAATATTGTATCTATTATATCTATGTAAGGAATGGTCATCTTTTATATAAAGCAAAGACTTTACCTCGCCCATTCCGCATCTTATTCCATCATCCCTGCATTCAGGACATGGTTCATCGTCTTTATACTGACTATCATCATCATCATAACTTTCATCTCCATATTCTACAAAAAATATTTTTTAAATTAGTGAAATTTGAACGGCTTCATAAATTTATTACATCTTTACTTAAGTATATGAATAAACGCTTACATTTGGTAAAGCGGATCTCTAATAAGCAAATGGATAATTTTAGCTTGCTGATGTTGAACAATTTGTTGTCACCTCTTCAAAGTCCAATCTTGACAAAGACGTTGCATCATTCTTCGTGATGCAGGCAGTTTATGTTTTAAGTGAGTTTCTACAAATATACTCTTTTTAGGCTAAGAGAAATGTTCATAATGCCCCTTCTTTGAAATAAAAGTCAGCAACTACTTTCTATTCCATTTGAAATAAATAAGGTTGAATTGATTTTTCTGTCAATGTGATCTTCATATTTTTATATTCTATATTTAATAAGATCCTAATATTGAATTGAGATCAGTCATCTAGTTTCTTAAAACTCAATTTCATTTCTAGGCTTGTTTTGAATTTGTTGACAATAGACCTATTTATATTTCACTTATATTACTGAAAAACTATATACAATGGATTTGCAAACATCGGCAAATAACCATTTATGAGATATTGCAATTGGAAAAGACCCTGTTTCTTCCAATACATTGGAGATATGAATTATCAAAATGAAGTTTGATAAAAACCCAACAAACAAACAATAAGAAGAAGATTAATAACCTCAGACAAACATTGCCCCCTTTGTTAATTTCAAAGTTATGTAATGTCTTACTATGTATATCTTGGCAGTTCAATGTCACTTAATTCAATGCTGTTAAATTCAATGCAATATTACTAATCTTATACTTCTTATAGTTCAATATTGCTAACTCCAATATTTCTAAAGTCATTGATAAACAATTAAGTGATATTAAATTCTCACCAGTTTCCTCATAAACAGCACTCTTGTCATAGTTGATATTCATCAGTTTACCATCCAGATTAAGATTCAATGATTTATCACCATGGATCACTAATTCAAGCTTAAAATTTTTAAAATCATGCGCCAAACTTGCCCCCCGGAAAATTTTTTAAAAATCCCCGTTTTAGTGAAATTATAAAAGGTTTTTTCGGGTTAACTCTTTAAACGTTTTCCCTTTGTTATCTAAACCTACAAATTTCTTTTAAAAGGGTGAAATTTTTATCTTTTAGGGAACATATTGACCAATAAAAAGATGTTACATAAGCATGTAAAAAGCATACCCAAAGAAAAATTTAAAAATGAAATAAAAAAATAAAAGGGGTTTTGGGAAAAAATTAAAAATTGTCTATTTCAAAAAACTTTCCCAAATCAATATTGGGCCAAATCATTTTTGGCAAAAGAAAACACACCTCCAAATGGGTGGTAAATTTTTTATTGGAAAAGATCCGGTTTTACAAGTAAGGTTTTTTTTTTATTTCTTTTTTTTGCCAAAAGGGGAAAATTTTTTTAAAAAACAATTTTAATTAATAAAATTTAAAAAATCCCAAAAGGGGCCCCTTTTTTGGGGACCATGGATTAAAAAAGGCACCTCCCTTTTTTTGGGTTTAAAACAAAAACGACGACGAAGGGTTTCTGGGCATCAAGGAAGAAACTTTTTTTATAGCAAAATTTAAAAATGCAAAAAACTAAAATTTATTGAAAATGTTAAATAAAAATTGAAAAATTTTTAATTTTTTTTTAAAGTTTTTGTTTGTGTCTACGTAAAAAATATCGTCCAAAATTTTTATATGCATGTATGAAAAAAAATATTTTTAGTTGTTTTTTTATTTTTATTTATGCGCTTATCTTTGGAAAACAAACTGGGTTTTGGTTAAATCTATTTAGCCACGATGCAAAGGAAAAACGCATGTGGGAAAAAACAACACACGGAAAAATCATTCTTCTACACCGTGATCAATAGTATAATTGTTTTGTGAACAATACTTAACTATCTAAATATGTTCAACAAAATTCTTAAATCTAAACATATCAGAAAGTTTATTTACCATTCCACAGATAAGTCTCAATGATATCATTTTGTTCTACTCCAAGTGCTGCAGCCAGCTGTTGTGTCAGAGTATTCTTAACGCTATTGTAATTTTCGTAATTTCTTCCGACAATGTCAAAGAAATTGCCATCCATAGATATTATAACTGTAAAAAATCATATTATTAATACTAAAATAGAGAAAAACAGAATCATGTTTATGGACAGTACTGGTGGTACATAAGGTGCTTTCATCATGCAGGTTTCTTTACGTTGTCTTTATCGTGCACTTTACAATGTCAATGCCGTACCTAAAGCTCTAAGCACGTAAGACGAAATACTAACGAACACTTTATCGGGACCGCAAATGCTAAATGAGAAGGGGTACACCTTTGCCGAATGGTCGAGGTCGCTAATTTTAAATCACTTACTCTTTACCGCTGTGAGTTCAATGACTCTGGAATATTTCATGTTATGAAGCTATCTGACTAGCTGATTGAAATACGGTAGTTCCACTCAGGTATTCGCTTTTCAGAAAGGGCAACTAAGGCCTTCCTCCAACAGTAAAGCTAGAAAATCGCCATATGACCTTTACAGTGTAGGTTTCACTTTAAGTCAACATACAAAAACAGCAATGCAAAATAGAGATGCACATATGTATATAATATGATAACATGAAAAAAATGTATGGTAATAATAAGGTATGGTATGCAATTATTTCATTTCAAAATTGAAAGCAAAATCTATTTCTCCCCACAATGTACCTTTGTTGACATAAAAAATATATTGTCAATACAAAGTTAATTATCGAGCAAGCTACCTTTAACAAGGGCGACAATAATATGTTATTATCGTTTATTTTTCATAAACTGTAAAAATGTCGTGCTTTCAAACGTAATGATAAAATCATATATGGCTCTTATTGTTGCGTTAGTAAAAAGATACTGTTTGTCATGAGTTAGACTTTAGTATTATTTACTTACATTTTGCATAAAGACAGGACGGTGCGCATTGGAAGCCACCATCAATGTAGCAAACCTTAAAAAACAAAAGGCAATATCTCATGACAGAATTACTACTGCAACCATTATTTCTACGAAACACCCAATATTCTGACATTAGGTTGATAATTAGATAATCCTTTTGATCTGTATGATTTAGAAAGAAAATCAAATAATTTTAAAAACAGAAAAAACTTCCCCGAAAAAAATTAAAAAGAATCAGTGTTTCCCTAAAATTTTATAAATTTAAACCCAATTTTTAAAAAAAGAAGGTAAAGAAACATAAGCAATTGGTCAATGTAAAAACGATCAGCCAGAAATTAAGAGAATATAATCTATAATTATTGTTATGTTGTTACTTACATTTGTACAAATATTCTAAATAAAATATGTTTAAAGCAAGCGAATGAATAGATAATGTAGCCGTATTCATTTCCGGTAAATATCAATTTACAATTGGTGACAAAGTAAAAATGTATTGAAATAATATAGTTGCAAAAACAGACATTAAAAATTGTCAAAATTGTAATAACATACCTTTTGTGAACTGCCACAGTCTGGTAAAGGACAATATCCATTTTCTGTAACACACCTCATTGCTTCGATACAAAATATCTGAAAAAGTATATCCGCAGTGCGTATTATTTAAACGACGGGCTGCTATTCACGGCAGGTAAAAAGAAATTTACTAATACAACTGTTATACCTACAAAAATGTGATTGTACACTCAATAATACAATGAAATATATTTTAAAAGGACAGGCGGAATTCGCCATTGTTTGTACGCAACTACGATGTGCGCTCAACATTTGCCTGGTTTTTACGCCAATCTCAACACACTTTCGTTCATATTTTGACGGTCGAGCCATTCAACCGGTTTTCCTTGGATAAATAACCATTCATTACGAAGCACCTTGAAATAACTGACTTCTTATACCAACAGATTTATGAATCAGAATTGAAATTCAAATGACCCAAAGACTAAACGTAGAAGATCAATTGCCACAGGGAAATTTCTCCTCGCCCGAAGATTTAACCAGAGACCCCTAGATAAAGTCAGATGCTCCACTATTGAGCTTCATACATATGAAATGAAGATCTGAATAGTTGCTGTATTTAAAACCAATGAAATAACACTGGAATTAGACGAGATTTAGATGTAACACTAATATTTTGTTTATAGTTGCCAACCAAGTGAGATGATAGAATTATGCAATGATCATTTGTTAATTAAACAGCGACTTTACCTCTCCAAATCCGCATCTTATTCCATCATCCTTGCATTCGGGACATGTTTCATCGTCTTTATACTTACTATCATCATCATCGTGATAGTCATTTCCATATTCTACAATTAGATCATTTAAAACACCTTTACAGCAATTTATCAAATTATGCTGATTTGATATTACCTAGAAGTGACGGTGAATTAGTCTATGCAAAAATGACAAAATCGTGTGCTTATGTATTAAATTTTGTACAAAATTTGTTTTTTTTACAATGTATTATTTGTGTTTTCTGAATTTTTCTTAATTCAATTTGATCCTGGAATAAATTGAAAATATTTTTATTTCAATCATACAATAAATTTCCCTTTGGCACACTGACGTTATTGTCATTATATTGTTAGGACTTCTTTAATTTTTTAACATTGAATGTTTTTTTTGTATTATTATAATTTACATAACAGGCGTAGGAAAGTATAGACAACGATTTGCAAAATAAGGTATGCAAAAACTTTCAACATCTTGCATTTTGAAGACAATTAAGTGATATTAAATTCTCACCGGTTTCTTCATAAACAGCACTCTTGTCATAGTTGATATTCATCGGTTTCCCATCCAGATTAAGACTCAATGACTTGTCACCATGGATCACTAATTCAAGTTTAGATTTTAACTCATGAGCCATCTTGCCACCGAAATATAAAGATCCTGTTCAGTGAAAAATAGTGTTATTTGGTAATAACTCACAAAATGTTTTCATATCCATCGTATGTCAATTGCGTTTAAGATGAAGGACTACATTGCATTCACCAATGAAAGATGTCGACATCGAGTATATGTAAGTTCATACTGCTTAATTAAATGCTAAATATATAAAATAAAGGTCATGACACAACAAGTATTTGAAAGCACTTTACAACAATTGCTGACACTCATCTTGCACCTTATCATACTTCATTATGTTCTTAATTAGGTATTGTAATACGCCTTTGATAGATTAGTTTAGGCTGTTTCTTTATGGTGCCATTTGACGATGCTTAAAACTGTAATTTAACATAAAAGCAATTTCAAATGCCATTGTCAGATATTATAAATTCAAACTTCGTTGTCTTATTTCATAGGCTAAATCAAGGAAAAGAAAACTTGTAATGGGAACTAAGTAGAAACTGCAGAAAAGTGCAAAACTTTGACAATTGACTGGCTTTAATAAACAAAAACAATGAAAGATGAAATGTTATATCCAATCAATTATTTAACTGCGCTTGTGAACAATGCACCATGTAGTATTCTCACCATATCTTAACTATTTTTGCATTTTTACATGTAGTCAACCAAATTGTTTATTCATTAACACCCGATACTCCAAGTACAATTAAGCAATATTTGAATCTTTTTGAAAACTAGTTCTAAATATGTTTGACATCTTATCAGAAAGTTTATTTACCATTCCACAGATACGTCTCAATGATATCATTTTGTTCTACACCAAGTGCTGCAGCCAATTGTTGTGTCAGAGTATTCTTCACGCTATTGTAATTTTCGTAATTTCTTCCGACAATGTCAAAGAAATTGCCATCCATAGATATTATAACTATAAAAGTGGATCATATACCAAATATTATTGTGTTTGTCAGTATCTTTATACTGCAAATTAAAATGTGAATTCGCATGGCCACATGTACGAAAAATAGCATTGCCATTGGTACTATTAAGACGGTGTTGTTTACATGTATATTATATAAGATAAATGTATGGTCTTAACTTATTCAAAGTTATATTTGCAGATATTTCTGGATTTTCATATTAAAAATGTAATCTTCAACAAATGAAAAGTTTTGTCTATATAAAACGATGGTCCTATTAATTTAATTCATTTGTAAATGAATCATTGCGACAAATCTAAAATCGCTGAAAAACAACAACAACCGATTGATATAAAAAGTGAGCATCACGATTAAAAACTGTTTTGTTTTAAAAAAATATGTGCCAAGTGTGTGTAAGTAAGAAAGGTACGGCTCTTAATCGAAACTGTTAATGTTAAGAAACTATCATTTATATTAAAACATTATAAATATTCAAATGTATTTCAAGAAGAAGTCAACACGTATATGACTACTTGTTTAGGATATATTTACGATTTAGATTGTTGCATCATATACTTACACTTGGCATAAAGACAGGATTGTGCGCATTGGAAGGCGCCATCTTTGTAACAAACCTTTTTGAAGCAGAAACAAAAAAACTTTTGTTAAGAAATCAAACCATAACCTACAAATACTGACATAATGACTATACTGAGATATTCTAGCTAGGGTTTTGACCAAATTACATTATTTCTTATTTATATGCTTTTAAAAGCTTTCAATATTTTAATGGTTCTCGTTTTTATATTGATTCATGACCGTAACATGACTTGATACTGGTCGCTTTCAAAAAAATTAAACGCAATGTACACCTGGTAGTTTTAATGTTAATTTTCTTACAAAATAATTTAAGTCATGGAAACCGGTAAAAAATAAACAAGAAGCAGTGGTGGTTATTTTCATTTTTTATATCAAATAATGACATGTAGGGAGAAAAAAAGACAAACATCCCTGTACATTTACCTGCCCAGCATATATACGTGTAACATGATAGCAAATAGACTATAGGTTTACCGGTGAATACCGTGAAAAGATAACCCAAAAAGCCAGTAATTTTACCGGAAGTCAAGATAAAAACAAACTGTTCACGGCCGAAAAAGGTAAATAGCTTCATGAATATGATACATGATGTACTTGCATTTTGAAAACGTGAAAGAGACGAACAAATAGCACGATCTAATCAATGCCAGCTATATAAGTAAAATATAGAATTACAATGTATTAATTAATATGCAATATTATAGTGTTATGTTCAAATTAAAATGCGTACTAATAAATTTATGTAGTTCATCTTTTTCTCACGTCGCGCACCCATCACACCAACATAATTGACGTATCCATTTCAAAGAGCATCAATTTAGAATTGGCGACTAAGTAAGACATGTGTTCAATTAGTGTTTTATTAAATGCACAAGAAGAAATATAAAACTTTTAAAAGATAACATACCTTTTGTGAACTGCCGCAGTCTGGTAAAGGACAATAACCATTTTCTGTAACACACCTCATTGCTTCGATACAAAATATCTGAAAAATATGCAGCAAAATGCATTCCTTAAAAGGCAATCAGAGTTATTATTAATACTGAAACGTAATTATAAATCAAAAGCAGCAGTTAAATAATCTGTATTTGGAGGAAAGCTAAGTTCATACAAACCTTTTTATATTAAGATTTAATGAACTGACCTCGTAAATAGCATTATTATTAGAAAAGTATGTCAATATTTGATTTTAAAGAACGTCAGCCAACTATTCCAAGTGTATATCATATCATACAAATTGACATAACTTTCAAATCATACAAATAGACATAACTATCTTATTATATAAATAAACATAACTATCAAATTATACAAAATGACATAATTATATAAATAGACATAAAAAAGATCTTACTATCAAATAATACAAAAAGACAAAACTATCATATCTTATCAGTGTTACACAGTCAATGAAACGCTTACTTCGTTGTAACCACATGTAAATCCTCCATTCATACCATCATGATCTTTGTGGTCACCAAAACTGTCGTCACCTTTCTCTAATGATATAGTAATAAAGTAAACCATGATATATTGAAGGAAGTGTTTCTCTAATGATATAGAAATAAAGTAAAACATGATATGAGCCGCGTCACGACAAACCAACATAGTGCGTTTGCGACCAGTATGGACCCAGACCAGCCTGCGCATCCGCGCAGTCTGATCAGGATCCATACTGTTCGCTATCAGTTTCTCTACTTGTAATAGAGTTGGTAAGCGAACAGCATGAATCCTGATCAGACTGCGCGGATGCGCAGGCTGGTCTGGATCCATGCTGGTCGCAAACGCACTATGTTTTTTTTGTCATGACGCGGCTCATTTATGCCATATTTTTGCCATTTGCATGACTTATTATTTAATATTTTAAGCAGTGAGAATATATAATCGGATATGAACACCCTCATACCTCCAATGAAAATACTGATACTTTCTAATATTTTAAGTGATGTATGTTTTCAATTTAGTTATCTTCTCTAAATCATTTGCTCCTCATTATACTTCTTACAATCGAAATATGTCATTTTAAGAAGTATTTAATTTTTTGTTTTCTTTTTAGGAACTCTCTTTAATTTACATAATGTATTCCTACTCACCTTCGTCATAAACATTGTCGTATATGACGCATGATTTCATATTCCAATCAATGACCTATAATATTATATAAAAAACATATTTTGTCATATACATGAATCAAATATTGAGATTTATTTAATTTTTCCCATGAAATATGGTGCTATATCAGTCAAATATATTTCATATTTTTTAGAAATAAATATGAAATACAAATATGAAAGTAGGCGGAGTCAAAGCTCATATTTATTTTACGGAACTTCTTTCGCCGTTTTGTTTGAAAATCTGATAAATACAAAACATTTTTTTCTTGAATTTTGTTTTTAAAACTATCTGGAATGATAGAAAATGGTCTAACTAAGAAAATTAATCCGAACGCCAATATCTTTAATTCAGTAATTAACGCTGTACAGACGTTTAAAGAGTTGTTTACATGACGTCGACATCACAATGTAGCGCCAAACAGCGCGTGCTTACGCATAAATTACTGCGCGCTGTACATAGCAAGCAAGGGGTTTCGTTACCATTTTCTCTGATAATGAAATTAAATAAAAAGGTTATTTTTTCGTTTTTCGTGAAATATTGTGTATATTTTCACTTAACATGATAAAATGCCACATATTTTCACTCGCCGTGCCGGCTCGTGAAAATATGTGGCATTTTATCATGTTTCGTGAAAATATAATCCATATTTCACGCAAACGTAAAAATATCCTCTTAATATTGATAAAATAAAATGCGTATTTATTTACATTTTCCGTATTTTCACTGTAAAAAAATATTTTTCATTGCAGTGAAACATACTCTCTGTATTTTCACTGGTGTCTTGCCGGACTACATTCTTCTAAAACTAGTCAATACACAAACTTTTAAGGGAATTCATTTTAAAATTGTTATAAATATAAAATGTAAATATATATATATATAATGTAAATATAAAAATGTATATAATAAACAGAAAATTGAAGTTTTTTTCTATAACTACAGGGTATACTTTCATCTTATGGTATGCAATTATCATGTTTCTCTCGTGGCTATCACCACTATGAAAATGAATATTTCATACCACTCGATGAAAATAAACCCTGTATTTATAGGGAGAAATGAAAAGCATCTATTTTCATTTGATGGGTTGTTTTGTATGGATATAATCAATAGTGCTAGTATCGTTGCTTTAAATTAAATGTTGACCGGTCATTTTAATGAAGTATGGCAGTTGTAAAAATATCCCCCAAAGAGTGGTTCTACAGAATATAATATTCTGAAAAAAAAAAAAAACAAAGTATCGTATATATTGATATAAAACACATTACCGAGTCCTTAGGACAGGTTATGCAATGTTCATCCTGGCATTCAGTGTAGAAATCTAAAAGATATTTAAGCAAAAATATAGGACAAATTTATTTCAACATTTATCTTACTTAATCATGGACCCGATGATAATGTTTGTTTCCATTTATTTATTTATTTATTTATTTATCTATCTATCTCTCTGTCTATCTATTAATTTATTTATGTTTCATCCGAAATACATAATTGTACATTGTTAACAGATGTCTGCTTAAAAACATTATGCAATCTGCCATTTCTATATAGAACAAGATATGTTTGTAACACATGTATGCCCCTATCGGCAGCCAATTAGTCATGTGACCAGGTTATTATGCATGACTTCTGACCTAGTGAACAAAAAAATAATAAGGGTTATTTACTGGTCATGACTAGTCACAAGGTAATAATTATTGTGACCCCGTAGGTTGTGTGCAGCAATTTAAGTTAATTTGACCTTGACCTTTGACCCCTTGACCCAAAAATCAATAGGGGTCATCTGCTGGTCATGACCAATCATCATACCAAGTTTGGAGTTCCTAGGCCTAAGTGTTCTTTAATTATTGATCGGAAACCGTTTTCACTTACAAGGTCAATGTGACGTTGACCTTTGACCCCTTGACCCCAAAATCAATAGGGGTCATCTGTTGGTCATGACCGATCATCATACGAAGTTTGAAGCTCCTAGGCCTAAGGGTTCTTTAGTTATTGATCGGAAACCGTTTTTACTTACAAGGTCAATGTGACCTTGACCTTTGACCCCTTGACCCAAAAATCAATAGGGGTCATCTGCTGGTCATGACCAATCATCATACCAAGTTTGGAGTTCCTAGGCCTAAGTGTTCTTTAATTATTGATCGGAAACCGTTTTCACTTACAAGGTCAATGTGACGTTGACCTTTGACCCCTTGACCCCAAAATCAATAGGGGTCATCTGTTGGTCATGACCGATCATCATACGAAGTTTGAAGCTCCTAGGCCTAAGGGTTCTTTAGTTATTGATCGGAAACCGTTTTTACTTACAAGGTCAATGTGACCTTGTCCTTTGACCCCTTGACCCCAAAATCAATAGGATTCATCTGCTGGTCATGACAAATCAATATACCATGTTTGAAGTTCCTAGGCCTAAGCGTTCTTTGGTTATTGATTGGAACCGTTTTAGCTTACAAGGTCAATTTGACCTTGACCTTTAACCCCTTGACCCCAAAATCAATAGTGGTGATATACTGGTCATGGCCAATCATCATACCAAGTTTGAAGTTCCTAGGCCTAAGGGTTCTTAAATTATCACTCGGAAACCATTTGGTCTACGGACAAATGCAAAGCAATATACCCCCTCTTCTTTGAAGTGGGGTCATAATTATATGAGACAATATATTTACATAATATAATTTAGATAGCAACTGATATACTTTTGCCATTAATAAAAGATTTACACTAAAATGTAATATAGAAGGTCTCAAACGAGACGTCATATTGGTATTTTTTATAAAATAATGACGTCAAAGTGAAAAATCATAAGAAAGTGGAAGCACTTTCGAATTTATTGCGATTTCTCGCGAAAATACAGATAGTTTGTAGAGAGAGAAAATGCATATAAATCTGTTTTATAATTTTGTCTGATTATAATGTTTTGGCCAGACATTTTCCTGCTAGTAAAAAGTTTATACATTTGTATGGCCGTTAAAATAATACAGCAAAAAAAGAGAGATCCTGATACAAATTAAATCCATTGAAATAATACTGAGGAAGACAGTAGATTACAAGAAAACTTAAAGTACCCTGATGATAAGCCGTGTGGATGTGTGCAGAACTTTTCTCCCAGTCTATGTGGAGGGAATGCTCATTAAAATTTGATATAAACTGGGAACCAGACTGCTTCAATTCCATAAGACGACTGTAAAATTGTGAACTCATGAAAAACTCAATGACTATGGAACCTGAAAACGAAAAGGTCATTTATTTTTACAGGCAAACAGATTTATGTTTAAAATAATAGATCTATGAACCGTATAAAGAGGAAGAAAACAAGAAAACTAGAGATGATAGCTTTTTAATTGATAGGTAAAACTACTTAAAAAGAAAGAGATGTGTAGTCAAAGACTATTGACATAGAAATAAGAGTTAAAGAAAAATGCTAATTTTCATGACAATGTATATTGTGAAGTGAGCAAAGAAACTTCCACACTGCAAACGACACTTACAATCCACGTAAATTATCAAAAAGTGGTCGAACTATGTAAGAATGCCCTCACTGCGTTAATCACACAGAAGAAACATTGTGATAAATACTCCGTAACACCATAATCAATCATAATTGACACATAACATGTGAATTATTACTTGAATTGCAAATATTTTTACGTTTTTTTTTCATAAAATCTTTGAACATTTTCTTAAGAATGATTTCCTTGAAATACGTTGGCTCATCTGGAGGCATGCGACCGTAAAATGAAAAAGTATCAAATAACAACGCGATTGTTATTCAATATACTTTATACTTATATGTTATGTTTAAAATACACCGTGCATTATGGGAATTGCACATGACATGGACTTATTACAATGATTAAACTTTGATTAATTATAAAATATCATATTTTGGAAGAAGGTTGGAAGGACAATATTAAAGTTCAATGTTGTATTATATTCATATATACCGGACGTTGTTTCAAAATTCCAGACGTCCGTATCCATTGCACCAGGAACTTTTGCGAGCAAATCTTTCTTAAAGTGTCCAATAAAACCTTTCATGTTCTCAAAATCAGGTCCAATAACAGCATTAAAGTCAGTATTGTCGACGTATATAATTACTGCAAAAGAAAATGTTATTTATTAATATGCTATTCTTTAAATGACAAATAAAAACAATTACTTTTGATAGTCGATAATCAAATTGTATTAAAAATGTTTAAAGATAGTAAAACAAATTAGTAACACAAAAACAACCCAGATCCTTTTAAGAAGCAAAGGATTAAATACAAAATATAACAATAACATTATTATCAAATGAATGCGGATTAAAAAAAAATGTACATAAAATATTTCACGTGACATGCCACATGATATTAATGAAAAATAAGTATGCTGCATATCAAATTAGAATAAGTTGCTCTGAACACTGGAACACATTCAAAAACGAAATAAATTGTGGGTCACCGAACTTTTCTCGAGTTATCTGCACTTGAATTTAAAGTTTCCTTATTTCGAGGTCAGATAATTCACAATTAAGGTTACAGTTTTATTTTTCCGCTTTCAATGAAGCTGGCTTCCTTTTGGTAAATGGTGCGAGAAATTTCAGGAATACCAAATGGTAATGAGTAGTTGTTTAATTTGTTTCTCTTTTACCTAAACTTTGCCAATTTTCTTTAAGATAATACCATACTTTTCAGTCACCCTACTAAAGCCAAGTAAAATGAACAAAGCATTGATGGGATTCCATGGAAATTAATATTTTGACTCAGGATAAAATTTATATTACCTTCAGCGTAATTGCATTGACCATGATCCACACACATTAAACCTCTGTCTGTTTTGCACATAACCTAATAAATATATGTTTATTATTATAACAAATGAATTTAGTCTTTATTGTTTGCCATTTTTATGAAAATTAGTATGAATACCTAACCTTTTAAAAAACAATTTTCATAAATAGTTAGGGTTAAGAAACTTAAAGATCCTTTAACTCAATTTTTTATGTTTTTTTATCATAAATATATACAATGCTGATGAAGATTAATCAATATTGTAAGTTCAAAAAAGCATTATTTGTAAAGATATTACCGAATTTATATTTCGTGTTAATTAGAAATTTATCTTCTGTTAAGTCTAAGACAAATATTACAATAAGAAATGAATGAATGACTGATTATATATAATGTGGAAAAATATTTGCAGCACATATTTTACATATGTTTGAAAATTGTTTTAGAAGCATAATTGTATACATATACAGAATTTCACTTAAATGTGGAAACAACCTTAAATACAACTATATTGTATATTGTATATTATTCAGTACAAGGTCGATCGAATCATATACTGAACAGATGTTTATAACAAATGGATTGGAAAACAGTAAACTTTTTAGCGGCTTAATATTCAACCGTTTGTTTGGAAACTTGCAAACTAAACGACCACGAACAATGTCAGAATTTGTTAGGTTACTTAATTACATTTTAGAAAGGCCGAACATTTACCTGATGTGTGTCACAAGAAGGTTCATCATCACATGTGCCATCGAGGTTAACGCATCTCTGTGCTTGGAGACAGAATATCTGAAACATATGAACAAATTAATTAGTGCTTTGTGTTGCTAATACTTTGCTCTGTAGAGGTGTCAAATCGTCTGAGCAATTATCTTAGGAGTCCGTTTGCATAGCTCAAAAGGGATTGGATGTGTGATCCATGGGTTACTGGTTCGATCCTTATGTCAGGCGACATTAATTTCTCTTTGACTACTGATCTCAGACATCGAGTCTAATGATCACTTGAGCCGCGTCACGACAAAACCAACATAATGGGTTTGCGACCAGCATGGATCCAGACCAGCCTGCGCGTCCGAGCAGTCTGATCAGGATCCATGCTGTTCGCTTACAAACCGTATAACAAGTAGAGAAACTGATAGCGAGCAGCATGGATCCTGATCAGACTGCGCGGATGCGCAGGCTGGTCTGGATCCATGCTGGTCGCAAACGCATTATGTTGGTTTTGTCGTGACGTGGCTCATTTGTCTCTCACCGCTGACTGAGAAATCATGTGGGATTAGTAACTGGTCACTTGCAGAGAAGGAAAGCTTGTTATTTGTTATTTTCTGGTTAGTTATCCAGGAAAGCTTGTTATTTGTTATTTTCTGGTTAGTTATTCAGGAGAGCTTGTTATGGAAAGCTTGTTATTTTCTGGTTAGTTATCCAGGAAAGCTTGTTATTTGTTATTTTCTGGTTAGTTATCCAGGAAAGCTTGTTATTTGTTATTTTCTGGTTAGTTATCCAGGAAAGCTTGTTATTTGTTAATTTCTGGTTAGTTATCCAGGAAAGCTTGTTATTTGTTATTTTCTGGTTAGTTATCCAGGACAGCTTGTTATTTGTTAATTTCTGGTAAGTTATCCAGGAAAGCTTGTTATTTGGACCGACCGGTATGATATGACCAAAATTGTGTTAAAATTGATGTAAAAAGACAAACAAAATAAACAAATGTTAAAGTAACACTTTGATTTTTATTTTTTACAGAAGTAACACTTCGGATTTTTACTTAATGGCAAATAAAATAAATAAACTACAAAATAAGTACTACATGTTGTTTTTATAAACTAAGTTATTGCATTAATAATTTAAGAGAGATAGAGAGAGATTTGTTACCATGCCCAGTTTGCATTTTTTCTGGCCACCGTGCATTCCTGAAAAGATAACATAAAACAATCAAATTATATATCATGCTGGCGGGTGGTTGTGTTAGTGACAGCAAAGTCATAATTCGGCATACAAAGGTGAATGGTTCATTTTCCTAAAAAAAGTTCAGCAATACAATATCATGCGCTTAGTGTGTTAATGTTCATCTTCATTTTTATTCAGAAGTTGAAGAAATCTTTACATAGGATAACTTCTTTGAAACGCAAATTTGTCTTAGTGTTGATATTCTGACTGACTTCAAACTTAATTAAGCCATTCTATTAAACGCAGTCCAGTCACATTTCTAGCTTTATTAACTCAAAATACAGAAATTTGAAAACGCTGTTTTGCGTCTTAAATACTTTATTCATTTGTAATTCTTTTATTTATCTTGACATAACAGTAACATTTAAGTTAATTGATGAAAAATGACATTGATAAAACATCGATACTAGTCACAGTTTACATCTGAGTACAGTTATAAAGCAAGGGTTCATTAGAGAGACAGAGATCCTGCGAGAAGGAAAGTGAGGGAAAGAAAATGTGATCATTTCAAACTCGGTTGGATTGAATATGAAGCGGTAATGAAAACTTTCATGCTCCCTAGCTAGCACCGACTCAATTAGTATTTTAATTATATAACACTTAATTATTTCATAATTAAGTATCCACAACGTCAAAAAATGTGAAGTACAAGCCGTAATTGACCTTATATATTAGTAACAGAACGAACATATTGTATAGTTCATTCAATAATTTATGACAAGCTTTTAATAATACATCGTCGGGTACCCACTGCACCATAAACATTCATGATTACATGTTATGTGACATGTTTATCAATCGTGGGTATCCGACGATGTCAATAATAAAGAGTTCTACAAAAACACATACCCTCATAGTCTGGGAGTTGGTCATCGAGCACCGACACACAACCCGAGTGCATGACGTCATATTTCTGGAACCAGAGGTATAAATGTATCATATTATTTTCATCAAATACAAAATGTTCATCATAAATGGGTTTTGGGTTTGATAATTTATTACTATGAACATTCGTAAATTATGAATTTTCATGATTATTTTCAATTCAATGTATTAAAGCGTGCGTCATATTTCAATAATTTTACGATCATCCCTTGAACTGTGTCTAGAAATACATGAACATGTATATTTCAATATTTCTGCAATTTGTACATGATCCGTGTTGTTAACTATAACTATATTTCAATTTTTATACGACCTGTACTTGAACTTTGCTCTGAACAGTTTAGATTTTTCACATTTATATGGTTGTCTTTGTGACCTGCTATCATTTTGATAGAACAATGGAAAATACTTGATAATAATATACTTAAGTTATGTCATCAGTTCTTACCTTAATAAATTATATAGAACACAAATTATTACAATAATAATGAACGACAAAATCAGAATACAATAAATTACCTGACCGACTGGACATGATGTACAAGTGTTGTCTGTACAGTCTACATGGTAACCTAGTGAAAATAATTATATGGAAAAGTTATGTATGATATTTTATTCCCGAGATAAATGTAAAGATATATATATTATATTATATAGAATATAACCATAGACAACGATAACATCAACATATATAACTCCACATTGCCTCTTTTCCAATATTATAAGATGCTGAATAAATGGTGTTGTTGGACCAAGATACGAAGGCAACATGTGGGGCAACATTATATTTGCCAACGTATGTGATCATTATTTAACCTTTTAAAACATGAACATTTGCTATCATGTTATAAGTTTTTTTAATTTTTGGTTTAAATGAAAAGTGACAACTTGACAATTTACAACAAAACTATATATTTTCTTTGAGACATAAAAGGGAAAACAATCGCAAATTTGAAAAAAAATGTAAAATTAATGGATATAAAAAGTTTTATCTCGAATGAATATATTACACTATGCTTTATTATATTATAATTTTAGTTAAAATTTTACGAAAAAAAGGAATAATTTTTAATTGATATTATGTACATTAAAATTTAGGGAAAATAAAGGAAAAGAACCTTTTTTAAATTCGGCATATGACTTGTCATAGTTTATGGTCATCTGTTCGCCTTGAAGATCTGTCATGAACTGTATGCGGGAGGTCATTATGTTGATAAAATAGTCTAAGAGCCTTGAGCTTGCAGATAATCTTATGTCTATGGACCCTGCAAGGTAATCAAGCATTGTATATATAACTGACCTAACATGAATTCGAAAACAGATTGAAAGAAATTATAGCAGAAAACTCGAAATGGACGTAACATCAAGTAGTTTTGAATGAGAATTGCCGATTTACTGTTTCTTCAAATCATGACTTGACTAGCAACGAACATACTATTGTGATGGCAAATATATCATTTGGGGTTTTCCGTTCCTAAGAATGTTGGTCCCCGTTCCTAAGAATGTTGATAAACGAGTTATGCAAGCCAAATATGTCCTAATCAAAATGCCTCAATGTTAGATAATTATTTATTTAAATACTCTTCAGATGCGTATAAATGTATAACATTCCATCTCCTTAACACGCTTCATTTACTGTCAATGAATCCAAGAAACTTACTTTGAAGAATATTTAAAAGTTTAGTATATTAACAAGCTATTTATATGCATTCATTTTTCTTACCGCGTTCAACTGACATGTCATAAAAGTCGTTCACACCCGACCCAGGAATGTTTTTCGACAAAAGTTGCTTTACATGATCCTTAAAATCTTCTAAATGTTCATATGCTTCACCTACAACATTGTTGTAATCAGCTTGTTCCAGATAGAATCCCGCTGAAATGAAAAATAAAAGTATATACAATTTGTAATTTTTACAAATTTTCGGGAATACTAGCTAGTGAGATCAATGCGTAAAGATCACTACATGTATCACAGAATGTGAATACAAATATAAATTTAGACAAAGGTTTCACAGAATGTGAATACAAATTTAGACAAAGGTTTCACAGAATGTGAATACATATTTATACAAAGGTTTCAAAGAATGTGAATACAAATTTAGACAAAGGTTTCACATAATGTAAATACAAATTTAGACAAAAGTTTCACAGAATGTGAATACAAAATTTAGAAAGGTTTCACAGAATGTGAATACAAATTTAGTCAAAGATTTTACAGAATATGGATACAAACATAGATAAAGGTTTCATGTAATGAAACTGCTAGATTTTTTTTCACATTAAAAACCAACCAACGATACCATTACGAAAGGAAATCATTCAACTAAATTTGTTTGGTTTGGAGTATTTATCTAGAGGCGTCCATTGCCGAGGGTTGAAGCTAAACCCATTGCCTCTCACTGTTGTGGGTTCCGCTAGGGATTTTAGATTCTTACGGTACGTTGTTGGTTCTACTCAGATGCCCGTCCGTGCCTAAAATATTGCACGGAGGGGTCACCTGTGGTCTTCATTGACAAGTAAAGCTGGGAAGTCGCCATATGACATCTACTGTATTAGTGTGACGTAAAGCCCAGCCATAAAAAGGTACATGTACTTATATTCTTATTATTGTTATTTCATAGAAGTATTTGTCACTTTCAATACAATTTTTATCAAATAGCAGAACTTTATGTCTACTTTAAAAATCATTTCGTAAATAACTTGATTATTCATATCGATCTATACAATACATAACACAAAAAAGATCGTTCACATCTTTCTTTTCAATGTCCAAATTTCAATTGTTGGTTGATAAAATTACAGAGGCGAAAATCATAATCTTTTAAAATACTGAAGTTTGCATTTAAGAAAAGTGTAGTTCATCAAACATTTACAAAAATTTAAAGTATTTCAAACGATAGATATATACTTCTGCTTACGTTTCATTGTATCTCTAAATTGTGAATAAATACGAAAGCCTCAAATTGAAACTACTGCACCGTAGCCATTATTAAAACTGTAACAGAGATTTGTTTAAAAACAAGATTAAGTTAGGTGAATTAAATTAGAACAACAAATAATTAAAAACAAAATCACCTTCTACATGTGAACAAGATCCGCCCTCTACACAAGTAAGAGTACCATCTCTGTTACACAGCATCTATAAAAGACATGGAAATTATTAATTGGTATATATCATTTATTTATATATTCATATAAAATTGAATTTCATGAATTTCAGAAACGACAATAATAAATATGATTTGGTCTTTATCCAGGAAAAGTTTACACCTTGAGAGTAATAAAGAAAAGGAATGTTCCTGATGAAGTCTCCTCATTTATGTCACATAGCCAAAATCATTGAAACTCCAAAACTATCCCAGTCCAACCTTTCTTTTCCCTTCTCCCTCCGCCTGTACAAAACACTTGTCTCACGACAATGGTTCAGAAATCGTTTGGGATTATAAGTCGGTCTCTTGCAATTGAAATAGGTAATTATAGGAATGTCATCCAGCATAGCCGGTTAGGTATGATGAAACATGTTTTAAAATCGGCTTAAAAAGCAGAAAACACAACCGTCAAACAAACACATAGACATACGTTCTAGAAAAATTAACTATACCTGATATTGGCCACATGTCGGTTCGGTAGGGCACGTGCCATCCATGTTGACACATCTTCGTTCTTGTATGCAGAAAATCTAAAATGAAAATATTAATAATCTCATATACATATAGATCTATCTTTAAATAATTTAATGTTTACAAAATCATGTCCCTCTCATTGTCACGGATATGTATAATTAAAAAGGATGCATCAAATATGATACTATATAGACAAAACAGAAATTACAGTAACCATAATCCTGATTTGAGCCGCGTTATGACAAAACCATTATAATGGGTTTGCGACCAGCATGGATCCAGACCAGCCTGCGCATCCGCACAGTCTGATCAGGATCCATGCTGTTCGCTATCAGTTTCTTTACTTGTTATAGGGTCTGTAAGCAAACAGCATGGATCCTGATCAGACTGCGCGGACCCATTATGTTGGTTTTGTCGTGACGCGGCTCATTACTGGAAATCATTCTAAGATATTCGTGTACCAGAATAAATAAGATCAATTCATTATCACAATGCCAATATGTTGTAGTTAAGACTTCAAAACCTGTTAAAGGGACTCCACTGAGGTTTTTGACATGTCGGGAATGGAAATATTTTTTCCACATTAATGTATAATTTGATGTTCGTCTTGACCAATAATGTGTGCAAAATTTCAGATCATTCGCTCATTCCGTTACATTTTCAAGAATAATTATTTTAATTTCGAAAATGACCTTAAATTGGAAAGCGTTATTTTTCACTCAAATGGGACAAAAATAGCACAAAATACAACTTTCATTTCATTTCTTAGTACATGTATATTTTTGAATTATTATCAGCAATTGATCTTTATAAGAAATTAAGAAATTCAAATTCTATTTTTTTTTTTGCTTTTTTGCTTTTGGACGTTGTGAAGTTGTTCCTTTAAATGTGTCTGACTCAGACAAAGTAATCCACAAGTTACACAGGCGTACAAAAAAATACTCTGGATAAAGATATGGTAGATCAAATAAAAAAAGTGTTGCAGTACCTGACCCTCTTTACAGTGTTCCGGCTCATTTACATGGTCTATAAAAAAATATAATAACCAGATATATAACTGTTACTGATGGATGACAATGGATGAAATATTTAAGATCAGGAACTACATGTATCTGTAGTTTGATTTACGAAAGTATTTTTGAAATGTTCTATAACGACGCACTTGATTAATGTGGTAACCACCTTTAAAAACCTTTTAATTATTCAATTGATATTCTTACTCACTCATTTGCTTTGAAAATATTATTACGACAGCATCAATATTAATGTACTCTATTGGAAGGTTTTCAAGTTTATCTGTATAGCCTGCAACTGTTTAATTGATATTTCGTCTAGATGCTTTGAAAGCCAGTGTGATATCAATAATTTCTGAAACTAGTGTAAATTATGTTTAAGTCATTGCCTCTACGGCCATTGTTAACCAAATCTAGCCTGCAATTTGCAATTTTTTATTTTCATTTTTACTGCTCTCGAGGAATTTCACATCATCCAGATTTTCAGGTATGAAACCGGATAGTTTTTCAATCAAAAATATAATGGCAATCGTGACAACAGCGACAATCCTGTACTTTCTGAGTAGCTATAAATGCTTTTAAACAATATGAATAATAAATACACAGACAATACAAGTTATTAAATGATCAATAACTGACACGCTCTGTCACAAAATAGGACAAGCTTTTAGTTTCCCATTGCATACTGGGAAGAAATATTGCGCGCTTAAAATATCGTCTGCTTGCATTGGTACCCGACAATACGCTGCTTAAGATCCTCGGTGTCTGGTTGGGTACCAAGCTGTTTCAGAAGTTTACTGTTATCCCTCTAAGCCGGCTATGGTCTATTACAACACACTTAAAAATCTATGACATGAGAATAAGTCTCATAAGAATAAGTCTCATATTCTTTTATGTGAAAAATTTGAATTTCAACTTCAATACGGATATAACTTCAGTGTTATTATACCGGTAGCGTTTTGGATAGATGAAAATAAGAAAAAACTATGATAGACGAACTCCTTTGTATGCATAAACTTGGTTGTCCCATTTTTTCAACTGTCTTAATATTAATATATTGGTATTTACTTATTTTCTTTATTTCGTATGAATTAATTTCCTGTAATAAAATGAATTGTTTTTACTTACTGTCCTCTGCGGTTACACACCGGTACACACCAAGACGATTTTCTTGTAAAACCTTTGGAGCCAAGAATAAAATGATGCATAAAGAGAAACGAATTTTACATTAAAAAAACTACACAATTTTCCTGCAATATAATAACAATATACGATAACTTAATATTCTAATAGACCCAGTATGCCTCAGAAATGCTATCATTTTTATTTAAAAAAAACTGTTTACTTTTGGTATCTTGTTATGTTTTCCAAAAAACATACTCGTTTGCTATATACATGATATATATACATATCTTTTGCATCTTTAGTTCTATTGGCAACTGGTATAATTATAGTGAATAAGTGTTTATATGGAAGTCAAAATACTACTTTGTTTACATTTTGATACCTTTACGACACATAATTGCATGTTCTGCGCTACTTATTTTCACTTGTTAAACACATGTTTAATATGTCTTAACAATAAAAGTATAATTTCTGAGACATAATGTGCTTTTAAGATTACAGTAACAATAGATCTGGCTGAAAAAAACCGGGTCGATCAGATTAGATATATTGTAATAACTTGATTCTCGTACTAATTATTTTTCACGGGTGAATCAATACATTCAGATTATAAAACATCTTATCCTTAAAAAATTTCAATTACAGAGGATGTTTCATAAACCAACAAATAAAATAAGAAATGTGTAATATATAATAAAAAATGTTCTTCAATTATTGGGCGATATTTACGGACGCCACCCTCTCATCTCAACTTCAGCTGAATAATAAATTAATAGATGTTATATAGTAAGTTTTTTTACCTCCCCTTGTTTGCATGTTGGTGGGACTATGCACGAGCCATCGAGGTTTACACAGCGTGAAGAAAACAAGCAAAATATCTGTAAATGAATATATAAAAGTATGAAAATATGTTTTCGCAAGGACAGTTTTCATTTTTGACAAACCGCATGCGAAAAGTAGTATAACAACTAGGCCAGTTAGACGCTATTAAAAAGTATAGCTACAGTCAGTCGGTCTGTTTCACATTCATATTAGCATAATATTTTATGAATGAGCGTGTTAAAAAAATACACAGTAAATTATATGCACTCGGTTTAAACATAAATGTGTCAGCTGGAATTGGTCTCACATGAGGAAAACTGCCTGTGACTCTGGAAGGACTCGAACCCAGAATCCTTGTTTTGATAGGTAGACATCTTAATCACATGCGGGATTTTCACCAGAAGGGGTCGCGAAAACAGGACAAGGGGTAACATGTATAGGTTAGAGTGCATATTGGGTGTTCTTCGTAAATAAGAAAGCTAAAAAGGAGCGGAGCTTGCGAAGCGACTGTAGCTTTCTTATTTACGAAAAACATCCAATATGCACTCTAACCGGCTTAGTGCTCCGCCCATTTTTTTCCGCCCAACACACTGCGTGACGTCACACGATAGCCTAAATGTGTATAACCATATTTGGAAGAGGTAGCGGTACACATTTTCGGGTCACGTGTTTTGCATAGCTTATTCCCGCATTCTGTCTAGATAAATAAATCAGACAATATCACGGTGTATATCCATGTCGGTACCCTCTTTGCACGGTACCCTCTTTGAACATACACAGGCCATTCTCTGTTAAAAACAAACCAGCGATGGATAACAATGCAGTAAAAATTCATTGTAATAAGGAAAGGAGGTATGACACGTAGAAAAAATGTATACAACGGAACACTAGAATGTTTTATTTATGTGCTGATTTGTCATATGCCCGATTTCCATGTAATGCAACTTCACAATGAGCTACAAAAAGTCGACATGTCTTGCCTCGCCTGTCACCTCGACATATTTTTGTAAAATTAATAAATACACCCTACTTTCGGTTTTGCAGCGGCACGGGCTGTAATATTTACATAAAAAGTAAGAAATAATACATACATACTTTGTTGGAATAAGTGAACTTTTTATTTGGAAATTATAAAATGATACTGGTTCCGTAAGTAATAAAACATTTTTATTGTTATTTTGCCTGTTTTCATTTCAATGAACCTCTTTTTTTAATTCTATGCCGTAGTGACGATAAACATGTGCGTGTACGGAAAAAAACATGATGCATAAATATTGATTAGTAGGAGTAAACCTCAAGATCTCTGCACATGCGTATATTTCACTTTAGCGCTCTTCGAAACTTAGCTCCGCCCACTTGCGTTTTATAATATAAAACGTCCAGTTTATATAAAATCTGTTCTATTAAGATTTGAAACCTAAAAATTTGAAAAATCCTCGTCGGTGATTGGCTTAAAAAAATTGGCGAGCACTAAATACTATTTAATACACGATTTCCGCTATTGAATCAACGCAATCTGAAATCCACATTTTAGGGGGTGGGGTTCACATACTAGCTAAATCTTGCATTGGGAAAAGGTCATGACTAGGCAACCGCTCCCTTTAAAAGTTTAGCTCTGATGATATAACACGAAATCGTCATTTCAACAGTAGAAAATATAAAAGGAATACCATATGTACTGTCTGATATTATTGCAATATTAATTTTTATCTATCAGGGTTATGCTTTTAGTAACAAACCTTATTTTCAATAGTATTAAGCCAAAATAATGAAAATTTAACATCACACAGTTTTAAACTAATCATGCATAAATTTCATTTTATTTTTGAAAATTCAGACACGGATGTAGATCTCTACAGTTCAATTTGATAATAAGGAAAAATAAATATGTAACAAGAATAGTCTAGAATTTTGATTTTAGTACATGTATATTCAAAGTCAGCAATGCTTAAACAGTATGAAATGTCCCAATTTAAACACATTGTAGAGTTTTTCTATATCAATGAAATAAGTTGGTTATTTTTGTATGTATATCAGTGACTGATTCACATTAGATAAGATGTAAGATTTAACTAAGGCAGGTGTGGAGTTAGGGGTGGGGAGCTGATAAAGCTAAGCTTTTTTTTAGGTTTTTTTCAAGCAGGTAGTTTATTAAATGAAATCGGTATATAAATGGCATGATGGTGCCATTACTTACCGTATTAGGCGGACATTCGTCGGCGTCGAACATGTGAGTTCCTGGAGTGGCGTCATAATCGTCATGTAGCGTTCCCTCTGACGCAGAGCATAAGGTCACAATAACAGCTAAAAAAGAATGAAGGAAGAACTTAAGATTACCCTCACTAAAACATTGAAGTGAAATTGAGTGGATAAACAATTTTACTCATTCACAAAGAAACTTAATCCTGAATGACAGCTCAGCAAATATTAATTTTATCAAAATTGGACAGATATTATTATTCTCCTACTGGCTTGCATAAGATACACTGTGGTGGCAGAAACGGTATTAAAATCTTCGGTATATACAAATAACTAAGTTATCATCATTTTCATATAAATTGTGTATTTTATTCAAAGAATTTCCCGGCCAATGTTCTCCAAGTGGACATAATGCTACTATCTACTCAGTACCTTGTTACAGTTAATAAAATTAGTCTCATAGTTTTGTGTCTTTTAATATGATTTAGAATGCTAAAGTTCATTGGCACCGTATGTCGTTGTTTTTTGTTGTTGTTGCTGGTTTGTGTTGTTGTGTTTTTTTTTTCAAGAAAACTCAAGATATACCATTTGTGGTATTTATCTTTTGCTTTTTTGAAGGTTTCCCTCTAATAAATATAATGCTATCTCTTTCTCCCAGTAGTGTAGACATACTCATGACGTTAGAGGCGAACTTTATTGCGACTTGGTTGTCTTAGATTAAAAGAGATTTTCTTTAGCTGTTTGACATATAATCAATCAAAAAAGCATTTAGTAATGATTTTTATTAAATGGCAATTCAGTATTTTAAAAAAAACTTTAGTGAAGTGAAATCAAGTATAGGTTAGAGTGCATATTGGGTGTTCTTCGTAAATAAGAAAGCTAAAAAGGAGCGGAGCTTGCGAAGCGACTGTAGCTTTCTTATTTACGAAGAACATCCAATATGCACTCTAACCGGCTTAGTGCTCCGCCCATTTTTTTACGACCAACACACTGCGTGACGTCACACGATAGCCTAAATGTGTATAACCATATTTGGAAGAGGTATCGGTACACATTTTCGGGTCACGTGTTTTGCATAGCTTATTCTCGCATTCTGTCTAGGTAAAAAGATGGATAACAATGCAGTAAAAAATTCATTGTAATAAGGAAAGGAGGTATGACACGTAAAAAGATGTATACCACGGAACACTAAAATGTTTTATTTATGTGCTGATTTGTCATGTGCCCTATTTTCATGTACTGCAACTTCACAATAAGCTACAAAAATTCGACATGTCTTGCCTCGCCCGTCACCTCGACATATTTTTCGGGCTGAAATAATCCTGTAGCTTGATTATATATGCATCAAACATATTTATTATGTTCATATACATATCATCTTCGAACAAATGGCAGTATATTGTAAAATTAATAAAAACACCCTACTTTCGGTTTTGCAGCTGCACGGGCTGAAATATTTACATAAAAAGTAAGAAATATTACATACATACTTTGTGGAATAAATGAACTTTTTATTTGGAAATTATAAAATGATACTGGCTCCGTTAGTAATAAAACATTTTACTGTTATTTTGTTTTCATTTCAATGAACCTCTTTTTTTAATTCTATGCCGTAGTGACGAAATACATGCGCGTGTATGGAAAAAACATTTTGCATAAATATTAATTAGTAGGAGTAAACTTCAAGATCTCTGCACATGCGTACATTTCACTTTAGCGCTCTTCGAAACTTAGCTCCGCCCACTTGCGTTTTATAATATAAAACGTTCAGTTTATATAAAATCTGTTCTATTAAGATTTGAAACCAGAAAATTTGAAAAATCCTCGTCGGTGATTGGCTTAAAAAAATTGGCGAGCACTAATTATTTAATCATTACTTTTTTCTAAGATTTCGTTTTCTTCTTTTTTTTTTATCACAATAAAATTTTGGCAACTGGAATTTTCTATTTCTTATAAACAAGAAATATATACGCATAGCTTATTTATATCAATAATAAATATAAGCTATGCCGAGGAGTATCAGTGAACTTTTATGAGCGACAACGATGTAATTTTCTTATATAATTATACCTATTAATTTGTAACATGTTTTGGTAACAGTGTCACTTTAGCTTTTTCCTTTCGGATACTGATGTGAGAAAAAACAACAGAAACAACAACAACAATGTGAATTACCTGAGCAGACAATTATTCCTAAACACCACCAATCCATTTTGTGGTCCTCTATATTAGCCGTCTGCTTTAAAAATGTTACAAAATATTGTTTGATTGTATAAAGACTAGTTCTCGGGTTGGTACCCGGTTTTTTCTTTAACATATATAGTAAAACTCGGCACCAGTTATTCCGGGTAAAAATCAATGACATCAGTCTGCGAGATGTTACCATTAGATACCATGTGATAAATTATATAGGTGTTATTATGTATTATCGATCATTTAATATATTATTCTTCATCAGGCCGGGCTCTTTAAAAACAAATTGTTCAAACAATTATTGCTTTTAAAACTTAGACGTCTAATGAAATATTCAGTGAACATGCCAGACTTCAATAAAGCTTTTAAAGTCAGAAGTTGCTTATAGAATTTCAGTCACGATTTTCGAAAATAACACCAGTGTCTTCCGATCATTTGTAGCTTAAAAAAATAAGGTGTAAAATCTAGTACACACCCATGTATGATAATGATTAGTGGCCCTTTCAATAACGAAAAAAGGCCAAGCAAACACATATATACTTGCTTCATATTACAGTAATGTATCTCCATGCCTAAAAAAAGTATGCGAGTTATATAGAGGCACATTGCAATAAGACATTTGGGAAAAGTTTTCTTCAGTCGTACTCGGACGGAGTTTCTATTGACTTTCTGTGAAATTGCATCAGTTTGCTTTATTTTATGATTTAATTAACATATGTGTCTTAAATGAAAGGGAGTGAATAAAAGTAGGAGTTACAATTTCACACAGAACTGTCAAAAATCTGTTTAACTATATATAACTATATAACTAATAATATACACTGCTGGCAATTTATGAAGAAATCTCACTTTTCTCTTAGAAATGGTGCTTGCTGTACTATAAAATCGTTATATTGTTGACAGGTTATATGGTCGTATATAAACGGTTGTTGGCAATAATTATATTACCAAACAACCATTTATAAAGGGCCATATTACCTGTCAAAAATCTTTAAAACTTATAATGTCATCATGCAGTGTGTGGAACAAAACAGCGATACACATGTATATGAGTTTATTTTGATACAAAATGATACTGATACTTCGATCGATATATGATACCAAAGTGGTCATGTATTAAACCAAATGTCCTTCTATGAAACCGAAATTATTAACATATTACTTGATTATTAGATATGTGAAAACATGCATGGAACGGGAACAGCAATATATAAATTCATTCTGATAACTTAATGATATACTGACACTTCAATATATTGTATCAAAAAAGTCATAAATGCAATTACATATCCTAATATAAAATAGAATTTTCGACGTATTACTTCATCTTAACATTATAATGAAACCACTCTGTGTATGGAACAGAAAATGCGTACATAAATATACATGTATAAGTGCCTTTAGATAGATAGGAAGGTAGAAATTTTAAAGGTTGGCAGGCAGGCAGGTAGACATGTAGGTAGGTAGAGGTCAAGGGTCTTCAGTTTTGGTTGACCTGTTAATGTGCTCAACTCATCACGCCCTGTTATATATTTGGCCGATGTTACCGCCTCTAGAATAATTCCAAAGAATTTGGTATAGGATGTTTCCATATTGTTACGTAAACTTCATGTCCCGGTCCAACTCCCACTTTTCCTTTTTGAAGGGCATCCGATTGCTGACTGGTCCGATACTAAAGTTAGGCAGTATCATCAGCAAATAGACGAACTTTATTTTATTCTATTTTTGGTTGCAAGATTTCAAGATTTATTCAATAATGCCATGGTTCATAAGAACATGTGGCATAAAATACAAAATTGTGAACATGTAACAACCGGAACACACAAAAATACACATAAAAACAGGAGAATGAGTGACCCTTAAAATATTTAAGAATCTACCTTTCTCATTTGGCATTTTATGATTCACACATCTAAATTTTAACAAATTTAAGCTGAAGACGGTTGCCAAGGAAGCTTTTGTTAAAATAAACTTCGAATACAAACTCTGATTTATTAAGCATGTGCTTAAAGACTGGACATCACTGTTACAACTTTGGATGAACTTACTCGAAGTTTGGACTGAACAAGACTTTTGGAATTAAGCAGATTGACTTAACCAATAATTTGTTAACCAAGTTCGACCAAAGTATCCTTAATCTTTTCCCTGAGATGGACGTGTTTTGACGGCTTTTTACCCCCCCCCCCCTTGAGGCCTCAAACCGTTACAAAATGCCCTATTTAGGCCCCAAATATTGTTTTTCGTTTGAGAAATGTTGTTAAAATAAAGTGCTCACATTTTCGGCGCCGCCCCCATCAAAATGGTACAAAATTTACTACTACTTCACTGAATAAATAATTATTATAGACGTTGAAATATGATTTTTTTTTTCAAAACGGGTTATATTAAGGTTTTTTTATATTTATGATCAGTGCATAAAATTTCCAAAAGGTCATTATTATCTTTGATTTTTCAGGCATTTCATGATCTAGATACAAGAAACTTTATTTTAAGTCGGTTTACATATTACAAGAAACATTAGCTAATAAACTATTTACCGACAATAACAAAGACATAAAACATATTTACTAACATATAACAGTTCTGAAAATAAAAACATATAAAACTAGTAGCAGCATGAAATAAAAGTATCAAGGTTAAGAAGAACTTTACAATAAGATGGTAAATTAAGGCATAGTTTGATGACATGCACAGTACATATTGTATGAAAGGTAATAACAGTTTCTAAAAGTAATAAATGACTGTAGTATAGAAATTTAAGTATGATACATGTAGCAATGTGAAATAAATAAAAATAATAATAAAAATATAAAAAGATTAATAGAATAGTAATAGTTTTAAGTTAACATCTACAATTTATAAATACGTAATTGAAGGTTTCCTAAAAAATAAATAAATAAATAAATAGATAAATAAAACTTACTTATAAAAAGTGCATACAAACTTATGATAGAACTAATACAGCATAAAAAAAACAAGATAAAGCACATATAGGGTAATAAACAAAGTTAACTAAAATTAAGTTGCATGCACAGCCTAATGGAATGGGGAATAAGGAGTTTTAATATGAACAAAGCATACAAATCATACAACAAAGATTCAACTAGCATAAAAATATAGGGTTTAAGGAAAATTAACACACAGCATATAATCAAAGCATCATAGCAAACTAAAAAGGGTTGCACAAAAGCAAAGCAAACAAACAAACAAACATGTAGTCTAAGCATTTTACATAAATTAAAACTAAGCAAAATAACAAACACATAGCAAATTTACAAACACATAGCACATTTACAACTTGGGCCACTCCAGACCTGGATCAGTCTCCCAAACTCTTTGTAGTTTTCAACCTTGCGGATGTCATTAGGGAGACTGTTCCCACAGACACTTGGGGTTTGGAGCGCAAAACGCTTTTAAAATCCAAATAAAATGCATATTTGTCAATCCCAACTAGCACATGTACTGATCATATATATCAAAAAACTTAATATAAGCCGTTTTGAAAAAAAATCATATTTCAACATCTATAATAATACACTTGTGTGTATTATTATAGATTATAGATGTTAAAATATGATTTTTTTCAAAACGGCTTATATTAAGTTTTTTTGATATATATGATCAGTACATATGCTGGGATTGACAAATATGCATTTTATTTGGATTTTAAAAGCGTTTTGAGCTCCAAACCCCAAGTGTCTGTGACTGTTCCATATATCTGGGCACCTTCAAACCTAAAAGAATTCTTACCGTATGCTACTGTTTTGACCCTTGGAACATTTACACTTTTTTGATACCTAAAAGAATAATTGGAATTTTTAAATTGAATGAAATCATTTATATATGGTGGTGATTTTCCATACAGGCATTTAAACACTTCTTTGGCTATAGTTTTAATTCTTGACAAATAATCATATCATAGAGAAAAAAACATTCCTCAATAATTTAGTGGTTTTAGTAAAATGATTTGTCCGTAATGAAGTTTAATTTTCAATTTTGCCGTTTTGGACTTTCTTTAGCCCTTGATTCTTATTTATCCCTATTTGTCAGTATTTTTTTAAATATAAAATATAACAAATCACCCGCAAATCACCAGTAGGTCTAGTTAATATTTCTACTTTTTTATTTGCAAAGATATCGGAGTTACTCCAAGCACAGGAGGAAACAGGACGTTTCGGCCCCAAACCAAATCGGCCCCAGTCGAAAAATCGGCCCCTGGACGTTTCGGCCCTTTTCCGTGAGACGTTTCGGCCCCACTATAGTATATTGCTTGATTGATTAACAACAATTTATTTAATAACAATTAAACAATTATGACACTTTAATTCTTTAAATGATTATTTATTATCTTTTGATCTCTTGAACCATTTAGATGTACGTTAATGTTTTAAAAGGTGTAACAAACAATAAAGGCAGGTTACTTAATTTATAAAACAAACCACTAAAACTTCTGGATTAAGAAAGTTAATTACAATTATTACTTAGATAACATTATCTTTTGATCGTAATTAAACTATACGTAATTTTTTTCAAGGTGTAACTAATTAACTGTTTATAGCTTTATGCTAATTGATTAACCAGATTATACACCAATTCAAAAGAAAAATCAGTGTAATGATTCAGAAAAAAAAAACTGAAATAATTGTAACACGTGCTGTTATAGGAATCAATAATTTCTAAATAAAAAATATACAATGACAACGAAGAGTAAAGTATAAATCATATTTATTTATTAATTAGTTTAATCAAACGATGTTGACAGTGACAAAAGAATTATAGACATTATGGCTTATAATTTATTTTCATTGTAAAATTACATGACCGAATGTTTCGATTTTCACGTGCATGAAGTAACTCTCCTTACCTGATAATCGTTTCAAGTAAAATTGTTTAACTGTTCTGTACTTGTATTTTCGTATCCATCAAAATCGTCCCTGTTAAATAGTTGTTGATGATAATTAAATGTCTGTCTCATGTGTTGTTTTGTGTCTTGCTTCTTAATCTTTCAAATAAAATATTATCTATATATGTTGTAAATAATTGTTTGTTTGTGTTTTATATTTTTTCAAATAAAGTTTATGTTCTGTTCTGTTTGTATTAATAAAATATTATCTATATATGTTGTAAATAATTGTTTGTTTTTGTTTTATATTTTTTCAAATAAAGTTTATGTTCTGTTCTGTTTGTATTAATAAAATATTATCTATATATGTTGTAAATAATTGTTTGTTTGTGTATTATATTTTTTCAAATAAAGTTTATGTTCTGTTCTGTTTGTATTGATTACTTTTCCCCTACTACTATTATAATCTAGATTTATACAAAATGATAAAATATATATTTTAATTGATTCATTTATTAATCATTGAAATGCTATTAATATATCGGTTTAAAATACAGTACATATTATGGGGCCGATTTGGTAAAGGGCCGAAACGTCCGGGGCCGAAACGTCTTGGGTAGTTTGGGGCCGATACGTCTTGGGGCCGAAATGTCTCGAAATCGCACAGGAACTTGAAATTCAATCAAATAACCAATATTAATGATAATATCCAAATAAACCCCCTATATACCATAAATAAACACAATTCGGAATACTTTGCTTGACGTAAAGTATAATTTTGTAAACTTTAAACTGAAACTGCATGTCTACAGTACAAGTAACTCTTTTGCAGAGATAATAAAATTTGGGTTTGCTAAATTTGTTTAGGTTGATTTTTTTCAGACATGCATTTCAGTACAGGAGAAATAATGTTTGTATTTATTTTCGTCATGATTTTTTGCATGATATTTCGCGGTATTTTATGATATTTTGATTCTGTTACGTAAAATTTCAGTGTTCATGTACTTAACTGCGATAGTTTAAGTTTATGAAGGTCAAATAGTTTTACAAAGTTATTGTGTTTCGGATAGTATGGTTTTTCGGATATCAATGATTTCATTACATAATACTAGACTTTCAGCTCGCAAATAATACATTTTTAAAGCATGAATATTTGACTGAGTATGACAAAGAAAACCTGGACATCTATTTCCCTCGACCATAGACTGATAGTGATAGATATTAAGAATTTTAAGATAATTTTTACAATAATTTTTAGTCTTCATACAGTTCCTCATCTGACGTTTTCACCCTCTTCTTCTTCTTCTTCCAATACTGTACATAACACACTCTGGAGCATTGACGTACAGGGTGTATGTACAAAGTGTTGTGCGGCGAATAAGTGCAGATTTAAAAGAAGAACATGTTAAAAATAAAATCAACTCCGGCATAATAGGGCCCCATGACTAGTCCTCCCTTGAAGGCCTCAAGGTTGACTGCTGTGGCTAGGTGCTCTGGAAGCTGGTTCCTCAGGCGGATGGCCGAAGGTACAAAGGAGAACTTCATGGTGTCTGTTCTGCAGAATGGGACATGGAATCTGTGTCCATAGCCATCGCCACCAAGTGTCAGGGGGTGGAAGTACTGTGCAGCTGGGATGGCTATGAGGTTGTGCGTGATCCTGTAGACCATCACTAGCTTGGCATTGGAGCGGCGATGCTGTAGAGTTGGCCAGCCTAGGTCTGTCATCATTGCAGTGGTGCTGCTGGTAGTTTTGTAGTCGCCTTTTACAAATTTCGGGCAGCTCGCCTTTTGGACAGCTTCAAGCTGGTTGATGTTGTTGGCTGTGTGTGGGTCCCAGACTGTGCCTGCGTACTCCAGGATTGGTCTAACAAGGGTCTTGTAGGCCTGGGCCTTGATGTCTTGTGGGCAGCTTGTGATGTTTCTTCTGAGGAATGATAGAGAGTTGTTGGCCTTTTTGATGGTAGATTCTGTATGTATGTTCCATACCCTGGGTGTTCTGCTCCAATTTTGATATTTTGCGTTTGTGCTTTGAATTGTTAATTGGATACAGATCCAGTACAGTGTTGGGATAGTGTAAAAAGTAATTCTAGAAAAAAATATATATTGAAGGCATTTGAACAAATTGAAGCTGTTCATCCTGAAGGATGAGTGGCTCCGAGTCTGAAATTTTTTTTGATCTCTACCTCCTGTCAATATTTTATGACATACCAGAACATACATACTTTGTATCTTTGAACACTTTAATTTACTAGCTCTTTAAACAAATGAATGGAGTTGATTGATTTATCACTGGACCATAATGATAATTGTACTCTATCACTAGACCAAGTTCTGGCTTCCAAAACTTTATAAGCCGCTATTTAACATTTCTGTTTTTTATCTGATGCAGCATTAAAGTTTTGGATTAGACTTGTTACAAAACTTAACCAGAATAACATAAGTTGATTTAACCTTATTTTTCACTTGCAAATACACTTGACCCGATCAATTCTTGTGCATTTTATGTTAAAACAATGATTTTAACATTGTTCTATACCAATTAAAAAAGTATCAAAATATTAATACTTGTCATTAAAATTGCCAATTTAACTGTAAAACATCAATTATGCTGACTACAGTCGGCCATGACATTTAGGTGCCACGCGAGACCTTGTATGACGTCATTGCGAGACGGATTAGAATAGAGTTGTGTACTATATTTAGAACATCTTTGTTGACATGATTTCAATATTTTTATTTAAGATAATGTTTTTGTGTCCGTAGTGGCGACATACAGGGATTACTTCTCCGTCGTCTGTCTGTCCGTCACAAAACTTGTCCAGACTACTCCTCTTAAACTACTGGTGCAATTTCATCCAAACTTTACAGAAATGATCAGTACCAAGTATAGTTGTGCATATTGTCAGCATTTTCCGGTTCAATGATTTTTGTCAGAGTTATGGCCCTTTAATAATTTTTAATTTTAAAGTTTGCCCGGACTACTTCTCTTATACCACTAATTTAATGCAATTTCAATGAAACTTTACAGGATTGATCTGTAGCTCAAGTCCTTGCACATATTGCACGGGTTTTCCGGTTGAATGATTTTTGGCCGAGTTATGGCCCTTTGATAAAAAGGTGTTTTTTTCTGTGTGTTGCCAGATACGCAAAAGCTTGTCCGGACTACTCCTCATAAACTACTGGTGCAATTTTATCCAAACTTTACAGGAATGATCAGTACCAAGTCTAGTTGTGCACTGTCTGTCCGTCTGCCACAAAATTTGTCTCGACATGAAATTGGCCATCATTAGGCGACACATGTGATCACTGATTGCTCTTGTTATTTATTTTCATTATTTTTTAAAACTTTAAAAATAAATTTTTTTGAATACTTTTAATCAGCCAAAATTTACCCCTTTTTAAAATCTTTTAAAAAATGTAATTTATAAAATTTTTGGGAACACAGCTTCAAATGAAAGGGCAGTCTCGTAAAACACTTGGGCAAAAAATTTTGGGAAAAATGAGGCCAAAAGTTTCCCAAAAATTTTACCTTTCAAAAAATTTTTAAAACAATATTTAATGTTCGTAATAAAAATTTTTTTTTCCTCCTTGGCCCTTAAACAAGAATTAAAATATATTTTTATCAAGGGGAGCTTCACCCTTTAAATTCCCTGGCAGTTCATAATGAATACGAGTGTGCAGAAATTTCCGGGACGATTTTTGTGGGCTTTCCCCCTTGGGGTTTCTTAGGGATTTTTGTCATGTTTATAGATAAAACGGGCCCCGGGAAACCTTTTTTCTTTCAACTAGACCATAATGATAATTGTACTGTATCACCAGACCATAATGATAATTGTACTGTATCACTAGACCATAATGATAATTGTACTGTATCACCAGACTATAATGATAATTGTACTGTATCACCAGACCATAATGATAATTGTACTGTATCACTAGACCATAATGATAATTGTACTGTATCACCAGACCATAATGATAATTGTACTGTATCACCAGACCATAATGATAATTGTACTGTATCACCAGACCATAATGATAATTGTACTGTATCACTAGACCATAATGATAATTGTACTGTATCACCAGACTATAATGATAATTGTACTGTATCACCAGACCATAATGATAATTGTACTGTATCACTAGACCATAATGATAATTGTACTGTATCACTAGACCATAATGATAATTGTACTGTATCACTAGACTATAATGATCATTGTACTGTATCACCAGACCATAATGACAAATGCTAATCACTAATTGAAATTTTACTGTATCACCAGAAACCTAAGTGATCATTGTACTGTATCACCTAGACCATAATGATAATTGTACTGTATCACCAGACTATAATGATAATTGTACTGTATCACTAGGACCATAATGCTAATTGTAACTGTATCACCAGACTATAATGATTCATGTTACTGTATCACCAGAACCATAATGATAATTGTACTGTATCACCAGACCATAATGATAATTTGTACTGTATCACTAGACCATAATGCTAATTGTACTGTATCACCAGACCATAATGATTAAATTGCTTACTGTATCACCAGACCATAATGCTATTGCTACTTGTACTCACGTATCACTAAGACCATCATAATGCTAATTGTACTGTATCACTAGACCATAATGCTAATTGTACATGTTATCACTAGACCATTAATGATAATTGTACTGTATCACCAGACCATAATGATAATTGTTACTGTATATCACCAGACCATAATGATAATTGTACTGTATCACTAGACCCTAATGAATTTAATTGTTACTGTATCACTTTAGCACCATAATGGATAATTGGTTACTGTATCACTAAGACCATAATGATAACTGTATCACTAGACCCAATTGTACTGTATCATAGACCATAATGATAATTGTACTGTATCACTAGACCATAATGATAATTGTACTGCTATCACTAGACCTTAATGATCATTTGTACTGTATCACCATACTTATAATGATAATTGTACTGTATCACGTAGACCATAATGATAATTGTACTGTATTTCACTAGATAGCCATAATTTGATAATGAATAATTGTACTGTATCACTAGACCATAATGATAAATTGTTTACTGTATCACTAGACCATAATGATAAATTGTACTGTATCACTAGACTATAATGATAATTGTATACTGTATCACCAGACCATAATGATAATTGTACTGTATCACCAGACCATAATGATAATTGTACTGTATCACTTAGACCATAATGATTAATTGTACTGTATCACTACGACCATATAATGATAATTGTACGTGTATTCACCAGACTATAATGATAATTGTACTGTATCACAAAGCCATAATGATAATTGTACTGTATCACTAGACCATAATGATAATTGTACTGTATCACTAGACCAATAATGATAATTGTTACTTTATCACCAGACCATATAATTGATAATTGTTACTGTTATCCACCAAGACTATTAATGATAATATTGTACTGTATCACTAGACGCCATTAATGATAATTGTACTGTATCACCAGACCATAATGATAATTGTACTATAAACTAATCATCATCCTACAACCTAAATTTCTAACAATGAAGATGTTGAACATTTGTTTTTTACCCAAAAATTTTTTGTTTCCCCAAAGAAAATTGGGTTTGGATAATGGTTTTTCAGGGGACTGGAGGTTATCTTAAATCTTTCTTTAATTTTTGAAGAATTAAACCCAAAAATTTTTAATAACCCTTTTTCAACAAATTGGAGGGATTTTTGGGCTAATTTATTTTGACAGAATTAAATTTTCCCTTTCCCCCCTAAACCCCCCCTCTTCCCCCCCCCCCCCCCCCCCTTTAAAAAGCATGTTTTTTTAATTACCTTTTTTTTTATGATTTCAACCCCAAAATGAAACCCAAAGCCTTTTCCCCATAAAATTTTCAGACCTTTTTTAAACAAAGTTTGGAAAAGCCCTTTTGGTTTGCTTTTATTAAAATTAAATATGAAATTAATAAAGGAGTTATTTTCTGTCTGCAAATACTGCTACATGTACATTTTTTAAGGTAAATTTTTTGTGAAAGTGTACAGTACTGGTTATTTTGTGATTTCAGATGTAAACATGTGTGAATAGAGCTGTCTGGTCAACCTGTGATAATGTACACTTTAAGAGGTTTTGTACACTCCTGTTGGAGCAGTGGGGCTTTTTCTGTGAAGCTACTGTCAACCAATCAAATAGCAAAGGTATAGTAGATACTGTTTGATAGATTAAATTCAGAATTATTGTTGTTGTTTTTTTTTTCACTTGGCTGCTTTATAATAATTGTAATATGTAATATATGTAATTATAATGTTGTAATATGTCTATCAGAATCACTGCAACAAGTCAAGTATTGAATATAAATATAAAATAAACTATAATATCATCCAAGTTCAATAAATATTGTACACAAATCCAAATGGTCCCAAAAAATGGCTTTTTGCTTTTGAACAGTTTTTAAATTTTTCAACATATTTTCATTTTATGACTTTTATTGGGGTAAAAAATTTTTTAATTAAAAATTTTTTAAAACCCCCCCGAAAGTTTAAAAAACTTAAAAGGGAAATTAAAAAAAAATTTTTTAGCCAATTAAATATCTTTCTAACTTTATTTAAAATTTTTACATTAAAGAGGGGTTTTCCAGTTTTACTATTACACATGTAGATTTTTATTTAGGACTTGACTTCTTTGACCTTTGGGAAAAAAAATCCTTTACTACCTGGGAAAAAAGAAAAAATTTACCTTTTTACCAAATTTAAAGGGCCTTAAACCCTTTAAGATGAAATTTCCTTTTATTCCGAATTAATTTTAATTTTCAATTACTTTTAGGTTTTTTGGGAAAATTTTTGGGTTTGATTAATTTAGACTTGCTCTGTTATCAGTTAAATTACAATAACTTTAAGAGAGTAATTGATAGATAATTGATTACATTCAATTTATAAATATAAAACAAAATTTAAACTGTATCATGTGAAATAAAGGCATCCTTTGAATTTAAATAGTTTCCTGTTAAATCTATAGTAATCAATGTCAGTCAAATTGTAATCATAATTTATACTGACTGAATTAAAGCTGTAATTGATTAATTATCCCCCGCCGAATATTTTCGGCGGAGGATATAGAAATAGTCTCCGTCCGACCTTCCGTCTGTCCGTCCGTCCGACATTTTTGTCCGGAGCATATCTCTAAAAGTATTTGAGTTATCAACTTGAAACTTCATAGGTGGATAGACCTCATTGAGGAGGAGTGCAGTGCACAAGAATGATAACTCTACCTTGCATGATTTTTGAGTTATTGCCCTTTGTTATTTTTCAAAATTGATTTTTGTCCAGAGCATAACTCAAAAAGCCTATGAGATATTAACATGAAACTTCATAGGTCACAGGTGCATAGATCTCACTCAGGAGGTGTGCAGTGCACAAGAATGATAACTCTACCTTTCATAATTTTTGAGTTATTGCCCTTTGTTATTTTTTATACCTAATTTTTCACCTGAGTGGAACATAACTCAAAAAGTGTTTGAGATATCAACATGAAATGTCATAGGTGGATAGATCTTATTGAGGAGGAATGTTGTGCGCAAGAATGATAACTCTTTCCTATACAATTTTTGAGTTATTGCCCTTTGTTTTTTTTCATGCTATTTTGTCCAGAGCTTATCTCAAAAAGTATTTGAGGTATCAACTTGAAACTTCAAAGGTGGATGGATCTCATTGAGGAGGAGTGCAGTGCTTAAGAATGATAACTCTACCCTGCATTATTTTTGAGTTATTGCCCTTTGTTATTTTTCAAAATTAATTTTTGTCCAGAGCATAAATCAAAAAGCCTTTGAGATATCAAAATGAAACTTCATAGGTGCATAGATCTCACTCAGGAGGTGTGCACTGCACAAGAATGATAACTGTACCTTTTATAATTTTTGAGTTATTGCCCTTTGTTATTTTTCATACTTAATTTTTCAATTCAATTTTTCAAAAAGTATTTGAGGTATCAACTTGAAACTTCATAGGTGGATAGATTTTACTGAGGAGGAATGCAGCACACAAGAATGATAACCTACTCTGCATTATTTTTCAGTTATTGCCCTTTGTTATTTTCAGCCATCAGTATTCACATAGGTTTCAAATCTGTAATCACTATAGCCATCAGTTTTCATTACCAAAAGACCTCTTAAAATGGAGTTATTCTGCTCTACTACATATACATTCTTCCAATTAGCAAACACATTCGGCGGGGGATGGCCATGTTGACATGGCTCTTGTTACAATTAACTTACTGTGTAATAATGCAATCTATTAAAAACTTGATCATTGTGATTAATGATTACTCCAGGTCTGTATCCTGGCGGGATCCAGAAAATTGGCCTATAATGTTATGCACCTGGTTGTCTGTCTGTGCTTCTGTTAGCAGTTTATGTGTCTGGTCTGTATCTTTTGAACCGGTGGAAGAAAATTGAAACTACTTGGCAGAAAATGTTAACCATAATGTGAAAATGTGTAAAACACAGACTTGGACTTATGAGAAAAAAATTTATTGGCCCTGTCCTGGGGATTACTTCAATTAGCATAGACTTACATGTATAGGAAAACACATTTAAATTCCATTGTGTGAAACTGCAATATCTTGAGCTTAGATATTTAGCATGTAGCATCATTGCCTTATAATATTGAGCTTTACAGAACTGATATGTCAATCATACCCCTTGGTTCGATATTGGCCCTGTTCTAGGGTCTCTTGATTTAAATTAACTTATATATGTATAGGAAAAACACATCTGAGACTTATTGTGTGAAACTATTATGTGCAGAGCTTAGATATTTGGCGGCATGTAACATTGCTGTGTGGACTACAAAATAACTGGTATTAATCATGACCCTTGGGTCATTATTGGCCAAGCCCCTAGTCTTGTATGCAAAAACACATTTCAGTCTTATTTAGTGAAACTAAGATATTTAGTATGTAGTTTAACTTTGTGAACCGCTGCAAGACTGATATTAATCATCTCCCTGAGGTCAATATTGGCCCAAAGTGGTCACTTGATTTCTAGGGGGTGTCCGTGGCCAAGTGGTTTATAATAAGATTGTTGACTTTAAATCACTTGCCCCTCACCGCTGTGGGTTCGAATCCTGACAGGGACTTTGGATTTTTTCATGTGAGGAAGCTAATTAGCTAGCTAACAGAAAGTCGGTGGTTCTACTCAGGTGCCCGTTCATGCCTGAAATAATGCACGGAAGGGCACCTGAGGTCTTCCTCCACTAGTAAAGCTGGAACGTTGCGATATGACCTATACTGTGTCGATGTGAAGTAAAACCCAAAACAAACTTGATTTGTACTAAAGTTATATGAATCATGACCCTCAGGTCAAAATTGGCCCTTTCACAGGAGTCACTGGCCTTATGTAGACTAAGGTATAGGAAAACACATCATTTTGTGAATAATACTATGCATCTATATTATGCATCAATATTTGGCATTTAGCATTGCTTAGTAGACCTTGATAAAAACATTTGAATTATACATTTAGATGAAAAATGCCTCTGCCATGGAGGTCATATGTTATTATAAGTATGATTAAGGTAAAACTTTTTTCAGACAAGTTTCTTGATTGGGTCTCTACTCTTATTGATAGATTATTTTTGATAACTTGAACAAATAACATTTGGGTTTATATTGCACTGCCTTTGCGTTTCTCTTCATATGCAACACTATTGAGCACAGATATTGTTTGTTTTGTATTATTTTCAGATACATTATAAAGTGATATCCCGATGCCTCACAACTGGACATATACCTGTGGAAAAAATACTTTCCAAGCATCAGCAACAGAAACCTGTGATCCAACATAAGAGAACATTAATGAAGCATTCATTATCATCTTTCATACCAAAATATGATGAGGACAAAGTACCAAGAGACTTTGAACTGATATATGAGGCGACTCTAGCAAATACCCATGTTATAGCGTTTTTTTGTCTTGGCGCATTTATCTTGCTGTATGGAAGTTTTATGGCATATTTATGTTTGCTGTTTACAGATAACTGGACATTTGAGGAGCAGACAGTCATTACTGGTACTAACATGACTGTTTCAACACTCGGGTTAAAGTTTTCTGGATCAGTGCTTTGTTTTCTGATTTTTTGGTTATTTTATGGGATACGATATGCACGGCTGCCTGTACAGAGAATTTATCAAAGTCCCAATCATATAGACTTTATAGGAATTTTAAAGTCTGGCGTTTTTAAAACAGAGAGGGTGGAGTTTAATCTTAGTGAAGTTATAGGTTTATCACCTGGTGCAAAACGAGGTAAAACTTCAAGTAATGCAATTGTAAAAGGAAGAGAATGTCTTATTTATGCTAGTGACTTTAAAATACCAGAACAGTTCAATCATATTCTAGGCTTTAAACAGTGATAAATGGCTGGTTGGTGAGTCATTGTATATATAGAGAAAGAGATCAATAAAATTGTTACATTTTAATTCAAAGAGAATGTTATGCTGAATGTAGGTGATAGAAACATTTTTCGATGACAGAAACATTTTCTGTGCTCATTTGATTTTTCATTTATACATATTATTATATTAAACATTTTCAGACATTTTTATGTGTTTGATTTTAGTGTCCGTATAGAATTAAATATTATTTTTTTAGCCAAGCTATTGGTAAACTAATTCTTATGTCAAGGCAACACTTTGATAATGTTTTACTTTTCATCTAAATCATCTATGGTATTTATTTTAATCTTCAAAACTATCCATGATACATATTTGAAGACCCGTACTTTACAATGATTTTTATACCTATGAAGACAACTGTCTTTGAACATACTATGGTTTGGCATTGTCTGTTGGTCTGTCTGTTTGTACACATTCTCAAGTTAATGCGGCCACCCTTTTGTCGGCATTTGCGTCCATATAGTTAAGGTTTAATGCGTAGCCTGGTATCTCCATAATTACTGAAGAAAATGGATTGAAACTTCACACACTTGTTCTTTCTGATTTTAACTCTGATTTCCTTTTTTGCATATTTTTGCCCCTTTTTCCATTTACGAAAATTCTTGGTTATGTTTTTGCATGTAAGCTGGTATCTCTATAATTACTGAAGGGAATGGATTGAAACTTTACACGCTTCTTTTTCTGTGAATATGTAACATGATTGGCACAGTCCAATAATTTGCTTTTTTGCATATTTATGCCCCGTCTTTGACTTGGAAATTCTTGTAGTTTTTGCATGTAAGATGATATCTCTTTTACTATGGAAGGGAATGGATTGAAACTTCATACGCTTTTCTCTGTGATTAAATAATATGATTGGTCCAAGTACCATTACTCTGATTTGCTTTTTTGCATAATTGAGCTTAGAAATTCTTAGTTAAGTTTTTGTGTGTAAGCTTGTATCTTCATTACAACTTGAAGGTTTGTGCCTTTTTTGTGACAATTTTATATTCATAAAATGATAATATTGAAAGCATTGATTTACTCAATAAAACATGTCAATAACAAGCCCTAGTACCTTTTTCGAACAATTTTATTATAGTATTATAACAATACAATTCTCATTGAAACACCTTTCTGACAACTCTTTCAAATTGTCAAGCGTTGCTGTCCTCTGACAATAAAACTAGGTCCCTTTCTAAGCAGATTTACTGTCAAGTAGGATTCCAGTGATAATTTGTAGTTTGTATGTTAAACTCGAGTTAAGTTCAATTCTTGCAGCAATTAAATGATGAAGTTGTGCCCCTTTATTTGCAATTTTTTTTGTCTGGTGTTTGGTGCATTGATTGGTCACTACCTCTAACCTCCTTTTTTACCCCCTACCTTTCCTAAATGATCTAAACTGCAGTTGTTTTTTGTGCTCCTACTATGGGGGGATGTAGAGTTACCCTTTTCCTTTCGTCCATTCTCATTTTTGTGTCGCAAGAAGCTCAAAAAGTATTTTACCTAGAGTCATGAAACTTTACAGGAATGTTGAACAGCATGTCTAGTTGTGCATCTGGGTATTTTCTTGTGGATTTATTCAGTATTTGTAGTGTTATTGCCCTTGACTTAGTGAAATTTGCATTTTTCAACTTGTGTCCCCTATAGCTCAAAAAGTATTTGACCTAGGGTCATGCAACTTTACTGGAATGTTGATCAGCATGTGTAGTTGTGCACCTGGGTATTTTCCTGTGGATTTATTAGCTCAGCTGAGCTAGTTAAGGGTGAGCTTTTAGGATCATTGAATATCTGTCGTCTGTTGTCAGTCCACATTTGTTCTTTAACACTCTAGCAGTCACATTTTTGCCTCAATCATCATCAAACTTTGTCGGGATGCTTCTCTAGGTAATTTCTCGGATTAATTCGAACATGGGTCATCTCGGATGAAAAACTTGGTCACAGGAGCTTAAAATAGAAAAATCTTGTTAACACAGTGGCTACTGTTTTGATTCAAGTTTGTTTTTATGACTTCTAGGTCAAGTTCGAAAATGGGTCACCTGGGGTCAAAAACTAGGTCACACTGCCCAAATACAGAAAAACCTTGTTAACACTCTAGTTGTCACATTTTTTACTCAATCATCAACAAACTTGGTCAGGATGCTTGTCTAGATAATTGCTGGGATGAGTTCAAGCATGGGTCATTCCAGATGTAAAACTAGGTCTTAGGAGTTAAAAATGGAAAAATCTCTTGTGATCATTGCAGGTGAAAAAAAAAACTTCAGTGCAAGGCCAAAATACAGAACAGGCTTAAGTTTAGTGCTCATTTATTGTCCCCTACCGGTTTAACATCTGTCTGTCAGTTCTGTCAGTCCACAAAACTGGATCCCGCGATAACGCAAAAAGTACTGAAAATATTTTTATGAAACTTGATATATGGATAGATGGCTGTATGGAGATTATGCACTTTTTTTCTTTTCTTCCTATGTTGAAAATTCTGGTTGCTATGGCAACAAATAGTCTGAAAATATGGCAAATTTAACACATAAACTGGATCCAGTGATAACTCAAAAAGTACTGAAAATATTTTAATGAAACTTAAAATATGGATAGATGGCAGTCTGCAAATTATGCACATTTTTTTTCTTCCTATGTTAAAAATTCTGGTTGCAATGGCAACAAATAGCCTGAATTTCAAGGTTTCTGATTTAAATTTTTCAGCTTTTTCACTATAAGTTCTTTATTTCTTAAGGTGTTTACTTCAAACTTTAAATATAGATAGATAGATTTATTTTGGCAAAGGAAGCATAAACATAGTTGACAATATAACATAGGATAAAATAATGAGCATTATTAAATACTATATCACATACGAGTAAAACTATGACATGCTCACCAAAACCAAGGATAACACAAAAAAGGGCAAAAAAGCTCTTATTTCCATTGTGGTCCTTTGTACTGGCGGCATGACATAGAGAGGCAAACCTTAATATAATCATGTTTAAAAATACTTATAAATCATAAAAATGTATATCACAGTCAAATCTTGAGTTAATGATACTCCTGTTTACAGCTAGGATTTAAAACACATTACTAAAATTGTAATAAGATAAATGGCAGACAATTTAAAATCCTGAGCCGAAATATGTAAAAACATGTTTTAAAAAAAAAATTTAAATACTGTTCATAAGATGACTTTTGATGGCAACCTTAACTTTAACTTTGTAACCTGTTGATCTCCGTTAACTTTACAGGTAAATCATTCCATAATTTAATACCAGAGAAAGCAAATGATTTAGAACCCTGGCCTTTGACCTTAGGTAGACAATATCCACCCTTTTGACTAAGTCTTGTACTATAATTATGAATGGAATCTTGTGAAATAAAGTGTTCAGACATGTAATCCGGAGATAGGCCATTTTTTATCTTAAAAACATGACACAACATTATCTGTTCAACTCTTTTGTGGACCGGTAACCAGTTAAGGGACTTAAAGTGTAATGGGTCAATGTGGGCTCTAGAGTCCAAGTCAAGTACAAATCTCATTATTTTGTTTTGACAAGTTTGTAACTTATTTTTTAAAGACTGTGTCAAGCTAATATACCAAACAGAGCATGCGTAATCATAGTGACACTGAATAAGGGACATAACCAGAAGTTTCTTGGTATGCTGAGTAAGAAACTCTTTCTTGCGGTAAAGAAATTTTAACCAAGAGTTGGCCTTCTTAAGAACAGACTCGGCCATGGCGCAAAATGACAGATTTTGGTCTATAGTAATCCCAAGATACTTGATAGATGAAGTTGATTCAATGGATGTACCATCACAGGTTATATGCAGGTTAGATTGTGACCTAAGTTTTTGCCTGGACCCAAATAAAATTGACTCGGTTTTACCCAAATGCAATGACAACTTATTGTCCACTAACCATTGGCTGACCAATTCCATATCATCTGTCAATGCCTTTTCAACAACAGATAAACTTTTACCAGATACAAGGATACCAGAATCATCAGCATACAAAAGCAATTTATTTTTGACCACAGCTGACATATCATTTACATAAATTAAAAAGAGAAGGGGTCCAAGGATTGAGCCCTGAGGAACACCACATGTAATTTTGGAATTGGAAGAATAAGTACCAGAGACATCTACAAGCTGCTGTCTATCTGATAAATATGATTTGAACCAATTTAGGACGTCAATACTAAGACCTGATGCTTGCAGTTTCATTAAAAGAATGGAATGGTCGACTGTGTCAAACGCTTTCTGCAAATCCAGCAGCACCATACCAACAACATTACCTTTATCATTTTCATACCTGATAAAGTCTGTAAGGTGAATCAGACAAGTATCGGTAGAGAAGCCACTCCTGAAACCTGATTGAAATTTATACAGCAGATCTTTATCCTTAAAATAAGCTTCAACCTGGTCATAAACCACCTTTTCAAGGATTTTAGATACAACATTTAAAATGGACACAGGCCGGTAATTACCAACAGACAATTTGTCGTTTTTTTTATAGAGGGGAACAACTCTTGCAGATTTAAGATCATCAGGGACTTGACCTTGGATAAGGGATAAGTTTATGATATGAGCTAATGGACTAGCAATAACTGGGGATCTATCTCTGATAAGTTTCTTGCCATTACCCACATCATATGTGAGAAGGTTTACAACTCTAGCACAAAAATTATCAGTATTACCTCCCTTGAACTTTGAATTTTTATGAAAAAAAAACGTCTTTTTTAAATAACTTCTTTATTTTCTAATGTATCTACTTCAAACTTCATATATATGTTTCTTATTATCACTCAACATTTTTGAGAAGGTCAAATACTCTAGCAAGACTATTTCCAGAATTATGTCCCCCTTGAACTTAGATTGTTTTCGATAAATTGGTATTTTTTACTCCAACTTCTTCATTTCTTATAGGATTTACTCTAAAATCCCACATCGTAATAATATGACAAGGTTGTATAAACATAATTTCCTTACTAGGCAGGGAAACTTAACACATTACTGTGAAATAGACAAACTTAGAACTCAAAAGATTTAAGTTCATTTGTGTTATTTATTCACTGGTAAAATTGAAATCAGAATGTTGCTAGGGTTCTAACCGGTAGGGGACTTATGGATTGCTTGCTATACTATGATAATTGCTTGTTCCATTTTGTAATTTCCAGGTAATTTTCTAAATGCTTCCTCCATTTTATCCACGGCCAAAGCTTTTTGTCTACCCCTCAAACTATTTAATTTACTAGCCAATACAACAGTTTAACAATTGTAATGATAGCACGTATTCCACAAATTTGTTAAGAGATCCATTTGGAAGGACATGTGATGATTCATATTACATATAATTACGGGTTGAATGCAAGTGTTGCTTTGAAAACTGTATGTCATGTGTTGATTGGTGTTGTTCAATTAAATCCTGCAGTCGGTTTTGGCTTTAAGGTATTAGGGGGCAGGGGACATATTCGAATGATGGCCCCGGTCAAATTTTTTAATAACTCAGACATGGTGTTTTGAAGGTACTGATAACTTCTGATATTTCTCTGTCATTGTAATTCTTTCTTGTTTGTGTGTAGGAAATGAGATATATTTTTGGGTTTTTACCCGAAACTAAGCGTTTTGGTAGCTTTGTATGTATTTCTGACTCTCCGAATGGAGGTGAAAAAGTTAAAAATCAAGCTTTGACAGTTGGCGCCAAACAAGTAAGAAATTTCAGATAAATTTTGTGAAAAATCTAAACGTATGACAGACACTTTATTTGTCATTTCTGAAAATGCCATAGCTTTGCACTGCGTGTTACTGATATTTTTAAAGGAATCGGGCGGATTCTGGAGTATGCTGCACCTTCATGAAGATTGCCTATATTGGTACATTTTAGGTGTGATTTTGGCTGGGTGGGGGTAAATATAAATTGCTGTCAGTCATTTTTTGAAGGAGCAATGCATGCAAACTATTATTTTCTTCAATGTATGTCATATATCATTGAATAATGCTGTGCAACTGGTTATCTGCCTGTGAAACAGATTTTGAAATATTTGGAATTGTGTTTCTGGTCACACTGAAATACAAAATTTTTCATTTTTAGGTCCCCTGCCCCCTTAGCACCCTAATGCATTACCTCCGCGTTGAAGAGTATTCAAATAGGCTAGAACTACTGTTAACTACATTGAAAATGAGGGCCATGGGTTCAATCCCCAGAAGGATTAACTTTTTTTCTCTTTCTTTTTTTCTTTTAACATTATTTATGTATCTCTCATGTCCTTTTTGGAAAAAAAAAATGTTTAATTTTGATTTTTTAATTTATATAGGTATTTATTGGCTAAATTATGCTTAATCTAGTAATAAATATGATACCTGACATTTTCAAAGTGTAATATAATCAAAACTAGACGGTAAAAGTATTTCATATTTTACAAGATCAACCAATATACTTTTTTAAAAATTTAGGGAAACTTTGAAAACAGGCACTCATTTGGGTAAATTTTAAGATTTTTTTTAATTAGGCTCCCTAAGTAGAAAAATGGTCAGACACGTGGTAAAAATGGGTGGGGTAGGGTAACATTTTTATACAGATTTCAAAAATTGTATGTAGAAACCATAATTTTGCTTATGTGGATTGTTAGCTGAATGGTACTATTTGTTTCTTACCAAAAATTAATTGGAAAACATTTTTCATTAGAAAGTTATTGCAGATTATTTAAAGGTTCCTCATTTCTAAAAAAGGGCCCTCATAACATCCTAGCTTGAGTTCAGAAAAGTGGCCATAACTTGATTTCCGTACGGTAAACTTTGTTTAAATTTTGCATACAGGTGTACTTTAAGATATGCATCTGACCTATGATGTCAATTTTTCAGTTCCTTATAGTGCCCATTAGGGTCCTAATACCTTAAAGTCTTCTTGTGCGAAATTACTAGTACATGGCCCCAGAGCTTTAATGATATCTTGCATGTAGTATTAACGGACACCTAGGCCACAAATGTTTAAAAAACTATGCAGCTTATGTCAAAATTGACAACCTAATGTGACTTTCATTGAAGAATTGTCATTTTTAGTAAGGTATCTCAGATGACACCTTGGGCCATCATTGCCCTCTGGTTTAAGCTAATCTGAGCACAGTGCTTAGAGTAAACCTTTTGTGATGACAATGTGTCCGTCAGCAGGTGTTATTCTCTCTGTAAACAGCATTTCCTATTAAACCGTATGGTAGATTTTTACTCCACTGAAATGGTCTGTAAGAGGTCCTTTACAAAAGTTAATGATCCAGTTTAATGCATAAGTAGGTCACAAGAGCGGGTCTAAAGTAAACTTTTGAAATTAAATCTTCCTGGAACTAGAATTCCCATAACTTTCGAGTTTTGTCCTCTACGACCGTTATATAAATCCCCGTGGCGGGGCAAACTTATTTCATGTAGACTTATATAGGAAACAATACCAGTAATGGTGAAATTTGACATTGATGGTCAGCTGCAGAATAGTCTTTTTGTGTCTATAGTTATAAAAGAAGTTACAGAAACTGATGTTTTTGTTCACTGTTTTTGTCTTACCATTTGAATTTATATTCAAGTTTCTTCTATAAATACAGGATTTATTTTGTCGAGTGCAACCATGGTACGAAAATAAATATTTCACGAAAGGCCATAACCACAAGTGTAATAATTGCTCTATGATCATTTCCATAACACAAGATGAAAATAAATTTTGTTTGAATAGAAAAAAAATGAATTTCCTGTTAATTATACAAGTATAATTTTTCTCTTTTTTTTTAACCTTATGAATAGGAAGAATTCCGTACTGACTGAAATTAGTCCGGCAAGCCACCAGTGAAAATTCGGAAAATATGTTCACAGTGCACAGTGAAATTTTATTTTTAAAGTTAAAATACGGAAAATAAAATACGCATTTTATTTCATCAAAATTTCAATTTTAAGTAGATCTATACAATAAACACTTTTGTTCATTCCGACGGAGTAATATTATATATATACACGCACCTTGTAGGCGATTCGTTATTTAAGTGCACTTTATTATCAAGTCTGATGTATCAGACTAGTGTTTCCTCTAGTTAAACCATGTTGGCATGGGTATGCAATAAATGACGCCAATTTAACGCATAAATTATGAATGAACCGCTTTAAAATGACGTCATATCGACACATTTTAGAATGAAAATATGTGCCTTGAATGACGTCATTTCGCCGTTACGTTTAAATGATACCGACATTGTAAGAAAATAGTTATAGATGAAATGAAATGCATTTCCATGAAAAATATCTCATTGAGGTAAGCTATGTAAACTGTAGAATATGACAGAATATGCAAGAAAATATATCTGAAATAATTTTTATGTTTGCGGGTACTCAATGGCGCGGGATGTCACGGACCATCCCTATTCCGATCCAAACCGTAAATTATGACAGAGATTCTATTTAATTTGTTTCGGAGGCAAGTTGAATTGCTGAAATCGATCGCTTTCAATGTTAAACGTGTTCTACTTCATTTAGAAACTAATTCATTTATAAATAAGAATAAAGAGTAAAAGATATTTTCAATGTGTTTGTCTAACGAAAATATCTGAAACCCCTACCCGTATAATTTGCGTGACTCTTTTAAATCTTGAAAAAAGGGGGGGGGGGGGGGGGGGGGGGGGGGGGGGGGGGGGTTCCAACGAATAAAGTTGCGATACCATGTTAAGCGAAGTGAATTCGACGGGTTTTTGTGCGAAAAGATGATTGCACGCCACAAAAGGTTCGATAAATCGACTGCGCTAATAGCTACTTATACCATAAGTAATCTTTTTTTCGGGATGGGGGGGGGGGGGGTTTGGGGTTACTGATTACTGACGGCATTTACCTTGCTAAAAGTATGACATGTGTGTCTAACAGATCCTTCGTTTGACATGTCACACACATTCCACAATCTTCAGTATGAAGCTGTGCCTAGAGCTTATCTTTTTGCTCACACACGCACACCACAACTATTTTACTGAAAAGAAAACACATGCCGATTTAGATAGTCTTCTAAATTTCACTGTCTCAGAACATGGAATTAGAACTGTCCTTCCTAATATATCCATTTCCATTTTCGAATGCTATGACCATACACATAAAAATTTAAGTATGATATAGTTAACTAATTAAAAGAAACTGCTTTTCATCATAACGGTATCCACGGATTTACTTACAATATCTCAATAACTTTCTCCTTACAATGAAACAGATTCTTTTATTTTGACCATCATTTACAAATATATCTTCCGCTCAGCATGCACTATATTATTCGAACAAAAATTACAACATACAACAAAGATTTGAAGCAAACTGGTTCTTACCCACATTATTCGTCACCTTCCTCCTCCGTTATTCCGTATCGCACGATTTCACTTCGCTTAAAAAGTATCGAACCGCTATACGTCCCCTGTAAATGTTATATTATAGGCGAGTCAATGAAAAATGGTTACTTTTCCTCGGAAACATCATAGGGCATCCATTTAGTGGGATAATGAGAGGTAAGACTACTGATTATTTTTCGATATAATTAGATGTTTTAACACAAATTAATTAATTTTATTCACAAAGGCTAGACCATATTGTTTTTCATCTTAGTCACTTTTCTTAAAATCCTTTTTCTAGGTGTATTTTGGTCAAAACGACAAATGCTTTATAAAAGACGAAACAATAACTTTTCGCGTAGACAAAAGACTTAAAGCATATCGAGAAACGGTTCGGCGAAATAAACGTTTGTTTTAAATTTTCGTGAATAAAATAAATTTATGATATACTTATAAATGAAATTTTGAGAAATATTGATATATTAAATGCGTATTTTCATTTTCCTAATTTTCACTGTTAAAACTTATTTTTCACTGCAGTGAAACATATTTTCACTGGTGTCAAAATGTCGAACTTAATCGAATTGAAATCAGTCGACTTACATATCATGATCTCATTTACTTTTTCACTTTAAACGGTCTATATTTTTGGTATGTGATAAATAGAGTATTAAATTAGTGTAAGTTTAATTAGTTAAATTTATTAAACTCGTTGAGTAAAATAATATATAATTTTATTCAACTCGTTCAATAAATTCAGTATTCAACTTACACTCATTCAGTAACCCTCTATATATTTCACCAAGCCCTCACGAGTTGCGCAGCCACGAGTGAAATATGAACTTTTGGTGTTCATGAGGTGAAATATATCTTAATCTAACACTCAACCAAACAAATTTTCTTTTTATTATATTATTCATGTCTCGAGGATCATAATTGGAGGTGACTTTCCAAGGTTCATAACTCTGACATGGATTTTGTGAATTTAGTATATTTTTTGTTTAAGGTTTGCTTACAAAATGAATCTTTTATAAAAACTGATTTTTACTTTTTGAATTACTTTCGCAAGAATCATAACCCAGGCCTCGATTTTGAATGAAATACGGGCATTTTTTCAATATTTAAAACTCATTATTATGTAATGTATACATTATTTGTTTTGTTGTTGTTTTTTTACTGAATGAAATCTTTCTCTTTTATTTATTCTAAACATTATTCTGGCTCTAATTTTACTATTAAGCACTGAGTATAGTCGAGCACGCTATCCTTTTCTTTCTTAAAACAAAATCTTTATATTGGTAAATAAACCTTAAATGAGCCGCGTCACGACAAAACCAACGTAATGGGTTTGCGACCAGCATGGCTCCAGACCAGCCTGCGCATCCGCACAGTCTGATCAGGATCCATGCTGTTCGCTTACAAAACCTATTACAAGTAGAGAAACTGATAGCGAACAGCATGGATCCTGATCAGACTGCGCGGATGCGCAGGCTGGTCTGGAACCATGCTGGTCGCAAACCCATTATGTTGGTTTTGTCATGACGCGGCTTAAATGTGTTTGTAGAATGAACGCTCTGTTTAAATCACAAAAGTATACACTCGTTTACAAATAATACTGAAATTTGAACTCTTGTCCGTTTTGTAATTATTTAGATCTACAAGCGCTAATACATTCATCTTGTTAAAGTTAATTATTATTGATTAAAACAGATTTGACTTATTTTACATACCGTACCTTGTAAAAAGCGAAACCAAATTTTCTTTTAACAATGTGCCGCGTTGAATATTTATTGACGCATATACACATTTACTGATATATAATTGTTTTTTTTAAGATGATAAGATCTTGAAAGTGGCTCGCCAGTGCAATAATTGGAACGGTTAAAAAACGCCAATTTTATTTACTTAATCTATTAGTAAGCTTAAATGTAAGGTTTCACAAATGACCAACTCATAAGTAAAAAGAAAAAAAGACGCGAATGTAACGAAATTTTAATTTGCTTCACAAAGATCTTTGCAGCAAACATGGATAGACACGAAGAAACACCCCTGCAATCGTCGGTGGAAGCGCAAAATAGTGAAAAGAGTGGACATTCAGAAGAAAGTGAAGTTTCTATGGTGAAGAAAAAGGCCCAGTTTTCTGGGTCGTGTAGTTTCCTCGTGTCATTACTGGGGTATTCTATGGGGACCTCCGATTTTTGGAGATTTCCTTACCTTGTTTTCCGCAATGGTGGAGGTAAGAATCATATTATGAATAGAAATGATTCTGTTTAATAGAATTTAGAATTTTAAAGCATCTTTATGTGTTTGCATTTTAAATGTAGTGTGTGTGCTCCTCCCTCCCCCCTCCTTACGTGCACGTCATCGACAGATGATTAAAGATTCACTACAACGTGTAAGATGTCAAGTTTACATGCTTTCTGCAGCTCGGGTGCGTGAGCACCTAGTACGGCCAGACGACGTGAACGACGACGCATTAAACTGGCAAAATCAGCCCTTTACAGGTCTTACTTCCTATATCATTCGCACTGAACGATGTACTCATTGACCGCTATACAATGACCAACTTTCGATTAAAAAAAACATTTTATTTGGCTAATACTCTTTGGGAAACGCTCAGATGTAAATTATCACAACTTTGTGCTGAACTTTAAGGGCATAACTCGCAACATGTCTGGAGTCCGTCCTTGACATCGAAAGCTGCATTTTGTGCCTTAACGGCCAGATGCACCCTTAGTTAAAGGCGCATTATGCCTAAGAAATCCACTTATTTTTAATCAGTTGAAAAAATTCAACAAGTGTTTAATTATGTTTTAACAATGGATTAAGAAATGTACTGCTGAATGTAGAATAATATGCCGTAAAGATAGAAAAATGTATACAAAGTACAATGTAGTATTTTGCGTTCCATACAAAATATTTCTTAGGCATAATGTGCCTTTAAGTTGACAATGGCGTCTTGAGGAAAGAGAAAAAACGAATACCCGGAAGAATGCCAGAAAAAAATAAAGAAAAGTTAAAATTGAAATTTCAAGAACATAGTTTGATTCAGTCTGCGCATGAACATTGTTTCCCTACTCACCACACCAGTCCCTCCCTAAACCGCATGTTTCACCCACGCAGGTAAAGGTGGCACTCTAGGCAGTTAAAGGCGGTCTTCTTGGCAGGCAAAGGCGGCACTCTAGGCAGGTAAAGGTGGCACTATAGGCAGGTAAAGGTGGCACTATAGGCAGGTAAAGGTGGCACTCTAGGCAGGTTAAGGCGGCACTCTAGGCAGGTAAAGGTGGCACTCTAGGCAGTTAAAGGTGGCACTCTAGGCAGGTTAAGGCGGCACTCTAGGCAGGTAAAGTTGACACTCTAGACAGGTAAAGGTGGCACTCTAGACAGGTAAAGACGGCACTCTAGGCAGGTAAAGGTGGCACTCTATGCAGGTAAAGGTGGCACTCTAAGCAGATAAAGGTGGCACTCTAGGCAGGTTAAGGCGGCACTCTAGGCAGGTAAAGTTGACACTCTAGACAGGTAAAGGTGGCACTCTAGGCAGGTTAAGGCGACACTCTAGGCAGGTAAAGGTGGCACTCTAGACAGGTTAAGGCGGCACTCTAGGCAGGTAAAGTTGACATTCTAGACAGGTAAAGTTGACACTCTAGACAGATTAAGGCGGCACTCTAGGCAAGTCAAGGTGGCACTCTAGACAGGTAAAGACGACACTCTAGGCAGGTAAAGACGGCACTCTAGGCAGGTAAAGGCGACAATCAAGGCAGGTAAAGACGGCACTCTAGGCAGGTAAAGGTGGCACTCTAGGCAGGTAAAGACGGCACTCTAGGCAGGTAAAGGCGACAATCAAGGCAGGTAAAGGTGGCACTCTTGGCAGGTAAAGGCGGCACTCTAGGCAGGTAAAGGCGGCACTCTAGGAAGGTAAGGACGGCACTCTAGGCAGGTAAAGGTGGCACTCTAGGCAGATATAGGCACTCTACCAAGCAATGTATTGTCACAAGACAAACCAATTTTTTATTTGGTATTTTGCTACCATTGAATTAACCTATTTTTTTAATGTGTCATATACCGTATTTGTACTTTAATATGTAAATGTAAAAATCGTCAAACATTTAGTTCAATGTTTACTACAATTTTACAATGTTTACGCTTAATTACGGGAGAGAGAAAAGCATCTGTAAGTGCGGCTACAAGCCTTTATGTTTGTGTACGTACAATTATGTCTCTTCAGTGTTCGGGATTTGGTAATGACTTATGTACATATTTGGTTGCATGTAACTATGTCTCGAGAGGAGTAATGTGTTGGGATATGGCGGATCTAAACATAAGTACTAGCGAAATATCATTGGTACGATTCACAATACGATATCAATATCATAACGATAATCGTTACCATCTCATTTATCGGATGATTAGATAAAGATAATTGCGTAAGACAAACAAAATGTTGAAAAAAATAATAAGAGGACCACCTTCATCACAGAGAACAGTTTTTTCTTGACGGTTAACCATGTCCCCATTATCGCTGTACTGTTATTAATGTGCATGTATTTTTAAACCATTTTTCTTACCTAACCTTAAAGGACAACATTTAATGTGAATGTCTTGAACCAGTAATTTATATAACCGACATGCATTTCATTTTTCATTTACATATGTCTACTAATTGTTCGACTTTTATCTTTGTCTGAATATTTCAGGTGCATTTCTGTTTCCATTCGCAATATTTATGATGCTCGTCGGCATGCCGCTGTTATTCTTTGAAGTATCGGTGTCGCAATTCTCGGCTAGAGGTCCCTTGAGCATGTGGAATCTTGCGCCGTTTTTCAAAGGTTTTTGTTTTATATCATTTATCTTTAAACCTACCATCACATTGATTAAATTCGGTACACCTCGTCACTTTCCAAGATCTGTAACGATTAAATAATCTTCCACATGGCAACCCAGCTGATCACTTCAAACGGTACTATGTACGGAAAGTACCGATGTTTACCGAATGTATACGAACTTTTGTTTAGTTCCCTCCTTTCTTGAATTAAGAGAATAACCTTTAATTAGAATAGAGCCAGACCAGTCTGCGAATGAGTCTGGTAAATCTATTAACTGTCGGTAGCTCACTTTTTATTGATTGATTTATTTAATTCAATTTTTTAATGCCTTTAACATCAAATAGTCTGTTATAAATTCAAAGCACAACCGATCTATTGCAAAAAACCCAGCAAGTTGAAAGTTAAATTAACAATTCATTACAGGAGGTAAAAATTAAAATAAGATTGAAGGAAAGAAACAAAAACTATATTGCACGTGATATGTCAAGTTGTATTCTATTAAATAATTAATTATCTTAAATTGTTTAACAATTGATTACAAAGATTGTCATCTGACTTGATTTATGTAAAAGCTAAAGGCGAAACAGATCTTACTTGACTAACTGTAAAACCCAATTAAACAAACAAACAAACATTCTGGCAGCTGCTTAAACGTTAAACTTTGATATATACTAGTAGTTACAATCCTGTTAATTAACATTGATATTTATAATGTAATGTTTGATCTTTAACACATTTGAGCCGCGCCATGACAAAACCAACATAATGGGTTTGCGACCAGCATGGATCCAGACCAGCATGCGCATCCGCGCAGTCTGATCAGGATCCATTCTGTTCGTTATCAGTTTCTCTACTTGTAATAGAGTTGGTAAGCGAACAGCATGGATCCTGATCAGCTGGTCTGGATCCATGCTGGTCGGAAACGTACTATGTTGCTTTTGTCGTGACGCGGCCCATTTGATTATCTTACAGGGATAGGGGACACGCTTTTTGCGATTAATCTGCTGAACAACGTTTACTACAATATCTTAAGGGCATGGATTCTTGAGTATTTTGTTGACACATTCCAAGCCGAGTTACCATGGGCAAGCTGTAACCATGAATGGAACAGACCGGGATGTATTGCTATAGAAACCGAAAGGACAGTATCTGATTTTGCAAAACCTAGCAACGCCACAATGCCCGCAGCTATAGAACTGCATCTGCCAAGTAATATTACCTCGAACGTCACACAAATGACGTCTGCGGAACAATACTGGCAGTAATATATATATAGCACATGTTTGTTTCTTTATAATAAAAGTTTTTTATGAACGCTTTCAAAAAAGTCATGTACAATCACTCAACACATTTATACATTTTCTTCAGTTCATTTTTTTAACTTTTGCACGGTATATATGCAAAAGTAGAGCATAGTTGTGTGAGAACCTTATATGTTGCTTCACAGGTATTCGGAGGGCGTCAAATACTATAATTGAAGACCACCCCTCCCCTCTCCCACCATCCCACATGCTACGACCCTTATATTACAATGAAATATTATGTTTAAAAAGAATGACTACCTTATTAATTAAAAAAAACATAATATTTCATTGTAACAACAGGGTTGTAGCATATGGGATGGTGGGAGAGGGGAGGGTTTGTCATTATATTCTTTGACACATGCCGAATACCTGTGGGTTGCTAAAAAATCAAAGAACCGACTCAATCAAATTAATATATTAATTAACCTCTCATTGCTTTTTGAGCTCTCGTTTTAAGAATTTTGATTGCATAAGTTGTTTTCTGTCACATGTATTCATCTTTTTTTTTATCGGAAACTTGTTGCTGAAAATATCAAAAGCCGTTTCACTTGTGTCAGTAACAATAACTGTATGCAAAAAGTAAAGTATGATATACAAATGTGAAGTAACGGAGATAATGAATTAACTTGTGGTGAAATGCCTATTGTATATGGTATCAACTAACCTGATAATTAGAAATAGACAGGTCATTGATTCAACTATTATAAAACTACATTGTATGGACCCCAGAAAAACAGCAAATCCAAACTTAATATGAGCCACGTCACGACAAAACCAACATAATGTGTTTGCGACCAGCATGGATCCAGACCAGCCTGCGCATCCGCGCAGTCTGATCAGGATCTATGCTGTTCGCTATCAGTTTCTCTTCTTGTAATAGGGTTGTTAAGCGAATAGCATGGATCCTGATCAGACTGCACAGGCTGGTCTGGATCCATGCTGGTCGCAAACGCACTATGTTGGTTTTGTCGTGACGCGGCTCATATGTTTCTCGTTGTTCAAAACTTGGCATATCATCATTTTCATTTTATAATTTCAGATATAAAGTTTTGCAGCTATCGTCTGGTCTTGGGGACTTTGACGGCATTATTTGGGACTTCATTCTGTACATCTTCATCTGGCGTCTTTTAGTAACATTATGTATGGTGAAAAGCATTAAATCTATTGAGAAGGTATAGCCTATTTTATTGTTCTAGAAAATCTCTTTGAAAAGTAAATAGAAAAGTTCTCAAACTCTTAAACCTTTTACTATGTCCTCTTAAAAATACAAATATATATGGAAAGTGTTTGTTTTTGGAAGTTTGCTGTTTAAATGGAATTTAAAAAAATACAATTTTCTAAATAGATTCTTTTACATTTTTTTTTTGTTCTTAAGAACATGAAGAAACTGATGAAAATTGTTTTTCATTGAAAATTTAAAAAAAAAAAAAGATTATTAAATACAATGTTTTTAACCTAATGAAACTAGCATTTAACAAAAAGGTTTATATATCTATTTTCTTTCTAAAATCGATTGGATATGTAAGACATTTTAATTATTTCAGTTTAGTTGACATCCACAACTCTATCTTTGTTTTTGGTTAAAGGTATCAAATAAAAACGTCACCTTTAGATAATTCAGTTAAATTTGAATTAGTATTAAAAATAGAGAAATTGAAAGCAGAAATACTTACGCTGTTACGAAGAAATGTTGAAGCATGTTTGATAATTCTGTGTTAAACTAAACAGTCTAATGACAATTCTATTTTCGGCCATTGCCTGTCTATAATCACACTGACTTCCTGTGAACTTGAAAGGGAAAAAAACTGAATAACAGAAGGATTCCTATTGGTCAAAAATAAAAAATAAAACTGAAATCCGAGAATCTCAAATGACTATTCTAGAATTTATAAACTTAATATAAAGGCTTTTTTTCTGACACGAACTCTCTTGAACTTGTAACAAATTATATATTAAAACTTTTGGAAACTGATTTTCTATCTGATACATTGTCTCGTGTTATATACTCAAATTATCTGCATCTTTACAAAAAACAAAAAACAAAAAAAAACAACAAAAAAACAAAAAACAAAAACCAAACTAACCGAAGATGGTCATAAATATGCTGTACATTCTCAAGATATTGGACATTTTTTTAAAGGAACTAGTTGTTTACTATTTGTATTTTGTTAGGTAATGTTTGTCACCGTATTTGTCCCAATTTTACTGATGCTTGTGATCTGGGTCCGCTCGTTGATGCTAAATGGTGCCGTGACCGGGATGTTGTACTATCTCACACCCACGTTTGACAGGATAACTGATCCGAGGGTATAGAATATTCCTTCTTATTCAGTTCAATTAAAGTGTACCCTATTTATTCAATAGAGTTATAAAGTAAGATCTGATTTATTTAAATTTTGTAACAACTCTGTTGCTACAAAATATGCTATTTTAATGAGAAATATATATGTATGAAAAAATTATGTTACAGTTACAAATAATATTATAAATACACTACTTTTTCTTTAATACAGGCAACACTTCAAGTCTTAGCTATCGTATCTGAGAATGCTATCACTCTCACAACAAATTGTATAGCATGTCCATAGCATGTTTAAAGCATGTTTATAGCATGACATTTGATAAATTCTTCTGTATTTGTTAAACATTGAAAATATGACATTTTATTTATCTCTATTCAATGCATTTTCATATCAAGAACAAAATTTAAATGTATATGATGTTTTATTATGTTTTTCATGCTTATTTTGAAGGTTTGGTTGGAAGCAGCGTTAATGGCATGTTACACACTAGGTCCTGGTTGGGGAACAATACCTTTGATTGGAAGCCATAATAAATTCCATGGAAATACCATTAAGTTAGTGAGGGTTTTCATGTGAAAATGCTGTTGAATTATTGATGCATCAAATGTACATACATTTGTTGTGGTCCCAGTTTTACCTGGACAATAGATATATATGAATATTGATAGAAACTTCTTCAATGCTATGCATGATATTTTAACAATACCTGCAATACTTATAATAATAATAACAACAACAACAACAACAACAATAATAATAATAATACATGTAATAATAATAATAATAATGATAATAATAATAATGATGATAATAATAATAATAATAAATAGAGTAATAAAGCGTTTGCAGAATTACAAATAATTCATCCTGAATAATAATTCTTATTGTGAAAAATTACTCGAAATTTAAAGGCGTTGCAACGTTTTTCACTCAAATCTTATTAGAAATAGCATAAAAATATGACTTTTCAATACATTTCTGAGTATATTGCTTATTATTTCTTGCATATCTCTCTGTTTCAAGTGTCCCTGCTGATCTATGTAAGAACTTCAAATTTTATATGTTTTTACCTCTAAACCCCAGTGAAGTTTCTTTAAAGCTTGGACAATTTCATAATATTATAACATCTTAAATCTTAACATTACTTAAGATATCTAACAAATACATTTTTCCGAGTGTTCTTATAACTTATGAACATTTGAGCCGCGTCATGACAAAACCAACATAATCCGCGCAGTCTGATCAGGATCCATGCTGTTCGCTATCAGTTTCTTTACTTGTTATAGGGTTTGTAAGCGAACAGCATGGATCCTGATCAGACTGCGCGGATGCGCAGGCTGGTCTGGATCCATGCTTGTCGCAAACCCACTATGTTGGTTTTGCCGTGACGCGGCTAATTTGTCTTCTTTCTCTACAGATACTCAGTTATCTCTACTGTTGGCGATTTCCTATCAGCTGTATTGAATGGTCTCATTTGTTTTTCTGTTTTGGGTGTCATGGCGCATGACAGCGGCCTCGATTTGGAGAAGACTGTAACTTCCGGTATGTGGAAAATATCTTGTTTGGTTTTAGTTATCAGGGAATATTTTCATTGTTCAGATCAAATTGTAATTGAACATAACGTTTATAATGTGCGAATAGTACCTATTTATTTACCAGCGTAAATTCTGTCTTAATAGAAGGCAATATGAAGACTAAATAACATAAGGAATAATTTAATATATGAAATATAAATGCTGCCTGAAGTGCTGTATCATGCGTGCACAACTTTACATTCGATGCACAATTAGTTAATAACATAATCACTATTAAAATGTCACATAAGTTAATGAAATATGATCCTCGCATTTAGTTCGCGCATGCCAAATTTGCCGGAAATGGCAATAATGATGCCCAAATGTAAGTTAACGGAAGAAATCACAAATGATGCAAACCTAGTTGCTATGATTATTTATTTTCAGGTTTGTCGTTAGGATTTACTGTATATCCTACGGCGTTTACGTATTTTCCCCTCCCACAATTTTGGTCAGCTGTGTTCTTTGTCAATCTTATGCTTGTGGGACTTGATTCGCAGGTAATTTGTTTGTTAAACTGTAGCAGAAAAACAGAAAATAATGTACTGAGTTGTATTCGTGTACTAAATAGTGCCAGTCATTTCAAACTTAAATGACTTTCTTTTTCCGATTAAATCTGCATATGATTAAACTGTCTCTTTACCTCGAACATCACATGCATGTCTTATATTATCCAGCCATTTAATTAAGCATCTATATTTTTGTATAATATACCGAACACAATTACGAACGAACGAACAGCTATTTTTTTTTTGTAAATTACAGATATAACTGCTATCACATATCGAAATTAGGTTGCTAGCCTGTAATTAATAATCAAGATTAATTATTCTAGTTAAAACACTTGATATCATATTAATAGTTTGGTTACCAATTGTGTGTCAAAACGGAACAAAACAGATTATTTATTTTGACTTATGCATGTACAGCTTATCATATAATACATTCAATAGCATGCAAATGAAAATGGCATAATAAGTTTTAACTTGCATAACAGGAAAACCCCATATTCAGTAAATATCAAAACAAAGGTACTATTTCTTGGACCTGTGTGGTTTTAATATTTTCTTACTCATCAATCAATTTATGAAATGAGCCGCGTCATGACAAAACCAACATAATGGGTTTGCGACCAGCATGGATCCAGACCAGCCTGCGCATCCGCGCAGTCTGATCAGAATCCATGCTGTTCGCTATCAGTTTCTCTACTAGAGTTGGTAAGCGAACAGCATGGATCCTCTTCAGACTTCGCGGATGCGTAGGCTGATCTGGATCCATGCTGGTTGCAAACCCATTATGTTGGTTTTGTCGTGACGCGGCTCAAATATTTACCGCCTACCGGCTTCACTTTTCTATATTGACAAAATTATTATATGCATTAAATTTGTCAATGATATTCTTCTGACGACATTTACTTTTCCTATGCTTTTGAAGTGTATTTTGCATGTTTAATCTTTTTAAAATCAAATTGTCGTAAAATTCGTTCTAAGGTGGAAGAAAAGCAAAACTCAAGCGCGATTTAACTATAGATACTTGGCATAAACAGACTCGTGCTGTTTTTCTTCTATAATGGATTAGTACTCGTTCGTTTCTATTTTTTTTCAAAACCATGAAAACTTCCTTAATGTATACTGAATACTAAATGTAAAATGTAAATATCCCTAACAATGTACTTTAATAAAAGACGTATGTCCAGAATTATTTAAAATATCCGTGAAAGGTAGTCTTGAAAATCTATTTGAGCCGCGTCATGACAAAACCAACATAGTGCGTTTGCGACCAGCATGGATCCAGACCAGCCTGCGCATCCGCGCAGCCTGATCAGGATCCATGCTGTTCGCTTACAAACCCTATTACAAGTAGAGAAACAGATAGCAAACAGCATGGATCCTGATCAGACTGCGCGGATGCGCAGGCTGGTCTGGATCCATGCTGGTCGCAAACCAATTATGCTGGTTTTGTCATGACGCGGCTCAATTTTTTCGTAAACCATCAGTTTCCTCCCCGGCACCGCTTAAAGAACTCATAATGTATAAAATTTTACAATTTTTTAACATAATCAGACATTGGTTTTTCATGATTTCATTTTAGGTGTTATCTACTGAGACAGTGATGAATTGTCTTCAAGATATGTTTCCTAAATGGTTCAAAGGCAGGCGTAGAAGTTTCGTTATTGTTTTTCTCAATATCGGCTTCTTTCTTCTCACCATACCGTTTTGCACGAGGGTAAGATATATACGGTTCGATTATGTGTTAGCGGGCGGATAGCTCTGTCGGTATAGCCGCGGTACGGAATACCGAGGGTCCCGGGTTCTAATTCCGGTCTGGCTGCACATTTCTCTCACCCTATAACATAAAATTATAATAATTTTCCAACTCGATTATTTGTTATTAATCTCTACTACATTGGATTAACCATGTTTTTATTACTTTTGTCATTTTAATTATAAGAGTAATGTTGGTGTGTTTTTTTTCTTGGTAGATTTGTACCATAATTGTTAAAAATAATGCACTCAATTTTTTATAGACTGAAGTCTGAATACATTTTAGGTAGTTTTTCCTCCGACTTCATAACAATAATTGAAAAACAAAGTTATTCCTGTGATTACACTTAAATATAATCGGATATTTCATTCCTCTATATGAAACCAAAGTAAATTGAACTAAGTTTTGGTACGTGTTTTGTTGTTTATGTTACAGGGAGGGATGTACATTTTCCAGCTTTTAGATTGGTATGCTGCTGCCTGGACACTTCTCTTCGTCTGCTTCATAGAATGTCTGGTATTTACATGGGTGTATGGTAAGATTTTACAAATTGCCCCAAACTTCTCACAGTGATTACCTCCCTTTGCAAATTGTAATCTCTGTACTTGTGAGGGGAAATCGCTGCGTATAGGAGGGTGAAATTGTCCTTACATTTGAACAAGTGATATGCAAAAGAAAAAAAAAAGATTTAACAAAATTAAGATAATGAAATGCCTGATTTTGGTTGAAGCATTATCAATTTAATCTCCATTGTGACGAGAGATTGCAGTTTATTTTAATCATGCCAGAACCCGCTTCTTAGAACTCAAACCCATTTGTAATTTTCCCAAAGCATTTTAAATAAAAATATTATAAACGTACAGTATTAAATAATCTAAAATATTCAAATAAACATGCCAGATAAGTTGATATATAATGTTATTTGCGTTCTTTCTACACAGTTATTGTGATCAGGGTTACGATTCGATGAGAGTTCCGAAAATATAAAGAGCTTCAAAGATGTTTTGATGTTGCCTGTAAATGATACTTTCAATGTTTGTCAAAGGAATTTTGGAGGGGACTGTAAAATGCCCTTTATTAAGACGACATTTAAGTGGGAGAGGACACAAAGCCCAAAAAGCGCTGGTGCTTATCTTTCGAGTGGTTTTTATTTCAAAATGTTGTTGCGTTATTTCAATTTAATCATTGCAAAATTTATCTCGCCGCTATATGAAATTAAATAAGTAATATCAGAGTTACAAAGTTTTGGATTAACTATCTAGACTACAAATCTGACTTTGGTGACATTAAAGTGCACGTGAAGGGTGTCAAATGCTTTTAAAACGTAAGAGTCATGTCTTTCTTATTGTCGTTATATTTTTATTTGTTTTACTTCAGGTACTGAGCGTTTAAGCAAGGATGTTGAGATAATGGTCGGTAGACCACTGCCTGCTTTCATAAGGATATCAGGGGCTTTCTTTTCACCCTGTATATTTCTAGTAAGTAAACATGTATATCTGATCTAGCTGATTTAAATAACTGTTGTTTTTCGAGCGTCATTTATTTTTCATTCCTATATGCAGGGGTATTCGAATATAAAAATCTGAGCAGCATTCTCGGTAAAACAGTTTATTTAGACTTTACGTACTGTAGATGTACACGAGTTCATATACATCACAAACCTCTGTTTCATACACAATGTTGACGGCCTTGTTCTACCCACTCCATTTATTAATTAATATGACCCACAATATATGAACACACACTTCCAACGACGGTTATATACGTTTCGATTACTTATAAACAGGTAGATTATATATCTATGTTGTCTATACATTGTATTTTAATATGCTGAATATAATTAACTTTTATATACTTGGGTACATCTTGTTAAATTTTTTGTATTTGGGAAATCTGGTCCTGACCCCTTACACTAGCCTGTTGACTTTGTATTACATTTTATTTATTTGTATTTCTTTCTGGTTTTGGTTTGACACAATTTACTTTCTATCATTGTATCTGACTGAGAACGAAACTTCCATAATATTAACGTTAATATTAAAATCTGTTTTCCTCATTGAGAGCCCCAGTTAGTCGGAATTTCTCATTAAATACAAGACATCATTTCAATTAAAAAGTTTTATGTTAAGAGACTATAAGTCATTTTCAATACCCAGTAAGGTAGGGAAGACCTATAAATGAATGAGACATTGGCTTATCAAAAACTGTTGTTTTTTTGTTGTTGTCCTTGTTTTTTATTTTTTTATTTTAGTGCACTCTTTGGGAACGTTGTCAACTTATCATCTACGTTTGCATTAAAACCAAAAGTTGTAAACAAAGAAGCATACAGCATTGTTATATTTTTTTCCTTTTCAGGCCGTTACAATTCTGTCTTTTGCCGAGTATAGACCTCCGTCATATGGTTCTTACAGATATCCAGCTTTCGCTGAAGCAGTTGGCTGGTGTTTGGCATTTCTTATCATATCTCCCATAATCATCGTATTTGTGTTCAATATAATTAAAACTTGGAGAACGGATAAGAAGGTAAGTTGTGTAGAGCTATAATATATTTTACAGCTCTGCGCTAATTTATTAACATAGCGATGACAGTTTTTATGATAT